GTATTGGGGAGGGGCGGACTGATGACCCTTTTCAGCGGTGGTGTTTTATTACACGTTAGTGTTTACACTGACGGATAGTCAGAGGCATTTTCATTTTGCAAGGAGACGAGATTCGAATGAGAAGTTCTCTAAGCTGAGTGGGTAGTTTTTCTTTTCTCCCCTCCCTGCTTTCCCTTGGAGAACAATGAGACAATAGTTGGCCACAGAAAAGTAGAAGGGCCCTAAAAAGAATCTATTTTAATTAAAACCGAAAGCAAAGAGAGGGTGCGGTACAGCTGGCACAAGGTTTTATTCACTTATGATATTTGCTGGGTAGCAAACATGTTCTGGGACTGTGACAGGCAGTGGGGAGTGAGACCCAGGCCGGTCCCAGGCTGCTCATCGTCCAGCTGGGGACGATGGGAGCTTTAAAAAGGAGAGAAATAAGGAATAGGTTTGGGAAAGGACCAAGGAGCATAGTAAGGCAGGAAGGTATGTTTCCCTTCTTAATTCTGCTACTTCCTGCTCCCTGGCTTCCTTTCTGGTTGGAAAGGGAAAGTGGCAACACGACAGCTGTTGGGAGAAAACGCAGGTGAATGAGTGGACGGGCCGGGTGGGCTTCTCCGCGTCAGAAGCAGAGCCTGGGAGGAAAGTCCACCCCTGCTGGGTGGACCTGAGCACCGGTGGGGAGAATGCACCCCGGATGCCAAAGGATCTCTCCAGCCTCTCCCAACAAACGGCCCTGTCCTTGGGGTGATGCAGGAAAGCCAGGCCTAATTCTGATTTTTAAAAATCTGCATGAGGGGGCGTAGAATAGGGCGTGGGGTGCCCCAGAGCACCGTGCTGCGTCCTCCCTTTTCTTCCTGCCCTCCCTGTGTTGGCCCTGTGTGTGCTCCGAGGCCACCGGCATTTGCACCCAGGCCAGGACCAGCCCCACAAACTCCTTGTCCTGTACCCAGCCAGCTCCTTGATGTCCCCACCTCAGCTTGAACATGTCACAAACTGAGCCGCTGACACAGCCCGCTAATCCCTTCTGCTTCTCCGTTACTGGTGATTCCATTCTTCCAGGGGCTCGGCCGACATCCCCAGAGCCATCCTGAAGCCTCACTGTGTCCCCGCCACACCCTGCCAGCTCCATCCTCTAGTCCCTTTGGGATCCCGCCACTACTGCCATCCTCTGCTCTCAGCCAGCGCTGCTCTCCTGGGGCTGGTGCTGGAACCTTCTCCCTGCCCTCCCTGCCGCTGCCCTCACCCCTGCAGCCTCTTCTCGTTGCTGGTCCTCCGTTTCCTGCAAGTTCGACCATGTTATCCCTCAGCTTGAAGTACCCGAGCGGCTGCCATCTTTCCCAGGGTAGAAGCCACAGTTCCAGAAATGTTCCTCCTGTTTGCTCTCCCTCTCCGCCTGCCCCCAGATCTCATCTCCTGTCTGTCCCTCCTTGCTCACTCCAGTGCCTGGCCCCTTCTCCTTGCACTTTGCTGAGCACTCACTCACCCCAGGACCTTTGCACGGGTTGCCCCCTCACCTCCAGGGTCCCGTCAGGAAACAGCTGGGCACTCGAATTGATGACTCAAGGAGGATTATGTATGAGGTGTGGAGGGGCCACGGGGCTGTGCGGGCAGTCGCCTTGGACTTGTAAGCTGCCGGCTCTGAGCCCTCCGTGTCTGTGTTCTTCCCCCAGCGTGAGCCTCTGTGCTGTCGGGAAAACTGTTCATGTGGCATTTCCCAGACGGGCTCCATGCGTGTCTTTGTGATGTTGCAGCTGCGGAGGCCCATTCTGCAAATTTTGCTGAACTTCACCGATTTTACCCGGTGGTTTTCAGACAGCAGCTGGGACGTGCAGTCCTTCTGCAAGCAGTTCTGAGGTGGTGGCTGTCCAGTCACCCAGGGAAGGACAACCACTTCCCTCCGTGCTGGCAGGGACCGCCCCATCCAGGTGGCCCCTGCCCAGCCTGGGTAAAACTGCCCGTCAGACTGAGGAAAATAAAACGGCACCTCTGAGCGCCCGCTGACGCCAACTCGGTGCCACCTGATGTGTGCGAGGCGGTGGGCAGGACAGGCCTCGGAACCACCGTCCTCATCCCAAAGAACTCCCTTGACGCCCCGGCCACAGAAACGCGTCCTTTGCCAATACTTCTGCATTTCATTCGTGTTACATGACGACTTTCATTCTTTACTTTCTGGTTCCCCTTAATGGGTAGGTAGTTTCTGACTTTTAGTTTTACGTTTCTCTACCCCTATGAATTCATTTTTGCAACATGTAAACTGTTTGATTTGCTAGAACTCCAGATTTTTAGAAACATTTGAAATAGACCTTTTACAAAGAGAACGTCAGGATACATGCCTGTCACCTCCTGAATTCTCTGCTTCACTTTGCGGGTTGCCATGTCCTGACAGTGGTAGCGCCCGCCTCCCTGAGGCCACGTGAGTGCTCGGACCCGGGTTGGGCAGCTCTTCAAGCTGCACAGTGGGTGGCAGACACCCCACCTCGGCATTTGCCCTTTGCCTTCCCTTAGGTTCTCAGCAGAAACGGTTTTCTCTTATATCTGGTACGGATGGTCTGTGGGCCAGCAACTAGCCCAGAACGCAATGCTTCAAGGAACAGGCGTGAAAGCTGCCATCTGCCGTCTGCTTCTGCTCTCTGTCTGCCGTCTGCTGTCTGCTCTCTGTCTGCCGTCTGCCGTCTGCCGTCTGCTCTCTGTCTGCCATCTGCTCTCTGTCTGCCATCTGCTCTCTGTCTGCCGTCTGCTATCTGCTCTCTGTCTGCCGTCTGTCTGCCGTCTGCTGTCTGCTGTCTGTCTGCCGTCTGCTCTCTGTCTGCCATCTGCTCTCTGTCTGCCATCTGCTCTCTGTCTGCCGTCTGCCATCAGCTCTCTGTCTGCCGTCTGCCATCTGCTCTCTGTCTGCCGTCTGCCGTCTGCCTGCCGTCTGCTGTCTGCTGTCTGTCTGCCGTCTGCTGTCTGTCTGCTGTCTGCTGTCGTTCTGCCGTCTGCCCTCTGTCTGCCGTCTGCCCTCTGTCTGCTGTCTGCCCTCTGTCTGCCGTCTGCTCTCTGTCTGCCGTCTGCTGTCTGCTCTGTCTGCTGTCTGCCATCTGACTGCCATCTGCCATCTGCCATCTGCTCTCTGTCTGCTGTCTGCTCTCTGTCTGCCGTCTGCTCTATGTCTGCCGTCTGCTCTCTGTCTGCCGTCTGCCGTCTGCCGTCTGCCATCTGCTCTGTCTGCCGTCTGCTGTCTGCTCTCTGTCTGCTGTCTGTCTGCCGTCTGCTCTCTGTCTGCCGTCTGCTCTCTGTGTGCCATCTGCCGTCTGCCGTCTGCTGTCTGTCTGCCGTCTGCCATTTGCCGTCTGCTCTCTGTCTGCCGTCTGCTCTCTGTGTGCCATCTGCCGTCTGCCGTCTGCTGTCTGTCTGCCGTCTGCCATTTGCCGTCTGCTCTCTGTCTGCCATCTGCTCTCTGTCTGCCATCTGCTGTCTGCCATCTGTCTGCCGTCTGCCATCTGTCTGCCGTCTGCTCTCTGTCTGCCGTCTGCCATCTGCCGTCTGCTCTCTGTCTGCCGTCTGCCATCTGCCGTCTGCTCTCTGTCTGCCGTCTGCCATCTGTCATCTGCTCTCTGTCTGCCGTCAGCTCTCTGTCTGCTGTCTGCCATCTGCTGTCTGCCATCTGCCATCTGTCTGCCATCTGCTGTCTGCCATCTGCCATCTGCAGACTCTGCTTCCATTGCAGCTGGGCTCAGCTCACCTGCGGGCAGGCTTGGCACCAGGGAGGCCTCCAGTGGTCTGGTTTCCCCTTTTTCTGTCTTTGCGCGTGTTCCCATTGGCCTGTAAATACAATAAAGAAAATAAATAGTGCAGGTGGCGAGAACTGATGGTCTGGCTCACTGACTTGCGAGAGTTTGCTGAAATCCAGGCAGCAGACAGAGGCCAGCGTTGACCTTGACCTGTTCCATCGCCCCTCTCTGCGATGAGTCAGATTCGAAGTAGGAAAGGGAAAGTCAGTGCTTCCCCGACTAACACATTTAGTATTGAATTAAGAATGCATTGGCCTTCTGGAGGTCATCCAGGCTCATTCCTGCACCCTCAGATTGCCCGGTGGTCAGAGGAGCCGATGACTCACTGTCGCTTTGGCCTGTAGTTAAAAAACCCCCTCGAGGCGAGGAGAACCGGAGATGATTTGGAACAATAAAAGCTGTCTCTGTAGGTGGAATGTGCTCTGGTCCTAGATGTAATTTGTTTTTTTGTTTTTTTTAAAATCCTCACCCAAGGATACTTTTTCCATTTATCTTCAGGTAGAGCAGGAGCGGGGGGGGGAGACATAGACCTGTTGCCTCCTTCACGACCCAACCCGGGCCGGGAATGAACCCTTGACTCTTTGGTCCGCCAGCCGACGCTCTAACTGCTGAGCCAAGCCGGCCAGGGCACCCTAGGTGTAATTTTAATGAGGGAGACAGGGAAGAGGGAAGATGAGTTTCTGATAGTAAGTAATTCACATTTAGCGCTTTGAGACTGAACTATGTTTTCTTTCTAATGAGTCTGTTTCTTATATTTAACTTTCGTTTCTCTGCTTTGCCTTTCTTCACCCACCTTTGCTTGGCTTGAGAAACTGGCGGCTCAGTGATCTCCTGCTGGGAGCCGCCGGCTTGACTGGGGGTCGCAGGCCTCTGGCTGAGCCGGGCGGCCCCGCTGGGGTGACTAGTTCTGCCTTCCTTGTTGCTCCTTCACCTCCTGCGCCCAGTGGGGTAGCCCAGAAATGTTCTGTTCATGCCAAAGGCGGAGACATAGACGAGCAAGCAGAAATACACCAGGTCTCTTTAGGCCTAGGCTCCAAGCGAGCACACTGTCACTTTGGCCTTTTTGTGGGGACATAGGCTTTTCCCAATGGGTGGGGAGTCCAGAGTCACATGGCAAGGGGTGTGGCTACAGGGAGAGAGAAGAATGGGCACCTTTAATGCCATGAGCTACCACAGTTGGCTCACAGAAACACGATCCAAGCTCAAATTACGATTTCCCTTCTTTGTGATTTTTTTCAGGAAACCAGAAAAAATGACCCCCTTGGCTGTCTTTCGGGCAACATTCCTCTTGGCATTACTGCCCTTGAGAACTTGCCAGAGCAAAGGTAAGATGTGCAAAGAACAGTCAAGAAAAAAATCACAAAGAGGAAAAAATGTGGTAGTTGGTTGCTTTGGAGAAAAGTTGCACAATTCTTTTTTCTTTGGAAATTACGTGGAATTGGTGAGTTGCAATGGTTACCTTAGTTATAACATTTCTGATCTTGATGGGTCATCTTCATAAGCTGCCCTTTGACCCTGACATTGGTGAGTGGACCTTACCCTGCAGAACTTCACAGTTGATATATTGCTAATAGTCATCCCCTTGCTGGGGAGACACGGAGAGAAACTGCCCAGTGCTGGCCACTAAGGTAGAACAAGCTGTGATGTCCCCCAACTATGTTCACTGCGATGCTGTTAGCAGTGAGATAGTGCTGCTCAGCGCTGAAATGCTCTTTGTAGATTTAAACAAAGGGTTTGTTGCTTAGCTAGTCCCCTACTAATAAATCAACTTTATAAATAAAGTCAAGAATTTACTACTTCTAAAATGTTTATGGGTACTTTGATTATTCTTTGAACCAATTGGAAGGTAGATTCTTAGATCTGAGAGAGTGCCTATGGGTTTATAAAGTATGTGTTGCTTTCTCGTGTATTTTACAAAGCTTTACATTTTTCTGTTTTGTTTTTACCTTTCTCTGCCGTCCCTTTGTAAGAGAGAGGATAGTCACGCGCACCCTGTAACTCCACACACCTCCTGTCTGTGGGTTCATGAGAATGACGTTTGCAAGAAACAGCCATAGCATTTTTCAATTTTCCCCTAAAACCCTGTGGAAAGATATTTGGAAATGAAAAAGGAGATTTTGTTTTGATAATAGCTCAGTTTTCTGTCTGATATATATTTTTTTAACATCTATGAGAGAGAACATCGATTGGCCACCTCCTGCATGCCCCTCACTGGGGATCTGGCCCACAACCCGGGCATGTGTCCTGACCAGGAATCGAACCAGCGACCTCTTAGTGCATGGGTCGACACTCAACCACTGAGCCACACCGGCCGGAATATCTGATATTCTTTCGGTCTGGGTTGAGCTCTTTCAGGTTTGGGGCACATGGGAAAATGCTACTTCTGTGGGTTGTTAAAAATCATAGTTTAACCATTGGGATCATCCTTAATCTGGAGCTGAAAGGAGGGAATTAGGATTTCTCATGTGTAGTATGTATCCCCCTCCCTCTGTCTACCTTACTAATATCTCAGCACGACACAAGTGGGCGCATGGTCCCAACCCCAGGCTCTCCGGAAAGCCCCCGGCATTAACCAAGCGTTGACACAGCCCACTTCCCTGGGGAGTCTCACTGTCTGACCCGGTGACTGTTGGCTGTGTGCCTCCTTACAGCCCTCTGTTCTCAGAGGAAGCCCGACGCTCCCCCTGCAGCTCCTGCTGAGACCAGACGTGCACGTACCTGTCTCTCCCCACCAGTCGGTACCTGCCTCCCGCCGTCTCAGCCAGGCACACTTGCCCTCTGAGGAATCCTGTCCGCCTCACCTGCGCTGCTGGGCCTTGTCTCGGTGTCGGCTCCTCTGCGAGTACCTCCTGAACCTCCCCACTCAGAGCAGTGCTCCCACGGGGTCACCCAGCCAGGCTCAGGTCCGAGACTCCATTGCACATAAAGCACATATAGTATAAAGTATATATGATATCTAGCATAAGTGTATATACTGGGCAAATATACTATATACAATGGTGGGCAAAAGTAGGTTTATAATTGTTCACATGGAAAAATATATAATACGAGAATAAATAATAATACCAGAGTAAACTCTGTTTCTTACAACTGTAAACCTACTTTTGCCAACCCCGTGTACTTATTAAAGTATACATACTTTAATATATACTTACTGAGATGACTAATACAGTGTACAATGAGTGTTCTTCCCTTTGATGTTAAATGTTCTTCTAGAGTTAACATTGTATTTAATGGCTGCTTGGCATTCGTCTTAGGAAGGGACCATGGTTTCTTAAGCAGTGTTGGGGCCAGATGGAGACACTGGGTGGGGGAGGTGGAGGGGGAGGGGCTGTGGTTGAACCTGGTCAGGGTTGTCCCCAAGCCTGCCCCTTCTGGGAATACTCGGATGCAGTGTTATGAAAACACTGGACCAGGGGCCAAGAGTCTTGGGTTCTGGTCTCGTTGTGTGGTTTTGGGAAAGTCACTTTTTTCTTTCTTTTTTTTTAATCTCTGTCCTGTCATCTGAAAAATAATGGGGTTGGACAGTAATTTCTGAGGTCCCTTTAGCGCTCTGACCTTTCCCTGGCCTTTCCCACTCTTTTCAAAGGAAGTCCTAGGTTGCTTTTGACCACATTATTTTGACTGACTGATGTCTCTCGAGTTCCTGAGTCACCCAGTGCTTGTGATGCATATGTCTGTGGAGGAGTCCCCCTTTTGTCTAAAGCATGGCACAGGAGCTTTCTAGAGTTTCCAGAACTAAAGTTGATACTGGAGGTTTACTCATTCATTCAGCACCTAGTCACCGAGTGTCTGTGCTGTGACAGGTATGTCCCTGGTCTTGGTTTCACGGAGCTGAGTGAGTCTTAGTTTCGCCTGTTTAGTTCAGCCTGTGGGGAGACAAGCACAGCCGATTACAGCGCTCGGTGATCAGCTCCAGCAAGGGCTCAGAAACGCAGCCGCAGGGGCAGAATGCCAGGAAGGACACATCAAGGTGCCAGTGAGCAGCTGCTTGCCGGGCACCTGACCTGCACATCCTGGGTCTCTGTCCTTTGGGATGAACGTGATCTGTGGGTAAGACATGGCGGGCCAAGTGCTGGGAACAAGAGTCCATTCAAAGAGGCATCAGCATCAGCCTCTGTCCTTCCGGAAGTTTGAATCTAGAGGGAGACCAAAACAACAACTAGGCAGAATGAAATGAGGGCTCGGAAAGATGGGGTGATTTTGCATGCACCCTGCTTCCTCTGGTGCCATTGGTGCCACAAGGATTAAAAATAGCTCCCCCTGTTCCATAAGGGACAGCTCTTTCATCTCCCAAGTCTCCTTTTACTGAAAAGGTGGCTGCTTAGAAGATGGTATGTGCTGTGCACCATGGACCGCCAGAGACCAGGTGCCTGTGTCCGCACACTCCATCAGTGCCTTTGCACCGCTCCCGGGTTACTCAGACCCTCAGAAAACACGTGAAACCAGCTGAGGCAGCGATGCACGGCTCCTTTAGCATCTGCAAGGCGTCCCTTCTGCCTCAGTGGAAAGGCGCTTCGCTCTCCCCCGGGAATTATCCGCCGGCACACCCTCCTTCGGGCCTCGGGCGATCCTCCGTCTGGCTGTTCCCAGCCCACCGACCTCTGCAAGTCTGTTTGGTGTTTGAATCTCTCTTCTTCCCAGACGCTGTCACACGGCCACACAGCCCGCACCTGCAGCCTCACTGTTTCATGGGCCAGTGTGTCCCTCCAATAGGGTCCTTCCCTGAGCTGCGAGCCTGTCACGGTTGTTTCATGTCATACTAAATGCCTAGTATGTTGCTGGTGGTGATCGCACCCCAAAACTTCAGCGACCTCTTGCCAGGGTGTTTGAGTTCTGTGCTTTGAGATGCGCTCCTACTTTATAGCTGTAAGATAAACAACAGCCCTGGCCGGTTTGGCTCAGGGGTTAGAGTGTCGGCCTGCGGTCCAGAGAGACGTGGGTTCGGTTCCCGCTAAGGTCGCGTACCTCGGTTGCAGTTTGTCCCCGGCCCTGGTTGGGTCGTGTGGATGGCAACCACTCGATGTGGCCCTTTCACATCGATGTTTCTCACTCTCTCTCTCTCTCTTCCTCTCTCTCCCTCCCACTCTATCTGAACAAAAAATGGAAAAGTGTCCTTGGGAGAGGATAAAAAAAAAAAAAAGATAAAATATTGACTTTAAAAAACACTTATATTTTTGACTTCCAGAAATGTGAAATTGATAGCAAAAAGTCCTATTTCTTTGTTCAGCCTTGCTGTAAATTTCTAAACCAGTTATATTGTGCAATAAAGTGTGTTTTATTGTTTCATTGTTAAATTAATGTGTGTAATTTGCTCATTGTGTATTGTTTGTATTATATAACTGTTTATTAGTATACTAGCTTGCTGTGTATTGTTGAGCAAGTCAGTTTCATTCATCTAGGTCTTTTTTTTTTATCCTCACCCGAGGACATTTTTTCATTTTTTGTTCAGATAGAGTGGGAGGGAGAGAGAGAAACATCGACGTGAAAGGGACACATCGAGTGGCTGCCACCCGCACGACCAACCAGGGCTGGAGACAAACTGCAACCGAGGTATGCGCCCTTAGCGGGAACCGAACCCGGGTCTCTCTGGACCGCAGGCCGACGCTCTAACCGCTGAGCCAACCCGGCCAGGGCTCATTCATCTAGGTCTAATTTCTCCATCGGCCACGTGGTTTCTGCACTCCCTTCCAGCTGGTCAAGGCATCTGGTTCTCGGATGCACGTGTGGGCCGTACTTTTCAAAGCTAAACAATGATCTTGAACAATAAATATCTGTGGCTACTCCGTCCTGCTCCTATTAAGTGTTATTTCATCTCATTTTGGTCTGTCAGTGTCATCGGAGCCTTTGCTGTTGAGCCCTGGGTCGCTGAGGGTGGCCACCGACCCTGTGGGGCAGTACTTGCAGGTGCAGTGGGGTGTCCAGGGCCCCACTGACCGGGAAGTAAGAGCGACTTTCCAGATCGAGATCAGTAGAGTTAAACCATCCAATGTCATCTGGGTGGTAAGTATGACTTTTTTTCTACTTTATATTTAAAAAAACCATTTTCTGGTGCCATGATTTGTCTTTGATAACACAAAAAATCCCAGTATGGAAACATTTTAGCAGCTCAGAATGGTTTTCCTAAACAGTTGCGTCTCTGGGACAAAGTAACATGACCAGTTTGGTTTGGCGGGTTGGATGGGATGCGTTAAGAAAATAGCTCGTTTCCTCCGTTCTGCTCGGCCCCTAAGAAGGCGGTGGGGTTTGTTCAGGGAGTACTGATCCCCCAAATCCATGAAGATCTTCCTTTTTTCTTCCCAGTTCACCACAGATATTTTTTTTAACATTTATTTATTTAAATTTCATTTTTGTTACAGATGTTTCTCCTTTTTTACCCCATTGACACCTTCCTCCCATCCCCCTCACCCCATCCCCGGCTTTGTTGTCCATGTCCATTGGTTATTCGTACATGCATATAAGTTCTGTGGTTTATCTCTTCCCTCCCCCCACCATCCCCCTTCTGAGGGCTGTCAGTCTGTACCCCATTTCCACGTCTCTGGGTCTACCCTGTTCTTCAGACTGTGATGTTCATTATATTCCACAAATAAGTGAGATCATGTGGTATTTGTCTTTCTCTGTTTGGCTTGTTTCGCTTAGGATGATACTCTCCAGGTCCCTCCATGTCATCTCAAAGGATAAGAGACCTTTCTTTCTTACCGCTGCATAGTGCTCCAAGATTTTCTCACTAAGATATAATCGCTGGGCAACCTTTTCCTTGACCGTGCGGCTTCCGGTCGGCGGCTTCGCCTGCTCTCTGCTGAGAGCGGAGGAAGCGCCTGGCCCGCCCCGTCTGGCTGGCAGACTGCTCCATGGGCTCTGCCAGCAGCAACCCACGGCGGCCCCTGCGGTGTCACGCGTGGCGTTTTCTATTGCAAGTTAAATGAGGAAGCTCCTGATGTCACACTCTGTTCCTGTGAATTACTTGGCATAGATTTTTCACTCGTCTTGGTTCCGGTCCTGGATGTGTCTGCTTTGCCGGATGCTGCTTCTTCTGGAAACGGTGGTCTCCTTCCATGACGATTTATAGTAACCTGCGCATGCAGCCTGTTCACGCGTCGCCATGGGGCGTGGAAGGACAGCGGGACGCTTGCCCAGTGAAGGGAAACAGGAGCTGCTGGAGAGAAAGCAGACACGGGGTGTCACTGTTGGGGATCTCTGCGTGCTGGAAGGCCACTCTCGGGCAGGGGCGGCTTGGGTCCAGCAGCCCAGACGGTCACTCCTTTGGGAAAGCTCAAAGGCCACTCGGGAAAGCCGCCTCCTGCCGCTCCCCACATTCGCTCTTGCGTTTGAGGTCTGCTGAGTGGCCTGAGCCGAATCTAATTCTGACTCTGTCGCTTTAGGGTTGATAGCAGGTGCATGATTCCACCCCTCAAGGGGCAGTGCCCCACAGTGAGAGATGTTTAGTGTTCTGATTCTAAACAGTAGCAGGGTCTGTGAGCAGCTCTTCACTTCCCAACATTAGCACATCTTCCTACCCTTTCACCTCTTACTGGCAATTTTTGTATTTTCGTATTTTTGATGGATCTGCTGGTCGTTGGCTTAGACTGGGTAAAACATGGAGCAAAGGGCGTACCAAGGGTAAGGATTGTCTAAGAAAAAGAAATTTGAGAGCAGTGCTGGGAAAACTGCCACTGAACACTATTTGCAAAGGTAACTAAGGGGATCCCTTTTCTTTTTAAAAAATGTTTATCGATTTTTCGAGAGAGAAAGAAAACATCGATGTGAGAGTAAAACATGGATCGGCTGCCTCCTGCACGCCCCCTACCGGGGATCGAGCCCGCAGCCTGGGCCTGGGTCCTGAGTGGCAGTTGAACCCATGACCTCTTGTTACAGGGGATGACGCTCAACCAACTGAGTCAAACTGGTCCGGGTTGGGGATCCCGTTCTTCATTTTCCTGAAAGACAGTTCTTTCTGTGACTGTCAGAGAAAATAGCGACAGCCCCAGACCGAGTCAACCAGCCTTATTCTCCAACAGGAACAGGCAGCTGCCGTTCTGCACCACCTCCCTCTCCCCAGGTCAAGAACGGACTTCCCTAACTTCTAGGGCTCGAGATCTTTGAGAGCCAAGTGTTGCCTTGTCTGTGGTATCGTCCCCATAACACCCGGCCCTGCCTGAGCCCCACAGAGGAGAAACCAAGGCACAGAGAGGCTTGCTGAGCTGCCCCAGGGGCCGGGGCCAGGGCATCCCCTCCCCCCAGCCTGGTGGAGGCCGTGTGCAGCCTCCTGGGTCACCAGTGGGCACATGTCTCAGGACAGATGACGCCACGAGAAGCCCTCATCTGAACCTCTTGGGCCTGAAGCTGGGGGAGACATACGGTCTCCCCCAGGTAAGAGAGAAGCAGCCAGTGGAGAGAGGCTGCTTCTGCCTAGAAATCCCCCTTCCACGGGGCACCCCTGTAATGCAAGCCCAGAGGACCTCCACTCACGCTGAGAAGAGGCAGCTTCTAGACTCAGTCCGGGCGGCTGTGTCCCCAAAGGAAGAGCAGCTGGGCCAGGACCCTGAGCTGCCTCCCAGCGCCGCCGGCCACTCAGATGCCCACTGGCAGCCACACTGCACGGTCCCTGGGCCGGTTCTGCCCTCAGCCTGTCCTGCCACTTGCTTCATGGTTCTGTCCGTGGCAGGAGGCAGCAGCGTGGGGGAAGGGCGGCGTGGGGCCTGTAGTGTGAGCCAGCAGGGGTGCACGCACACCTCAGGACCGCCTCAGTGACCTGCTGGACCTCTGTGTCCACGTGTGTGCCTCTTCCTTGTGACTTCCTGTGTCTGCCAGCGCCCAGTTAGACTTGGGACTTCAGTTAATGAAAACAGCCAAACACAAGTCACCACATTACAAAAAATCACGGAACCGATGCATCAAGGGAAGGGCATCTGCTCACTGCAAGGCAGAAGCAGCAGGAAGCACGGGGTGATGGAGCGCACACGGGGCGCCCGGGGGGCGGGGGGCGGGGGTGGGGGGGTCAGCACAGCGGTAGGCAGGCCGTGGTCGCGGGTCCCAGCACTGTTCACCGGTGGACAAGGACACACACACAAGGGTGTTCCAGCCATGAGCAGGTGCTGGGAAGTCCAGGTTCGGCCTGACCTTCTCCAGCAACTGGGAAGAAGGACTGTTTGAGCCAAAATACGTTTTTTTTAAAAAATCCTGAGATCGGTGAAAGATGGGCAGTGACACGGTCCGACTGGGAGTGTTTAAAAAGCTTCCTTTCCTGTGCCGTGGAGAGCAGGTGGGAACCGGAGAAGGTGTGTGTGACCAGCAAGAAGAAGGCTGTGGGGTCCCAAGAGGGTGGGTGGGGACGGGGGGGACAGAAGTGGCCAAGTTTGATGGAGATGTAGAAGGTGAAATCCAGTTTGTGGCTTGTTGATATTACAGGAAGGTCACTATTATTGATATAGTGTCTTGTTTTGTATCGACTCCTAAAATTTAAACAAAATGTTCTTAAAAATGCTCAGATTAAGTAATGAAAGTTGCATGGATCAGGTCCTCTACATGGTGGTTAACAAAAAATGTTTGTTTCTTTTCTCTATTGATTTTAGAGAGAGAGGAGGAAGGGAGAGGGAGAGAGAGATAGAAACATCGATGAGAGAGAACACTAATCGGCTGCCTCCTGCGTGCCCCCCACTGGGGATCGGGCCCACAACCTGGGCATGTGCCCTGACCGGGAATCGAACTGGCGACCTCTTGGTGCAGGGGTTGAGCTCAACCACTGAGGCACACTGGCGGGGCCAAAAAATGTTTTACGACCTGGAAACAAAGCAATGTAGAGCCTGGAGATCAAATATAAGTGACTTTTATCTTGCATCGGTCAGAGGCTGCCCAGGGCCTAGGGTGTCTCAAGTGAGCGTCCTGGGAGGGGCGTCAGTGGAGGGAAGGCCTGTTTGCCCCCCAGGCTGTGTGTGTGGGAGCCGAGGTGGGCCCTTCAGACATAGGTGTGGACTCGGCTTCACCAGGGAGTGCGGCGGGTTTGCTGTCTCCCTCTCCCAGCTGTGGGGCCAGGACGCGGGCGTCCTGCAGGGTCCACCGAGGAGCATGGACACCGGGAGCTGCAGGGACGTGAAGATCCGTGCCCAGTCCCTGTCTCTGCGGGCTGTGCTTGAGTCAGGAACTCAGCCACAGGCCAAATGACAACTACACACAGCACACAGGCCGGCTTCGGGACAGGGGGGCATGGGAGGAAGCCCGAGGAGAGAACAGGAAAGGCTTCGTGAAGGAGAGGGGCTGATGCCCAGCGCAGAGGGAGAGCGGGCGACACTGTGAGCAGACAGAGTTATGTGGAAGCGAGGGGCGGACCGCTGTGTCCAGAGCGAAGACTCCTGCAGTTGGCGGTGGGTTGGCGGAGACTGTGGCCTTGAACCGCAGGCTCGGGGACAGAGGAGTATGGACGCCCATTGAGTTAGAGACGGCAGGTGTCTTAGAAAGAGGAAGACTGAAGGCTGGGGCAGAAACCGGAGTGCAGTTCCACGTGGACAAGCTTCCAGAGAACAGTGTGACGTTCCCGTGTGGTTGACATCTCCAGGGACCAACGGTCCTGCCAGATGGAGCTTGAGGGAGGGCGACGGCCCCTATGGCTACCATATCTGAAAAGACGGGAGACCAAAAATTGAGAGCGAGATGGAGAGCCATCTGTTGACCTCTGGAGACCATGCAGCGCCCGGGTACCATGAAGAATTCCTTCGCTCCTGAGATTTGGCCGATCTGATCTGACTCTGGAGGACCAATTCATTCGCTAGGTCACAAGAATGTTCCTAGCAGGTCCTAGGACCAGCACTGTGAGCTCCTTCTGTCCCTGGTCTCTTCCCCAAGGCTGAGTTACTTCCTTTCTCTCTCACGCGCTCCACTGGGACCCCTGGGATTGGAGCCCCCGGCGTGGGAGCCGAGTCTGGGGGAAGCACGAGGCTGTGGCTGGTTTCTCGCGGAGACGTCAGGGCAGGGAGCCGGCCGGGTGGCACTGGCCGGAACTTGCTCACACGGTGGGGTTGCAGTGGGTGTGCTTGGGGATGAGCGCAGTCACGCCCTGCTCCAGGCCAGCAGGGCTGTGTCCTCACGTTTGTCTCTGTTTCTAGGAGGACTACAGCGCCGTGGTGCAGGGCAGCCAGGTCCTGAACTGGACGTGGGGCTCCGAGCTCCCCTTGGAATGTGCTGCCCACTTTGCCAGAGTGAGGAGCAAGGTGGACGACGCCAAGCTGAGGTTCTGGAGCAGCTGGAGCTCATGGTACAAAGCAGAAGGTAAGAAGTGAGGTGATGAGGGTGAAGGGTTCGATACGTAATACTATTTGGGGACCGAGAGTCAAATAGTGGAGGCCCCTCTGAGGAACCCGGTAGACACCAGCAGCTGCCTTTGGCTCCCATTAGAACTAGAAACACGGGTGCGAAACTTGGCACCGGGAGACACCGCCTGAGGTTTGGCCTCTGAATTTATTCATTGACCTCACTATGCAAGTCCAGACAGTTTTTATTGATTTTTCCACGTGTGATGCATTGTGGTATCGTATGCTAAGTGACCCAGGCAGGGGATACGCTGCACGTTTGTTCCTGTCAGGACAACACACGCAATACGTGTGCAGCTGGAGCCGAGGTGGCCGTCTCTGTCTGACTTCCGGCTCGGCCTCCGTATCCTGCGGGCAGTCACCGGCAACAAGGAGACGAATGACAGTGGTTGTGTTCCAATAAAACTTTATTTACAAAAACAGACGGTGGGCTGGCCTCGGCCCCTTGGTTAGTCTGCCAGTATCCCAAGTGTAAGGACGTAGGCAAAAAAGAAAGTAGTTCTTTATTTGAGCAACGAGATTATGGATAAATATATTTTAAATATCTCTTAATGTTGCTCATTTAATTTTGTTGCAATTAAAATGTAGAGTGAGTATGCCACTGTTTCTTGTGCGCCGGCTAAGCTACAGGCCAGTTTTAAAGCAACAGGGCTCGGTTCTCTCAACTACATACCGGCCAGGTAGTCTGCAGTCCCTGCCAACAGAACCGTTTCTTTGCTAAGCGTTTATGCCAGTTTATGAACTCAGATAACACACGAACCATGAGTTGCCTAGGGCTTAGTTTAATACTAAACAATAGAATTAAATCTACATTCTAGGCACTGTTTTAAGCACAATACATATTAACTTAGTCCTCACATCTGCCCAGTGAAATATGTAGTATTCTCATCCCCACGTCACAGATGAGGAAACTGAGTCACCCACAGGTTCAGGAACCCAGGCAAGGTCATCAAGTCACTAAAGCATGTAGCCGGACTCCCCACCTGGCCCACCTGGCCCCAGAAGCCAATGCCTCCTTTGGCTGAAGGAGGGGTATGCTCACAGACAGAATGGATTTAACAAGATACGGACGAGAAAGACCAACTTTATAAACAACAGGTCTATTTCGATGAAACAGAGTACATTTCTCAAAACTAGACTCTCCAAACTAACTCAAGAGTAAGTGGAAAACCCAGTTATCCCTAACTCCCAAAGCACTGGTTCTAAAACATGGTCACATATTACAGTCACCTTACAGAAAATTCCATGCCCAGGCCACTCGGCATGGGTGACATAGCAATGGCCGTTTTAGGGACTTGCGGGGCCAGCAGCCAGACGGCAGCCAGCTGGGGGTGGGGATGATGAAGCCTGAGCAGCAAGAAGCCAGGAAGCTCTTCAGGGAAACCACTGTGAGGGGCACATGGCCAGGGGCAGGGGCATGCCTGGGTGAAGCAAAGGGAGATAACTGAGTGGCTGGCATTTCTGAGAACATGGGAGGGGATGTCATCTACAGGACAACTTGGAGCTTATGTAGGACACATGGCCAGACCCAGCGTGTGTGACTGTGGCTTTGCCACTTGAGTAAACTCGGGCTGAGTCCCAGCTTCTGGTTGTTGTGAGGGCTAAGGATGACATGGATAACGGACCTGCACTTAAGACAGGGCCTCCCTCCCTCTGAGCTCAAAGGGGAGGCAGCTTGAGGGGCACCAGAGAACAGGGGAGAACTGAGCTGTTTGGCCTGGGGACGAGGGCCCGCGCACGGACTTACTCGGACTCGCACCCTCCAGGCTCCAGAGTCAGGGAGGCAGCTTGAAAGGCACCAGAGACAATCGGGGAAGAACTGAGCTGTTTGGCATCAGGGTGAGAGCTGGTTGGGGCAGCTTTCTCCTGGACAGACGTGCTGGTGGAAGCCTTTGTTCCTTTGGTGAGCCCTTCCCCGACAGGCCCGGCAGACGGGTGCCCTATCTGGGCCTCCAGCAACCTGGCTCACACTGTTGGGTCCACCCTGGTGATTCCCTGAGGCCCCGCCCCACCCAACTTTCAGGCCTACCCAAGCTGTTTTCAAAGTCTTCACCATAGGATTGGCCTGTCTTGGCTCCTGCTTCACAGTTTCCTAAAAGCTCTCAAACAAGCAGCATCTGGTCTCAGTGAGCCCATAGCTCTTGTTAAGTGGCCGCAGGCCTGGCACTAGAAGCAGCCAGCCTTGGTTCACAACTTGGCTTTTCATGGACACCTCCAAGCCCAGCACAAAAGCAGCCACCTGCAGATCACATTGTAGCTTATGCTTAGTGGCCTTGGATAGAACACAGGCAGCGGCTGACCTTGCCCTAGAACCAGCACACCCAGTGGACAGCTTCAGACCACATCGAACCACTACCACCCAACCACCTCCACAAGTGACACACTCAATGAGCGGACTCAGTGGTCACCAGAGCCCTGATGAAGTAAGTCTTGCTCTGTGTGGTGGGCCCTACACAGCTGATCCTCCAAGGGAGTCAGAGGCCAGTGGTCAGTGGGCACAACCAGACCTTGCAGCTGATCAGCCTGAGTAAATCCCTCCCACTGACATGCCAACAGCAATCAAGACTCAAATACAACAGAAAGGTGAACAGTCCACACTAGGGGTGCACCTTGAGGGCCCAGCTGGGGTGATCAGGGAGGCTGTGCCACTGGATCCTACAGGACACCTACAACAACAGGCCACCCTACAAAGCCTAGGAGACATAGCAACTCTACCTAATACATAGAAACAATCACAGGAAAGCAGACAAAATGAGAAGACAAAGGAACATGTCCCAAATAAAAGAAAAGAACAAAACTCCAGGAAAAGAATTAAACAAAATGGAGATAAGCAATCAATTCAGAAAACAGGTTATAAGGTTGCTCAAGGAACTTGGTGAGACATTCAAGGGACTTAGTAAGATCTTGAAGGAACTTAAGGAGACTTCTGAGGAACTTAGTAAGAACATCAACAACATAAAAAAGGACCAATCAGGCCCTGGCCAGTTTGGCTCAGTGGTTGAGCATCAGCCTGCGGACCAGAGAGTCCTGGGTTCGGTTCCTGCTAGGGGCACGTACCACACACACACACACACAAAAATAGGACCAGTCAGAAATGAAGGATGCACTAACTGAAATAAAGAATAATTTATAGGGAATCAATAGTAGAGTAGGTAAAGCCAAGAAGCAAACCATCGATTTGGAATATCAGGAAGCAGAAAACACCCAACCAGAACAGCAAGAAGAAAAAATAATCTAAAAAAATGAGGACCGTGTAAGGAGCCTCTGGGGCAACTTCAAGCATGCCAACATTCGCATCATAGGGGTGCATGAAGGAGAAGAGAAAGAGCAAGAAATTGAAAACCCATTTGAAACAATAATGACAGAAAACTTCAGCAGTCTGTTACCTACAAAGGAGCTCCCATAAGATTGTCAGCTGATTACTCAAAAGAAACTTTGCAGGACAGAAAGGAGTGGCAAGAGATGCTCAAAGTGATAGAAAGCAATGACCTACAACCAAGATTACTCTATCCTGCAAAGCTATCATTTAGAATCGATGGCCATATCAGGAGTTTCCCAGACAAGAAAAAGCTAAAGGAGTTCATCACTACCAAACTAGTATTATATGAAATGTTGAAGGGTCTTCCTGAAGGAGAAGAAGAACAAAAATATGAACAATAAAATGGCAATTAATACGTATCTATCAACAATTGAATCTACAAACAAAATGAGCAAGCAGAACAGAAGCAGACTCATCGATACAGAGAACTTTTTGTTGCTTGACAGATGGGTGAGGGCTGAGGGGACAGATAAAAAGATGAAGGAATTAAGAAGTACAAATTATAGACTTCTGGTCAGGATGGCGGGTAGGTAAACACGGTATCGCGTCCTCCCACAACCACATCAAAGTTACAACTAAACTACAGAACAACCATCATTCAAAACCGCCTGAAATCAAGCTGAATGGAAGCCCTACAGCTACGGAATTAAAGCAGCAGCCACATCTAGACTGGTAGGAGGAGCGGAGGGGACGGGCTGGTCCCACACCCACGTGTGGTGGATAAAATCAGGAGGACACCTCAGCTGGGAAGGTCCTCCCTGAGGACTGAGGGGTCCCCATCCACACCAGGCGCCCCACTCAGGGTTCCATTGCCAGGAAGAGAATCCCCATCACTTCTGGCTGGAAAACCAGCGGGAACTGAGGCTCAGGGAGGCTGAGGTGGCTGGAGCCCCCGGCAGCTCCTTAAAGGGCCCGTGCACAGACTTATCGGACTCTCTCCCTCTAAGCTTGGAGGGGAGGCAGCTTGAGGGGCGCCAGAGACACACAGGGAAGAACTGAGCTATTTGGCACTGGAGCGAGGGCTGGAGAGGGGGCTTTCTTGGGGACAAACGTGCTGTCAGAGGCCTTTGTTCCTTTGGTGAGCCCTTCCCTGGGGTAGCAGACAGCCCCCATATCTGGGACTCTTGCAACCTGGCTCACACTGGTAGCCCTGCCCTGGTGACTCCCTGAGGCCCCGCCCCACCCAACTTTCAGGCCCACCCAAGCTGTTGCCACTTGCTTAACCATAGGATTGGCTGGTCTTGGATCCTGCTTCAGGTTTTTCCTAAATTCTTTCAAATGAGCAGCATCTGGTCTCAGCGAGCCCCATATCTCTCATTAAGAAATACACAGAAACAAACACAGAGAGGCAGCCAAAATGAGGAGACAAAGAAACAGGTCCCAAATGAAAGAACAGAACAAAACCCTAGGAAAAGAACTAAGCGAAATGGAGATAAGCAACCTAACAGATGCTGAGTTTAAAATACTGCTTATAAGGATGCTCAATGAACTTAGTGAGAACCTCAGTGAACTTAGGGAGGGCCTCAAGAGCATAAAAAAGGGCCAGTTAGAAATCATGGATGCACAGTTAGAATTGAAGGAGGCATTAACTGAAATAAAGAATAATTTACACAGCTTCAATAATAGAGTATGTAAATCCAAGGAGCAAACCATCGATTTGGAATATAAGAAAGAAAAAAATGCCCAATCAGAACAGCAAAAAGAAAAAAAAAATCCAAAAAAATGAGGATAGTGTAAGGAGCCTCTGGGACAACTTCAAGCGTGCCAACATTCGCATCTTGGGGGTGCCAGAAGGAGAAGAGAGAGAACAAGAAATCGAAAACCTGTTTGAAACAATAATGGCAGAAAACTTTCCTAACTTGGTGAAGGAAACAGACATACAAGTCCAGGAAGCACAGAGAGTCCCAAACAACATGAACCCCAAGAGGCCCACACCAAGACACATCATCATCAAAATGCAAAAGGTTCAAGACAAAGAGAGAATCTTAAAAGCAGCAAGAGAAAGGCAGCTAGTTACCTACAAGGGAGTTCCCATTAGGCTGTCAGCTGATTTCCCAAAAGAAACTTTGCAGGCCAGAAGGGAGTGGCAAGAAATATTCAGAGTGATGAAAACCAAGAACCTACAACCAAAATTACTCTATCCTGCAAAGCTGTCATTTAGAATCGATGGACATATAAAAACTTTCCCAGACAAGAAAAAGTTAAAGGAGTTCATCACTACCAAACCGTTATTATATGAAATGATGAGGGGTCTTTTTGAAGAAAAAGATAAAAGGTATGAACAAACAAAATGGCAATGAATACATATCTATCAACAATGGAATCTACAAACAAAATGAACAGGAAGAACAGAAACATTCTCATAGATACAGAGAACATTTTGTTGGTTGCCAGTTGGGAGGGGGGTTGGGGGAAAGGGTGAAAAAGGTGAAGGGATTAAGAAGTACAAATTCATTGCTAGACTGACAAACCTCAAAGGGAAAGGGGTTGGGGGTGGGGTGGGAAGAAATAAACCAAAGAACTTATATGCATAACCAATGGACACAGACAATAGTGTGGGAAAAGGCAGGAGGGGGGGTGGGAGTGGGGAGGAGGGGGTCAAGGGGGGAAAAATGTGGAACATCTGTAATACATTTTACATTCAACAATAAAGATTTTAAAAAATTTAAAAAAAAGAAGTACAAATTGGTGATTAGACTGATGAACCTCAAAGGGAGGGAGGAAGGGAGGGTGTGATGAGATAAACCAAAGAACTTCTATGCATATATGCATAACTAATGGACATTGACAATAGTGTGGGGAAGGCAGGAGGGGGGCATGATTGGGGAATAGGGGGCAATGGGGAAAAAAGGGGAGAAACATCTGTAATACATTCAACAATAAAGATGAGTTAAAAAAAAAAAAAAAAGACAGGGCCTCCCACACGTCTAGGACCAACAGGGCAGCTACTGCTGTCACAGTCGCCTGCCACCGGCAGGGACACAACAGTCCCCCGCGGTGACAGTCATGGACATCGGCACAACAGCAGCGGTGTTAGCCTAGCAATAGGAGCGAAGGTACACAGGATCGTTTCGTGTGCATCAAAATGGATAGGTTTGCTGCAGAAACCTAGGCTCCCATTTTCTCCAGAAGGTGGAAGAAGCCCGAGTTACCTGTTGGGAGTGAGACGGGACGGGGCTGGCTTGGATTCTGAGTCATTTTCTAACTGAGATGTGTTTTCTTGTCTTGTAGTGCCGAATTCGCCGAATTCGCCTGGACCGGACTCATTGCTTGTTTTCCCTAAAAATAAGCTGGTGGAAGAAGGTTCCAATATTACCATTTGTTACATTTCTGGGAGCCATCAAAATAACGTATCCTGTTATTTGGAAGGTGTTCGGATCCACGGAGAACAACTTGGTCCCAACGTGTCCGCGTTCACCTTGCATAATGTTTCTTTCGTCAGGGATACCGGGTCGAATCTGTTTTGTCAGGTGCCGCACCCAAGTATTATAGGAGGCATCGTTCTCTTCGTCTCGAGTAAGCACGCTCCTCCTCTGGGCCCGTGTCCCCATTTCCCACAGATGCACCTCCTTTACCAGAACCCAGACTTCCAGTCCCGGTCTCAAGTTTCTCTGACCTCCCAAGACTTCTAGGAGAGACTCAGGAAAAGATACCCCGGAGCAATGCTGGCAGGATTTCCTGTTGTTTTCTCCTCCTTGACAGTTTTACTCCTAGAAGCCGAGTATGAAGGGGGAGCAAGATCGGGTCATGACCTGGGAATGGCCTGCTTTGCCTTAGCCATGCTGGAATGCCCACGGGGTTGCAGGTCAGGAGCCCAGAGAGGCAAGCAGGGGTGTGGTCCCGGCACCTGGGGTTGAACCTTTCTCCCCTGCTGGACATGCCCCCTTGGCCAAGCTTCCAAGCCTCCCTGAGCTGGTTTCTGCTGGGGGGGGGGGTGCCTGTCGTGAGGATTAATGAATGAGGACAGGGCCTGGCCCCCTGGGCCAGCTGCAGGCCGCAGGAGCTCAGCAGGAGACCATTACTGCTCATCCCTCCGGAGTAGCAGGGAGAGGGAACGCCTTATGTTTTCCCTAAGCCTGTGTGCACCCGTCTGGGGCCTCCTACGTTTGTCTTGAGATGGCCCGTCCTTCCCTGCACGTCAGGGCAACACTGCAACACTGCTTCCCTGGCAGGCACCACTGGACACTCGGTTTGCTGTGCTCCTTGGATGGCCTCTGGGGACAGCAGTGACCCCGGCCACTTGGGGGTCTGCACCATTCCCTGGAACTCTCAGCTCCGGCTGCTGAGTGTAGCAGGTTCCCCAGATCTGATCCACTTCCTGGCATCCCACGCGTAACCCCCAGGCTGTCAGCCACGGCCCCTGGAGCAAAACACCGGGCTTCGTTCTTTCCGTCTGTGCTCACTTGGTCTGTTATCGAGCGACGCACGTTGAGCGCCGACCAGCGGGGTCTGGGCACCCAGCGTCCACCCGACCTGCTCCCTGCTGACCATGTGCGGGGCGCCGCCCACCCACCCGACACCCTGGAGTGGGACTTCCCGGGGCCGCCGCTGTGGGAACGGGAGGCATCGTGTACATGGCCCCGTTACTGCTCAGTCACCCTGTGGCCTCGGACTCCGGGCAGAGCTGTTTTATTTGGCTTGGATTTAACTGGATCCTTCGTGTCTGTTCCTTGTCCTGGCAGAGGTACTTGAAGAGCCCAAGGACTTTTCCTGTGACACTCGGGACTTCAAGACTTTGACCTGTACTTGGGATCCTGGGCGTGACACGGACTTGCCTAAATATCCTGCCCAACGCTACGCTTTGTTTGAGTCGTAAGTGAACTCTGGGGACATTACTGACGGTCTGTCTTGTCTGCGGTGCTTGTGGCAACATCACAGACACCACATTCCCACGTGGCATCCAATTGGAACAAATATTTAAACCAGCCCGACAGCATGAGTCAGTGGGTCACAGTGCACAGCACTTCCTCCCGAGCGTCAGCAAAGGGAAATGAAGCCTCAAAGTGATAAGACAGCCCAGCCGGTGTGGCTCAGCGGCTGAGCGTCATCCTTTGCACCAAGAGGTCACCAGTTCAATTCCCAGGCAGGGCACATGCCCAGGTTGTGGGCCAGGTCCCCAGTGGGGGGCGTGCAGGAGGCGGCCAGTCGATGTTCTCTCTCATCGATGTTTCTGTCTCTCTCAAATCAATAAAGAAAAATTATTTTAAAGAAAATAAGACAGACCATTAAGGGTTAATCTTGATGTGAACATATATGTCCATCATTTTAAATAATAGTTCCATCTGAGGCTCCATAATTTCTAGCTTTCGAAGAATATCCAAAGTAAATTAAGGTGCGTTCTCACTGCTCACACAGGGGAGTCGGTGACTTATCCACATTCAAGCGCATGAGTCAGACTTGAAACAGTAGTGTCGTCGTTGGCGTGTGTTGGTGATGGGTGGATGCTCTTGTGTGGGACAAAGTTCTAAAGCTGCTGAGCATCGCCAAGGGAGACAGGGAGACACCGTTGCAGTGATAAAGGGTCAACCCTGACATTGGTTTTTTTTTTTTTAAGATTTTCTGGGGAGAAGAAACTTTGTGAACACAAAGACCGGTGTACTTGGCAAATAGCTCCAGGCTCACAAGAAACGTATAACTTCACACTCATGGCTGAAAACCACTTAAGGAAGAGGAACGTGAGCATTCTCTTTGACCTGGCCCATCGAGGTGAGACCAGCCGCCGTGGCCACGTCCTTGTTCCACACCCTGGGTGGCCGGTGAATGTGCTGCAGGTTTTTCTCTAGTTCACATCCTAAGTGACGTTCACAGCATATAGCTCTTGTTCACGCCACACCTCTCTGCGTGGATACACGTCTGGCCCCTGTGGTTTCTTTGTTTTAGTAATGTAATAAGCCCCCCTGAGCTTACTACTCAATCACAGTAACTGTGACAATAATTTATCTCCCCTCCCACAGCCTCTCTCCCATGCTCCGTTCCTTCTCATTTATGTCATCCTGAAAATACTGTGTTTTATTCTGTTTGGAGGGAATGTATAAAAAAGACATCGAGTTGTACGTCATCACCTAGTAATGTTTATATGCTGCTAAGAGTTACCCACCGTACGAATGGGGTTACGATTCATTCATTCTCACGGCTGCAGAGTATTCCGTTGTGTGAACATACAGTATTTTATTTACGCATCTCCTCTGACGGGTTTTCAGATTACGCCCAGGTTTTCGTTCCTGAGTACAGCAATAATGTGAGCACTGTGTATACGTAACCAGTACACATCGACAGTTGTCTTTCTTCAGTGTATACCCGGTGAGGACACAGACAGTGTGATGTTCAGTTTCTGAGATAATGCCGGACCATTTTCCAGGCGGTTGCATCCGTCATACCCCCCGCCCCGTGGAGTCAGATGTTCCCTCCAAGGTGGTATGGTCGCACTCTTCGTTTCTGCCACCTGAATGGATGTAAAATGGTATTCTGACAGATACATTCCTGGATTGAGTATCTCTTCCTTGTTTTGACCAGATCTGCGTCCTCTTGTCGGAAATGCACAATCTTCATACATGGTCACCTTTTTGGGGTGCTCCTCCTCCTCCTCTCTCCTTTTTATCTCTCACAGCCTTGAGGCTTCCACTCAATCATCACGCCAGTCAGTGTAGCGGGCACTGGGGACCCAGCGGTGAGCAACACTGGGTAACTGCCTACTGCCCCCAATGAGCTTATTATGCGCGCGCGTGTGTGTGTGTGTGTGTGTGTGTGTGTGTGTGGGTGTGGGTGAGAGTGGGGAGTGGAGACTCTCAGTAAACATGTCAATGAGGCAATGAAATCATCTCGAGCATCGACGTGTTCTGCAAGGATGATGCATTTGAAGTGGTGGAGTAGCGACTGCCTCGTGCTGCCGGAGTGAGGAAGACTTGGGAAACTGTCTCTGAGGGAGCTGAGTCCTGAAAGAGGAGGGAGGGGCAGAGAACACCTAGGGGAGGAGCATCTGAAGCAAAAGGAATTGGATTGGAAAGGGTCACAAGATGGGAACAAGCTCAGGGCTTTTTTAAAAGATGGAAAGAATGTCCTTGTGTTCGTACTATGCAAAAGAAAGGAGACTGGAGTGGCAGTCAGTGGCCAGATCAGGCAAAAGCTGTGGACCTGGGCAAGACAGTTGAATTGGAGGATGTTGATCAGGACAGGTAGATGGTGCGACCTAACGTGCAGACAACGACCGCTCAGGCTGGGCTGCAGAGGGTGAGGGTAGAGGCGGGGAGGTTCCTGGGAGGCTGTGGGACCGAAGTTGGAGTGATGAAGTTGGTAGACATTGCTCATCTTCTGAACACACTTTGGAATAGAGTTGGTAGGATTCATTTGAGGAAGACGTGGATTATAAGGATAAGAGACATTTAGGCGACTCCTAGGTTTTGGGGGTAAACCATTGGGCAATATTGGAACAATTCCCTGAAATGGAAGGATATCAGGGAAGAGTGGCTCTGAGCAGGAGACCAGAGTTCTCTCAGCCATGTGAACTTGGGGATGCCCTTGAGACGTCTAAATGGAAACATTGAATATAAAGTTTGGAGAGCGTGGAAGAAGTCTGGGATGCAGACTTCTAATTGAGAATCATCAAGCTGCAGATAGTAATCAACAAAGGAGGTAACGAGAGGAGGGCTCAGGTGGGACCTTCTAGAATTCCATTTTTAGGTCAGATACCCCTCTACCCTGTCAGAGTTGTTACCCCCGTCTCAGTGTTACATTTACTTGTGTGGTTATTGATCTGTGTTTGCTCTCCTGTTGGACTTTGCAGTCAAGGGTCATGACTGGTTTTGTGTTTGATGCCATCAAACAATTTCTTTTTTTTATTGGTGTATTTAGATCCTTTATATTGAACATAGTTATTGGTATGGCTGGACTCAGGTCTTCCATTTTACGAGTTCTTTTCTCCTTGTTCTCTCTGTTTTTGATTTTATCCTGTTTAATGCTTTATCTTGAGCTTCTTGAATCTGTAGACTTGCGTTTTCCGCCGTTTCTTCAGCCTACTACTGTTCCCTTTCTTTCTGGGACTCTAACAGATTTGAGCTTTTGCTATTATCCCACATCTCCCTGAGGGGTGGTTCATTTTTTAAAAATTCTTTTCCTCCCTATGGTTCAGATCGGACAATTCCTATTGACCCTCATTCAAGTTCACTCTTTCCCAACATCTCTATTCTCCTATCAATCCTACCCAAAGAGCTCTCTACTCATTTTATTTTATTTTTTAATTATTTTATTTATTTATTTTATTTTATTTTCATCTAAAGTTTCCATTCTGTTCTTTTTATCTTCTCTTTCTTGAGACTTAGTATTTTCCATTAGTTTTGAAAATACTTGTGATTGTTAGAACATTTTATAATAGTTGTTTAAAGCCTTTGACAGATGGATCCAACACTTGTGTCACCTTGTGGTTGACATTTGTTGTCTTTTCCCGTATGAGTGAGATTTTCCTGGTTCTTTGTATGCTGAGTAATCTTGGGTTTTAACCTAGACATTTGAGTGTTATGTTGTGAGACGCTGGGTGTTTAGATCCTATGGGGACTATTGACAGTTTTGTTTTAGTAGATACTTGACCTTGTGAGCCTCAAGCTGCCAATTGCAGCCCACCTCTTGTGGGCTGTGTTTTCAATGTCAGTTCTGTTGACGAAGCCTCTACAGTGCTGTTCAGATCTGTGCCCGTGCCTCCCGGTGCACAGTCGGGGACCTGGCAGTGATCTGTTAGGTGGGTCCTCAGAGTCCTTGGCACCATGGTTAAGAGCAGATTCACACCTGCGCAGCTGGGAGGTGAACACAGCAGTTCGTAAACCATGTTATGGATTCACTTTCCCTGGCTCCTACCTCCCCATGATGTCCCTGGTACTTTTCGCTTTTCTGGAACTCTTTTTTTTTCCCTCCAGCCAGAAATCTGGAATGACTTTAGTTATCCCATTCTGCCCCTCACTTTCACTACTGAACCAAATAGTAGGAGGGAAAAAAAAAAAAAACAGGTCAATTCAATGTCAGTTTAGTAATACTTCTAATTCTGATCTCCTATTTTGGTTAGACTCTGCGTTCTGTTACATTCTCCCCGTGGGCTGTTTCTTCAAGTTCTGATACCCCCTCCACAATCTGCCTGATTTATTTAAGAATTCTCAGGTAGTTTCTTTTTGTATTCTGTTCAGAGTTTTTAACATAATCACAGAGAGGAAAGGGCTGTATTTGGCTTATTCCATCCTGGCTGTAAGTCTGATTTTCTTTACCATTTTCTCAAAAATAAACAAAAAAGACTTAAATAAATAAATAAGGACATGAACTGCTTATCTACCAAAGTCTTTTGGCTCTGTGTCTGAATTTTTTTGTGTACTTATTCTCTCTCTCTCTTTTTTTTTGGCAGTTCATCCAAAGACTCCTTTTAATGTGTTTATTAAAAATGCGAGTGCCATAGATGCCACCCTGACCTGGCAGGTGGACCCCATTAAGAATTACTCATTTTTGTGTCAAGTTGAACTCCATGGTGAAGGAAAAGGGTTACAAGTAAGGACACTGGTTAATATCCTATTTTCAAAAATCCCTTTATGTCCTGAACAGAGGGACTGAGGAATAAAACCTCTCTAAACTCTTATTCCTGTGTGGGTTCAAGGGGTGTGTGTTTTAAAGGTTGAAAAAGGTCCATGAAATTCATCATAGGTTTTCAGAGTTGGGAAGGGGGTGCCTTAGAGATTTTTCTTCCCAGAGAAGAGCGAGTCTTGCCCCCAGTCGGGATGTGCCGTGTTGTGACTGGCTTTGCAAGGAGCATGCTCAGCAACACTCCTGTGTTTCTTACCAAGCAGCACAATGTGTCCACCGAGGATCGTGGTCAGTACTTCTTCGGTGACCTGGCACCTGCCACAGAGTATGCGGCCCGAGTACGCTGTGCTGCCGCCAACCGCTTCTGGAAGTGGAGCGAATGGACCGGGCGGAACTTCAGCACGCGCGAAGCTGGTATGTGCAGAGCCCTGACCTTTAGCGCAGCCGCCTGAACGGACGGGCGGGAGGCGGGCTGGCTTCTCCGAGAGCTCTTGGTGGCGGCACAGACGAAGGGGCAGGACCGCAGAAGATGCTGCGAGCTGTCTTTGGGGGAAAAGGAAAAACTGAATTCAGTGGCTAACGCGACGTGAGTGGGAAGCCACCCACTTCAAACATCGCCCCTGTCTCCCTGGGACCCTCTCCCTGTGCCACCTGCAGACCCAGAAGTGAAAAACAGACAAACGTTCATCGCCAGTGTGATTTCTCCTCTGGCCTCCTCTCTGGTCGTCATTTTTCCCCAAGCGGTTTCTAAGCCCCTGGCCTGGCTGGCTCCCTGCTGGAGTGGGGGCGGTGTGAACCAGGACAGACTTTACATTTGGGACTAGGGACAGACCCAGCGTCCATGCCAAGGAGAGCACTGACCTCGGGCCACGCGGCAGGCCGCTTGGAAGGCAGTGATCTCTGGGAACCAGTTCTCGTTGGAGAGTCCTTTGTTCAGCAGAGCAGGAGCCTCTGCAGCACGCTGGGGTGCCCCGCGGTGTCACAGCGCGGAGGGGAGGGCTGCTCCCCCAGGGCACTGTCTCAGGGCTCCAAGGCCGCAGCAGGTGGGAGGGCCCAGCACCACCGCGGGATGATGACGCGTCACCGTCACCCCGGTCCCTGATGGAGCAACTTGGGCCCATAGACTGAAGAGAGTTGCCTAGTTTGCCAAGTTCACAAATGGCAGAAACATAATAATAACAATAGTAATAATAGTAATAATAGTAACGGCTGGCATTTATTGAGTATGTAGTATATGCTAGACACAGCTCAAAGCGCTAACAGGGTTTTTCTGTTAATCCTACGACATGCCATTGGCACTATCATTTTTTTTACTTTATTTTTTATCCTCACCCGAGGACATTTTTTTTTTTTTTTGGTATTTATCTTCAGATAGAGGGGGAGGGAGAGAGAAACATTGATGCGAGAGAGACACATCGACTGGTCACCACCCACACGACCCCAACGGGGGTCGGGGACAAACTGCAACCGAGGTACGTGCCCTTAGTGGGAACCGAACCCGGGTCTCTCCAGTCCGAGGGCCGACGCTCTAACCGCTGAGCCCACCCCGGCCAGAGCCATTGGCACCATTACTATCCACACTGCGTAGACGAGGACGTGGAGGCACAGAGGATAAGTCATTTGAGCGGCCCAGCCGGCACGTGACTGGGCTGTGACCGTGGCTCAGCTGGTGGAGCCCCACCCTCACGCACAGCTGGATTCTACACGTTCTGCTTCTGCTGTTATTACTACCGCCTTGCGGTCTTGTTGATTCAAGTCCTGGCTATTTTACGGCCAAAGGAAGGATTACACGTGTTTATTTTAGTTCCTCTTATTACTTGTGTTTGCAGAATGCCTTCTGCTTCACCTGAGGAGGACCATTTTATTTTTATTATTATTATTATTAATTTTTATCCTCACCTGAGGACCTTTTTGCATTTCTCTTCAGATAGAGCAGGAGTGGGAGAAAGAGAGAAACATTGATGTGAGAGAGAGACATCGACTGGTTGCCACCTGCATGACCCAAACCGGGGCCGGGGCCAAACTGCAACCAAGTTGTGTGCCCTTAGCGGGAACCAAACCCGGGACTCTCTGGTCCGCGGGCCGACACTCTAACCACTGAGCAAAACCGGCCAGGGCAGGAGGACCATTTTTTTTTTTTTTATCCTCACCAGAGGACATTTTTTTTCCATTTTTTTTTGTTCAGGTAGAGTGGGAAGGAGAGAGAGGAACAGAGAGAGAGAGAGAAACATCGATGTGAAAGGGACACATCGAGTGGCTGCTACCCGCACAACCGACCAGGGCCGGGGACAAACTGCAACCAAGGTACGCGCCCTTAGCGGGAACCGAACCCGGGTCTCTCAGGACCGCAGGCCGACGCTCTAACCACTGAGCCAAACCGGCCAGGGCAGGAGGACCATTTTAAAGCAGTGACTCTAACTGGGGGTGAGGACGGCGTTGCATCGGAATCCACAGCGGGGGTTGGCCCCTGGTCAGGCTCAAGGCTTCCTGCCTTGTCCGGAGTTTCTGCCCACCTTGGTCCAACCCCACGCCCCCAGAGACCTCGGTACCTTTTCTAGGTGTGTAGATTCCTCAAGGGTCCCCTCACGGCAGAAAGCCCTGTTCCGGAGAATAATATGGTATATTCCTCAGTTGTGTTTTAGTTTTATTAAGGGATTTCTCCTTTAACCATGCAGCTTTGCTTTGCGTTTTCTTTGGCTGTTTTTTTTTTCCTTTGCAAATTTATTCCAACATTATAATTAAAGTGCAAAAGGAATATGGCAAAAGGATAGAGTTTTTAGTACATTGTACTTCTTTTAGTTTATAGTCTAATAAACTAGAAAATACTTAGCTTTTGATGAGGACAAGAAATTAGATAAATCTACTGAGGGTGGATGTGTAGTGAACACTTAACACTACTGATGATGATGCTCCCAAACTCTGGAAAACTCAGTTTGGGTGCATCATCATCATGTAAGTATAATCCCAGTAAGCAGAGTTAAAGGACACCCTGGCAGAAATTATATCGACATAGATGTAGGTATTATTACCTGTGCCACCGTGGTCTCTTCTTACAAATACTAACTTGTAGACCAGCTAAGGTTCTGCGCTGAACTAGGGTCTCATATTGTGCCCAAGTATTTCAATAAGATGTTGATTTAATGTCAGCCTCTCCTATGACTCCTGTAGCAAATTAAAATCTGCTTCAATAGATTTGAAAATATATGATCACCTTCACATTGAGGGGAAAGTGTCTAAGAGGAAAAAGGACTTAAATTTCAGTGGTCGGGGACTTGAACCGTATTTTTATAAAACAGAGAACAAATCTTTGTGTTACGTTCCAAGGCAGTTCTTGCAGAGAGATGCAGAGTCATATCACAAGCCGCTCACCCTATAGTTTACTGTTGAGAAAGACAAGGACGCAAACTCTTCTTCAACTGTGTGGTGCGAGCCATGATAGGGACAGAACAGTGGGGCCCGAGTGTGCAGAGGGGAAGGAGGGATCCCAGGTTGTGACTAGCAGAGGGGGCCCGAGTGTGCAGAGGGGAAGGAGGGATCCCAGGCTGTGACTCTAGCAGAGGGGACCGGAGTATGCAGAAGGGGGAGGGGGAAGGGGTCCCCAGGCTGTGACTCCACGAGGGGCCAGCGGACGTGAGATCCTGGCCGGGAAGGGCGCAGCCTGCCGGAACACTCTGAGTGCATCCCTTGCGGCTCCTTAAACGGGGGGAGGAAGCAGCACTGATCTGCTGCTCCTACAAATGCAAACAATGGGAATTTACCTAAACAACCTCCTAGAATTAATTGGTCTGACAAAATGATGTCAAAATTCTTTGGTGGCTTCCAGGGCTCTGGGGCCTGGCGTCCATAAAGGGCTTTTAGTGTAACGTCCACTCAGACACAGACCTTCTGTAAAGCACCTACTGTGTGCGCTCAGTGTGGCGCGCAGGGTGGCCGAGCCTCCAGGATACTCATCGTCACTCTGATGACCAAACCAGAAGCGGGAATGTCTTGTTCTACATACATACATACATACACATGTGATCCAAGGACTTCTCGTGGTTAATTTCAGCTCCCTCCAAGGCGCCCGACATCTGGAGAAGTGTGAAGTCAGTGCTGGGATCGTGTAATGTAACTTTGTTCTGGAAGGTAAGACACAGATTCAGAGACAGGTGTGCTTGGCCCCATCTGTCCTGTGAAAGGAACTGGACTTTGGGGCGGTCTCCCAGCCCCTCTCCGAGGATCTGAGGCAGGGACTGGACCGCGAACGCAGCAGGAACCCCGCCCAGTGGACGCCCCTGTCCACCTCCGCTGGGCCAGCGCCTGCCCTGCTCCTCCAGGCCGCCCAGTGTGCGCACCGCCGGTGTCCGTCAGAACCTGTGTCTGTCGTCTTGCAGGGCCCGGGGCACGAGGGTTATCAGACCCTGAGCGCCAGGTTCCGGAGCCTCAATGTCCCCTGAATTAGCCCTGAACTCAGTACAGAGACACCGACAGGCTTCATGGAGAAGAGGGGGACGTGGGAGTCGACCAGGAAAGAGAAGCCGAGCTCCCCGAGGGAGCTTGCACAGGCTTGGGGTGTCCCTAGCTGGTCACCTAGTGGCGGCGGAGCCCGGGGCGGTCACAGGATGGTGTCAGTGGTCAGTGGGCCACCCACAGGGCCTGTGAAGTCATGCTTCCGCAAACTTTCTAGTTACCATTTAATTGACAAAATGACTATGTTGCAGAACGTGATGTTAAGAAAGGATGTCATTGTGTACATTCTTCTCTTTAAGGTGTGGTTAGGTGACTTCCACTCCGGAACTGTACTGGAAGCGAGGAGTCATAGTCAGGAGTTCTTTGGGTCGAGTCCAGCGTTACCCCTAAACTGCCTCCGTGTGACCAGAGAAGCACATATGCATAACCATATTTAAGTTACAGTTATTTGAATAGTCACAGTATTTATGCTTCAGAGTTAGGAATATGCTAAAACACCGTAGTATAGTCTCTATGGTGTCCTGTGACCTTGACAAATATGCCTTCACGACCTGGAAGGTCAGGACCGTGTTCGGAACTCCCACCTCCTCAGTGACTGAGACCAAAGCACGGCCACGCGGGGAGCTGGCCCCTGGCCGCACCCACCCGCTTTCCCCCCTGCCGCACTCCGGCCCCTCCCTCTGCAAGGAGCCCTGTGCACATGCGCAGACGCGCCGACCCCACGCCCACGTTCTGTCCACACCCCAAGCAAACAGCCTTCCCAGCTGTTCTCAGGTCTGGGGGCACCACTGGTCCTTGGGAGGGTAGACCTGAGGGACAGGCCCTGGGAGTGAGCGTGGGGCGTGAGACGGAGTGAGCAGGGAATTCCCTGCAACCTGGAGAATCTTCCAGAAGGGGAACTGTGGGTGTGGGGTGCTCAGGCGGAGGGGGGCGAGGACCGGAGCTGGGGCTCACAGATGGCTTCTTCCTGCACCATCCAATCAGTCATTTTAAAATCCTGGCTAGAGCCCTGGCCGGTTTGGCTCAGTGGTTAGAGCGTCGGCCTGCAGTCCGGAGAGACCCGGGTTCGGTTCCCGCTAAGGGCACGTACCTCTGCAGTTTGTCCCCGGCCCTGGTTGGTCGTGCGGGTGGCAGCCACTCCATGTGTCCCTTCACGTCGATGTTTCTCTCTCTCTCTCTCTCCCTTCCTCTCTCTCTCTCTCTCCCTTCCTCTCTCTCTCTCTCTCCCTTCCTCTCTCTCTCTCTCTCCCTTCCTCTCTCTCCCTCCCACTCTATCCGTACAAAATATGGAAAAATATCCTCGGGTGAGGATAAAAAAAAAAAAAAAAATCCTGGCTAGAGAGTCCCCCGTTCTCAGGGTTCCTGACTTGGCCCCTCTTCTGTGGAAACACTGGGAGGAGCTCAGCCCTAATGAGCCCGTTCTCCACGCCAAGCAGAGAAAATGGCCTGGTGGCGAGCTCAGTTTAGAAGGTTATTTTCTCTGCGAGCCTGCTTTAATCTGCTGGTGTGTGTGTGTATGTGTGTGTGTGTGTAGACATTTGAGGGACAGAAAAGTAAAAAAGTAACTGTGCAAATGGCTTTCAGAGGAAAGCCCATTTTGAAATGATTATCGATATTTTTTTTCAGCCACTTCCAAAATCACACGCCCACGGAAAGATTCTATTCTATAACGTAGCTACCGAAAACCTAGACACACCACCCAGTTCAAAGCTCTTCTCCGTCCCTGCTCCAGCCAGTGGCACAGCACTAACCTTTGACCGGTGTTCTCACCGAATCCGCGTCACCGCCAACAACAGTGTGGGCGTCTCTCCCGCTTCCGTGGTTGTCGTCTCTGGGGACCTTGCAAACGGTGGGTTGCGTTTCGTTTTTATTCTCTAGGAAAATATTGATGCTGCTATTAGGTAGAGGTAGGCAAACTGGAAAGACAGTAACTTGGGGAGACAGAATGTCCAGCTACCGACAGTGCCCGCTGGGTGTGTCCGTGGTTCCCTACGACAGTCCTTGGGGTGGGGGGAGGGAGGTTTCAACCATCACTCAGGACATTTCTGCTCTGGCGATTCTTCAACAAACTTGGGAAATTATCTCAAATTTACTCAAATAAATGCAACACCAACGAACAGTCTCAACGGAGAGCTGGAGTTGATGTGAACGTGATCTGGGGCTTGTGAAGTATGAGCCGCAGTATAATATGTAAACTATTCCGTCAGTCTTTGCCAACTATAAGGAGCCCGGGAACATTTGCAGAGATCACAGGGAGAACCAGTATGATCTTTCAAGAGGGGCTTTGCCAAGGCTGTAGACTGGAAGGAAACATGGTGACTGACCGGCTAATCTCTGAGCCGACAGAAAGAGCAGATGAGGTGGAAATGCCCTGCACGTAAAGTCAGTGGTGGTACTAACTTCCTTTTGGGAGAGCTTGAAAAGGAGGGGGTACACTACATCCCCACAGGAACGCCCGAGACAGCGGATGACTGGACAGAGTACAGTCGACATCCCAGCTCATGCATGAACCTTGCGGTGCCAGCCCCCTTCAGTTACTGCTCATAGGGTTAGGCCAGGTGGTACCATCGTTCCGGCTGGGCTTCAATTTGGGCTGAGTGAGCTGGATTAGAAGGTGATGTTTCCTTTGGCTTTAATTTTAAGAACCATGCATCACAAGTAAGAGAAAGACATTAGGACTGTGACCGGAAGAAAAACCAAGGAGTGATTTAACATAACTGTTGCTGGCCAAGGACAGTATCAGGGAAGGAAGTGAATGGCTGCATTGTCTTCATTAGAACCAGGACAGAAAAGGCCGGCCCTTCACTCACCCCGGGGGACTGAATAGGAAAGAAACTGCTGAGCACTGTGATCTGTTCTGGGTTTCCTGCCACACCTTCCTTCCCAGGCCTTGCCCTCAGACCCTCCCCTTCCGCGGGGCTCCATGCAGCCTCCGGAGTGTTCAGTCCAGTCTCTGGTGCGGACAGAGACAGATGTGCCCTGGGACAACCCAGGGAGGCCAGGCCAGTGTACACCTCCGCCTCCGCTCAACCCGTTTCTGATGAGAGTTGACTCTAAGTTTGGGTGAAGTGTCAGTGTGGATAAGTGAAGTGAAAACTGTCGCTTGGATGTGACAGAGCTGTTCCTTTGCTGAAGGAAGAGAGGGAGCCCTCCTGGTGGGCTACACGAAGGCCTCGGGAACCCCTGGCCTCACACGCAGGGCTGCACACCCCTTTGGGTGCCCGTGCAGGCTAACAGCACCATGCTCTTGCATGAAACCCGGCGGGAATCAGGGGGCCAGGGAAACAGGGCGCCCCGTGAAATCTGAACTGCGGATAAACAGTCTGTCTGTCGCTGTGCCTGCACCATGCATCTGCCTGTCGCTGTGCCTGCACCATGCATCTGCCTGTCGCTGTGCCTGCACCATGCACCTGCCTGTCGCTGTGCCTGCACCATGCATCTGCCTGTCGCTGTGCCTGCACCATGCATCTGTCTGTCGCTGTGCCTGCACCATGCATCTGCCTGTCGCTGTGCCTGCACCATGCATCTGCCTGTCGCTGTGCCTGCACCATGCATCTGCCTGTCGCTGTGCCTGCACCATGCATCTGCCTGTCGCTGTGCCTGCACCATGCATCTGCCTGTCGCTGTGCCTGCACCATGCATCTGTCTGTCGCTGTGCCTGCACCATGCAGCGTCTGGTCCTCAGGGGCTGGTTTTCCGGGCAGCTGCCTGCGGGCTTGCTCTTGGATCGGGCCTGCTTGCACTCGAGTGGCCCGCTGAGACCACTGCCCCATGGACGGGGCAGGACGTGGTCAGCCTTGGGGAGCGGGAGGCATTCGCATCCCTCAGGGCCTGGGCGACCCTGCTGCGGGTCAGCGGGACTGGTGCTCCCAGACCTATCGCCTTTGTGCCACTGTCAGGCCTGCGGACACTGCCCAGGCTCATACGGATGTTGACGGAGCAGCCTTAGTCACAAGCACACATCCTTGCCGAATGTGACTTAGGACACACCCGAATTGTCTTTCCTTTTCGGTCTCACCTCCGTTTCTACCCCAACACCTGAGAAACAGCAGCTAGTTCGGGGGCAGCCAGCACCACGGGGGATGCAGCTGACTTGTCCGTTCACTCCGGACCTGTCTGAAAGCAGAGGTGGCTGTAGGTCAAGGGTCAGCAACTTTTTCGGTAAAGGGGCAAATATTGTCTTAGGCTTTGCAGGTCATACAGCTTTCGTGAGATAGTCAATGCTTTTCATTTGTTTTTTTACAACTCTAAAAATCTTAAAACCTGTCTTAGCTCAAGGGTCATACACAAGCCTCAGAGGCTGGGCTTGTCCCACAGACGGTCATTTGCTGACCCGTTTTCGGTATGAAGTCTGGTTGGGTCTCAGCAGGTCAGGACAAGGGGCGTCTGAAGGGCAGGTGTGAACATACGCTGGGAAGTGAGGCAGGAACACCCCTATGAAAACACTCCAGCTACCCCTACCCAGGCCCCTGGAGGGAATGAAGCCCGGGGCTCTGACCTGCTGGATACACTGCACATTCAAGTTTAGTTTCTTTACATACTTTTCAAAAATGTTTGATTTATCACATCTGAAACACTGCCCTCTTTGTAAATGCACAGAAGAGGTTGAAGAAGAAAGAATTCAAGGCACAGAGGACGGATTCTCTCTGTCTTGGAAACCGCCATCTGGAGATGTCACAGGCTACGTCGTGGACTGGTGTGACCATCCCCGGGACTTCCGCTGTGATCTCCAGTGGAAACACCTGGGCCCCAGTACCACACGCATGGTCATCAGCTCAGGTAAGAAGAACCTTCCACATCACCATCTTGTCCCATCCACCTGGCGGCGTGATCAACTAGGATGCCTGGCCCATCTGGAAGATTCTTTGTGATAAACTAATTTTGACATTGCAAGTCCAGCGTGGGTGCTAGGATTTCAAGTTTTGCAAATGATGTGGCCTGAGATTTGACCTTGAATCTCCTTTGCCAGAGAATATCTGGACCTACATTTGGGCTAGGGTTTCACGCTTTTCATGAATTTGTTCCCGTAAATTAGTGGTCTCGAATGAATGGCAGCAGGACATTCTAACAGTTGTCCAGAGAGCTTTTACAGAGGCAAAGATGTGTATGGATTCGGGTGACATTTAGGACAGTGTTGATGGGTGTCCATCATCTACTTTCAACTTCAATGGAACATATAGAACCTGACTTCTTCCCTCCTGCATGGATTTGTAATTTCGAGATGGCTACATTAGCTAAAGCAAGGGAGCCGTGGCCTGAGCAGGGGTTGGTGGCGCCATCTGCTGGACTCAAGAGGAAGATGTGGGAATTGGCTGGGTCCAGAGGGTGACAGAGGCCCTTGAGGGCACTTCTTCGCCCTTGGGCAGTGGGCAGGCCAGGTTCCCCTGGGCAGGAGCAGCGTCAGGGGCCTGGCCTGCTGCAGAGGTGCCAGTGTGAGGGGAAAGCCGGGAAGTGGAAGCCAACTCTCAGACACGTGGCTTTCGTGGGCAGAGAGGAGGCACGTAGCTGAAGGGGGCTGTGGAGTCCGAGGAGAGGTGGCGACAGTGGCTTTCTGTCCCGTGCAATGAACTCTGCGCCCAGGTTCATGCCCATGGCTGAGGGCGTGTGTAGGAGCTATTCTCCCAGGGGACGGCACAGAGAATGGTCCCCACAGCTTCTTCAGAAACCAGGGAGGGCTCCGAGGCTCAAGGGCAGGGGGCGGGTGGTGGAGACGGAGGCAGCAACCCCGAGAAGGAAATTACTAAGGGCGCACACATTCCGTGTTCCTTCTTTTCCTTTTCACAAGTAAAGAGAAGGTCCATTGTGTATTACTGTTGAAAATCTGTTGACTTGTCTTCTCTAGATGCTTTTCGACCAGGGGTTCAATACTACTTCAGGATTTATGGAATTTCTACAGAAAAGATGGCTCATTTACTGGAGAAGAAAACAGGCTACACCCGGGAACTGGGTAAGTAGCAAGCAGGTCCCGTGTCCATGGCAGCCTCGCTCAGGACTGCCCAGAGACTCGCAGCGTGGGGTGGAGGGTTTCAACCCCATTCCTAGTTCTCGGTATCCTACTTACTCTGGTGATTGGGTTTTAGAAATATTATTTTGAATCATCCTAACGTAAAACATTGTCACTGAGCACCACGTAGAAATCTTACGCAAAAGAAGACCAAATCTGCTCACTTTACCAAAAGCAAAATATTTCGGGGATACACTGTGTTCAGTAAACACAGGCTCTCACTCTGTGCAGTCTGACTCACGTCGCTGAGTGCTGTTTCACTGTTATTTTTATGAGTGCAAAGGGCCTCCAGGAATGTGTCAGATCACCTGTTGAGACCTGTAGGGTGATGACAGTGTTTTCGACTAAAAACAGTAAAATTCACTTTCCGGTACTGTGCAGTCCCAAATGCTCAATCTCCTCCTGTTCTTGTGCCAGCCTCCCTCGGCCCACCCGAACCACCATCATCGTCGTCATCTGAGTCCATACCCACGATAAGGGTTTTTATTTTATTTATTTTTTTATAAGAGTTTTTAAACGAAGTCCCAGAGGCGGACTCATTCAGCCACGTGTGAACTTCTCAAACAGTTTTCGCTTCCTTTACGACGATAGGACTTTAGAGACATTGCAGAATCGCCCCAGGAACCTGACCAGGGCTCCAGCGCGCAGGGGTCTCCGTCCTCCCTCGTGGAGCCTGTGCACCTTCCTGGCCTCCAGGGCCGCACGCCCACTGAGAGCGGGCTCCTGGGCCCCGCACTGCCTTGCTGCAGTCGGATCGATGGGCCCTGTGGGGGCGGGCTCCCCCTGGCGGCAGTGGTCCGAGCCGGGCAGGAGCGGTGGGCTGGTGTGGCAGAGCGCGCAGCCTGAGCTTGCACAGGAGTGTGATGAAATGGGCCCGGGGTTGAGGCTCCCAGATTTCTGCAGTGACACCGTAGGACCTGGTGTCACTTCAGCCTGGGAACTGACCTCCTGGAACATAACCCTGCCTCCTCCTCCCCACACCCCTGCTCTGTCTGCCCCCCTCGGGTCTTCTCTCAGATACTGCAGTTGACCCTTGAACAACACAGGGGTGTGGACTGCCAACCCTGCACAAAAGTCCACGTATGACCTTTGACTTCCCCAAACTTCACCATGGTCGCCCCTCAGTATGGTGGGATATGTCCCAGGACCCCTGCAGACACCCAAACCCGCGGGGGCCCAAGGCCCTGCTACGACGTGGGTGGAACAGTGCTTCCCACCGCGCTCCACACGAGTCCACCGACCGCGGGTCGGGCAGTTTCCGATTTTGGTTGGGGGTGAGCGGGTGAGAAATCCGGGGACACAGAGGCCTGACTGTGTATTTAAAGAAACCTTCATAGAAGCAGATCCACCCGGTTCAAACCATTTTGTTCAAGGGTCAGCTGCACCTGCAGCTCTGGAGCAGGGGGCGTCTAAGCAAGCCTGTTGTCTCTCTTGCCGTGTGACCGTGTGTGAACTCGGGAGCCTCTGGGCATCCGTCGGGACGTGTCCAGGCCTGACTACGAAGGCTGCCCACTTCTTCCCGGCTCCCCGAACCCTGGCGAGGCATCGGTCTTCTAGAGAAACTTCCTTCGCTTGTCCCAGCTCCTCCCCCTCTGAGTTGGCTGTGGTCCTGTTTCAGTTGACACAAGCGCTCGGAGAGTGTTTCCAGACCTGACGCTCTTACCGACTTCCTCCCCAGCTCCTGCCGCCAGCCCTCAGGTGGCCGTCAGCAACCTGACCTCGCAGTCCTTCGCTCTGAGCTGGGAAGGTTACCCCACCGGCTCCCAGCCCGGTTTCATCCGAGGGTACTACGTCTACCTGAGACCCAAGGTGGGGCGGTGCCCCCCTGGATTCGAGAAGGCAGCCCTCCCAGGTGACACGTTTGTTCCTCTCGGACGATGTCGCCCTCGGCGCGCTGTGTCCGGGCTGCCTCCGGGCAGGCTCTCGGGGCGGGACAGGGTCAGACACGAGCTCGTAAGGGGACGAGATGGCGGGGGCCGGGGCCTAAGCTGCTTAAAACACCACGTGGCCTGGTATTTTTGGAAGCACTTGAAGTCCCGTTATGTCCTTAAGAAAACCTGCCACTTAGGAAGCCTCCTTGCTCACCCCTTTTTCTTCTTCCTTTGACCTTGTTAAAGGCGATTACAATGGATTTCTTTTCATTTTTCAGTTACAGTTGGCAGTCAGTATTATTTTATATTAGTCTCTGGTGTACAGCATACTGGTTAGACATTTATATAATCTACCAAGGGTCCCCCGATAACTCAAGAACCCCGACACCATGCCCGGTTATTGCAATACTGTCGACTATATTCCCTGTGCTGTACTTCACGTCCCCCGACGGTGTAACTGCCAGGCTGCACTCCTCAGGCCTGTCCCCTTGTCCACCAGCCCCCAGCTGCCCCTCCCCCCAGCAGCTGTCACTTTGTATCACTTTGCATCTGCGAGATGCAATTTGAAGTCTCTCGCAAGCCCCTGCCCCGTCTTGCAGAACTGAGCTCTCCCTGGGTCACCATCTCCTGCTTAGTGGATTCTCTTTTTTGTGTGCCATCTCCTAACAATGTTACCAGTGCCTCCACTGTGATGAAATGATGATTTAATTTTTAGGTAGTTTCAAAATGTTGACCGTGCTGAGTTAACAGGGGTGTCAGTGCCCAACTCTATCGCACTCTTAACCGTTTTTTTCTTGTTGCAAAAAAAAAAAACATCGAAAAACACCACACAGACGGTTCAGAGTGTTGCAGACATGACATCAACAACCCGGAACAAAAGACGTTTGTTGTGGAGCACCTGCAGCCGGAATCCTCCCACGAGTTCCTGGTCGCTCCGTACACCAGCGCGGGCGAGGGCCCCCACGGAGGCTTCACCAAGGTCACCACGCCAGATGAACACTGTGAGTTTGCGCGAAGCAAAGCTGCTGGCGCGCACGGTGCCGGGGCTTGGTCTAGATCCGGGATTCTGTCGTCTCTGCCTGCGTGTCTGTAGATGAAACTGTTTCACTAAACGTTGCACAGAACTGCACGGCATGAGCAGGTCAGAGTGGGGCTCCTCAGACCGATGGCGCCTGGGCTCTGTCCTGCCCCAGGCGCTTCTCTGGAACCAGATGGCTCGGACCGCCGGCGGCGTCCGTCAGCGTCTGCAAAGAGCCACCGGCCTCGCCAGGCCCCGTGTCCTGGCCTGGCCTCCTCAGCCGGCCTGTGCGCTGGTTGCCCTCGGTGCCCAACTGAAGGCCTCCTGGCCTTGCCCCCGCGGGGCGACGAGACGGGTGCGGTGGGGCAGGAGGGGTTTGTTCCCAATCCTGGTGTCTGCAGATTTAGGGGCAAAGGGCGAGGTGGTGAGATCCACACGGACAAGAAGCGTGTGGCCTGGAAGGAGGGAGGAAGGGTAGGAACCAGCTACCCATAAATAAGAGTCTCCTGATAAACCCTGACCTCTGACAAACAGGAAGGCAGGGAGGAAACAGATGCCAGTGCGGAGGAAGGAGAGAGGCAGGTGTCCAGGGAGCACAGAAGGGCCACGCTGGAAGGGCCTTTGACGACGCTCCTCCGTGAAAGGCCACAGGCGAAGGTGCCTGCTGAGGCACCAGCCGTCCTGGGTGCCGGTCCCTTGGCTGAAGCTGGGCTGTGGGGACAGGGTGGCTCCTCAGGCAGAAGGCCGCCCCGGGGGCCCTGACCTGTGATGAGGACACATGGCCGCAGAGGCAGCTGGGAGCTCCCTGCCGTTCAGGGAAGCGCAGCCCAAGTCCCTGTGAGGCAGGTTTCAGTCTGTGAGGCACCTTATTGGAACACTCTTGCCATTTTGGAGTTAATTTTAAATTTATTTATTTTCTTCTCTCTTTGGTATTCACCTGGCTGGGAGAGGTGTGTGTACATACACGTATATAACACACACAGTTATGTTTGCTGATTTCGGTTATCTCCGTATTTGTGCTCAACCTCCTTAGCCTTGACTGTGACTCTGGTTATCATGTTGATTCTTCTTTTTAAAATATGTTTTATTGATTTTTTAGAGAGAAAGGAAGGGAGAGAGAGAAAAAAACATTGAAGTGAGAAACATCGATCGGCTGCCTCCTGCACGCCCCCTACCGGGGATCAAACCGGGACCTCTCAGTACCCCCGATGATGCTCAGACCACTGAGCACACTGCTCAGGCAGCATATTGTTTCTTCTTTTTTTTTTCTTTACTGATTTTAAAGAGAGAGGAAGGGAGAGGGAGAGAGAGAAACATCGATAAGCAAGAACATCAACTGGCTGCCTCCTGCGTGCCCCCCTCCGGGGACTGAGCGCACAACCTGGCGTGTGCCCTGACCAGGGTCGACGCTCAGCCCTGAACCACACTGGCCGGGCCATATTGATTGTTCTTTTTTTATCCTCACCCAAGGACATTTTTCCATTTTTTGTTCAGACAGAGAGAGAGAGAAACATTGATGTGAAAGAGACACATCAAGTGGCTGCCACCCGCACGACCAATCAGGGCCGGGGACAAACTGCAACCGAGGTACACGTCCTTAGCGGGAACCGAACCCGGGTCTCTCCGGACCGCAGGCCGACGCTCTAACCGCTGAGCCAAACCGGCCAGGGCTATATTGATTATTCTTAAAAACAAACACCCTGCCGCCTGAGTGCAATGAGCGGCATCGCACACGCAGACACGGACGGACGCCTCGCACACGCACGGCTGAGTGGCCACGGGCAGACCCGCCCTCGCTGAGCCCACGCAGAGCACACGAGGCAAGTGCGTCTGCTGTCAGAGGACAGACAGCGATTACCTTGGGAGGGGGTGACTGTGAGGGACCCCAGGGAGCTTTCTGGGCAGCTGGTAATGTTCCCTTTCTTGCTCGGGGTGCTGGTCACATGGGTGAGTTCCACCCAGCCGCACACTCATAGGCACCTTTCGGTTGCACAATTACACTTCAGTAAAAAGTCCGGCAGCCCAGTGTGAGCTTTGGAAACTACTATGGTTGGGTCCCAGGCTTGTTCTCAGCTACACTGATAAAGTCCATCATTTAACCAAAGTTCAAACCAGCTGCAGCAGTCCAAGGCGCAGATTCGGCGAGCGCGGTTTTAGTGGTGTCAGGACTGGTTCCCCTCCCTGGCCCTGGCCTCGCGGTTCATGGGAGGCCAGCTGCCAGCTGCCCTGCCGCCCTGCCGCCCTCCCGCACCTCCCACACGAGCCCTTCTCTAGGGCGCGCGCACGCGCGGTGCCGCCTCCTGGCGCTGGGCTGGGAACTTCCCAGAACTGCCCTCCTGCTCAAAACTCCAGCATCCCCGCCCCCAATCAAACCCCACTCCTCCAGGACAGCCAGTGCGGGCGGGGCGCAGGGAGGGCAGGGAGCCGTGGGTCGACCAGAGACGCAGCAAGTGCGCAGAGAGAGGTCACCTGCAGCCCTCCCTGTGCACGTCTCGGTGGGAGGCGTCTAGCAGCCCCGCTGGAGGGTTGATTGGCGGGTCTGCACACGGACCAGGACGACGGGCATCGGAGAACGGGAAGCACCAGCTGACATGTCTGAGAGATGCAGATGGCAGTTACCCAGGTCTAGACGTTCACTGTGTCCGAGACGAACGGGAAGGGTACGGCAGTCTATTTCCCCCCAAAGCTGCAAACTCCAGGCTTGGAAACAAATGCTTCTTGCCCAGCTACACCCCTTGCCCTCCCCCCCGGAGAGGCAAAGTCAGGAGGCAGTACCTCAGAATCTCAGTGGTACACAGAAAACAATTCCTTTTTATGCTCATGGCTCGGGGGAGCCAGGCGGGTTCCAGGCTTCCGGGAAATTCGGGTTTGCTTCAGGTGGCTTCCCTCTGGGGCTCAGGCCGAAGGGGCGGTGGTGATGAGGGGCCAAGTCGCGTCACGGTGGATCCCAGCTGCGCAGACCGAAGGCAGGTGACATTAACTACAAACATCCCCTCAGCCAAACCAAGTCACATGGCCGAGCCCCACGTCAAGAGGCAGCCGAGTACACTCTGCCTACCCAGGTGTTGGCAGGAGTGCAGAGCGAACTGTAGCACGGGGGACAGAAGAGCCGGGCAACGATCTCGTGGGTCAGAAGAGGTTATGAACCCGGTCACAAGTGTGAAGGCAAGCGGTGCCCGGTGCTGGCCGGCCGGGTGTGCCCGCCCCAAGTTGGGCAGATCTCTTACTGACTCTTGCATAAGTAGCTTTTTGAGAAATAATAAACATGTGAAGTTACTCTCAACCTTAAACTTATTTTTCTTCTTTGAGGAGGGAAAAGTACTCATTTAAAACATCCCTTTCTCTTTCTTTCTTCAGCCCATGTCCTGCTCCGTATCATCCTCCCCATGGTGTTCTTCCTTGTGCTCATCACGGTCCTGTGCTATCTGAAGAGTCAGTGGTAAGTGCGGGAGGGAGACACAAGGAGGGTCCGAGGACATGCAGAAGGGAGTTTGAGCAAACAGACGTCACAGTGACTGAGGCGAGGAATCGTGCAGGACAGGAAAAGGACAGAGGGAACTTAGGGAGAACATGGACACACGGTACACAACTTCGCTTCTGGGGTCAATACATAAGGAAACAATAACCATTTAAAGAGATGAAAGACATTCAATAACAAGAGCTAATATCTGTTATTTCACCGACGAGGTGCTTGGCCGTGTTCTAAGTGCTTTGCAAACAACAGCTCACTCAGCCCCACGGCCTCACCCACCCTGAGCGTCATCATCTGCACTGACCGCGAGGAATCAGTGCGTGCAGGGTGCGGCCGCGCCCACGGTCACGGTGCGTGGGCCACCCAGGAACCTGACTTCCGAGTTCATTCGTACCGATTCCACACCCTGCAGAATTCAGCCTCACTTTCTGTTCTTCTAGGATGAAGGAGACGTGCTATCCTGACATTCCAGATCCTTACAAGAGTAGCGTCCTGACACTGCTGAAGCCCAAGGTAAACGCTGGGACATGTACGGAAACCTCACACCTAGTGCATCCTGGCCCCGGGTCGGGCTGCAGTACTCGCCCTCCCACAGACCTCCCGGGGAGACGACAGCGTGGGCACAGCCCCTGCTCTCCGCAGCCGGGACGGGGGGCTGCAGCCTCGATTTCCTCCATCAGGGGACCCCGTTAACCTTCTACGGGAGACCAGGAGGAAATGAGAATGGAGGTCAGAGGTGCCTGTTTCTGTCTCCGCTGCAGAGCCCGAGCACAGCCATCATGGACGTCCGTGCCTGCATCCCTGACGCCATCGAGGTGGTCAACAAGCCCGAAGGCAGTAAGGTCCAGTCCTCGGACGCCAGGAGGCCGCTCACTGAAACGGAATATACTAATAAGGCCGACTACATTTACCTCCTCCCAGGCCCCTTCATCTGTTTCGAGAACTTGACCTACAACCAGGCCGCCCCGGACTCTGGTCCCAGGGATGGTCTCGCAGGGCCCCACAGCGCCCCGCAGGGTCAGCTGCCGACTTCACCCGGACTCGTACCGAACCCACCAGAGCAAAAGTACATGAACTTCTCGGGAGAGACGGCTTTGAGTTACGTGTCCCAGGTGGCTTCCCCCACATCTGGAGACAAGGACAGTCTCCCAACAAATGCACTGGAGCCGGCACCCCACTCCGAGTACAGAAAGCAAATGGCCGGGCCCCTGGGCCTTGCCTCGCCTTCCCCGGAGGAGGACAGCTGCCTCCCCGCAACGACCCGTTTGGATGGAGGCGAACCCTGCAGCTAATCACACCCACTTCATGCCCTTCCGCCGCAGAGAAGCATGGCCGGCCCCACTCCGTCGCCAGACCCCCGTGTTCGACCCCCGTGATTCTCTCCCAGCCTGCCTCCTAGCTGGGTCTCGGCGCAGCAGCTGGGGACTCACCCCTGGAGCGGACGGGCCGTGGAGAGGCCGCAGCACGGGCAGGGGCAGCTGCTCCAGGCTCCCTTCCAGCAGCCACCGGCCGGCTCGGTCCTGGACAGGCTGCCCGTGGCCCCGGACGTTCAGCGAGGAAGGATTTCCGTTGTTTCACCACCGCGTTCAGCGCCTGAAGGGTCAAAGAACTCGGTCGAAGGCTTGGACTTAGAAGGCCACGTTCGTTCCTGGAGCCTAAGTCGTCAGTGTTTACTTATTCTGGATGTCTTTGATGAAAGTCAGATGTCTGGGCCGGAACCAGAGTTCAGACTTGCCCTGCACTGGTAAGAACCGGTCGTTTATTGGCAGTGACCCCACAGGTGTCCCTCTGCCTAGCTTACCATCGGAGCAGGCTTGGCAAGGCAGTCCTCAGCATCGAGGGGGCAGCACGCCTACTGAGCAGACGCCAGTCTTCGCCGTCACTTCTGATGACTACCTCAAACAGAGAGGAAGGCGTGTCACTGAGTAATTCCATTCACATTTTAAGGTTCCTCTGTTTCTCAAGCACTGTGGTACATGTGACCTGTCTCCATGGAGCCTGCTTTGGACTCCACAGCAGACTGTCTGGGCCAAGATGACAGCTCACTCATACATTCTCCTCCTGTGCTGGGCTGATCCACACCGGAGCCCCACGGCTGGGCTCCCCCTGCGCCCCACCACTCGAAGCCCTCTGGAGGGGCAAGGTCGCTGCCGGCTCAGCGGCGGGTTGTCTCCCTGAACCAGCCTGTGCAAAGCAGTGCACACGAGTTTCACGCGTGTTAGTTCCTTTCTTCCTCCTGCCTGTCAACACGCACCGTTTGCTGATCAGTCTCTGAACAAGCACACGTAGGGGTTTCCTTTTGTCTGCTGTGGTGGAAATGACCGCCCGAGCCTCTGGTACCCAGGGCCCTGCCCTGGGCTGGCCGGCTCCACGAAGAGAGGGAGGGAGGACCCACGTCTCCAAGCAAGGTGGCTGTCAGCTGGCCTAAATACACCTACACCAGCCAGGACTCCTGTTTGGGCTTTTCAACACTGTCGTCACCTGGAGCTAAGCCTTTTGCTAGGAAAACTGGTTATGAAGTCCTAACAAGTACAAACAAGTCTTGATTGTATAGTAGTTTCAAGACGACTTTGGGTCCTGTCTTGTCATTAACCCTCTTGTGTTCCTTTGTCATGATGCAGTTATAAAAGTCTACAGAAATATCAATAGTAGGGATGACTGATTTGTAAATAGTATCTTTCACATTGAGTTTAAGACCTTGACGTCGTTTTTGTTGCAACAAGCCTTAATTAAAATGTTTCACCACAGCCTTATTTCGTGTTTTCTCTACCTTAATGAGATGAAAATCTGACAATTAGTATAGCTGATAAATCACCGCGCGAGCTTCTGTGAAGGCCTCGGTACCACCCTGAGCCCCCCAATCAGGATCTCTGGCATGAGGCCTGGAAGCTGTACTTTCACCAGGCATTTGGACGCACACTCAGCTTTCAGAATCACTGGCCCACATCAAATGAAGACATTTTTCTGAAGTATAAGCCACCAGGAGGGAATGCTGGGCTATGGAACTGTGTGCTTACAGTGTCACTAACTACAGTTTTGGCTATAAACATTCTGCTCCCATGCTCATAACCAAATAAGTTAGTATTTAAACCCTTAAGTTTTAATACTACGTGCTTAACAGCATTGCTTTAAGAAGTGTTACTCAAACTTTGACATTTGTATTCATGTGTCAGAATTACTAGGATTAAAAAAACTCAGAGAATTTCAGACATAAAATAGTTTTATAAACTCATCAGCCCCGACAGCCACAGACCCACAGCTGTTTCAGCCCATCCACAGACATCCATTCTCACTCCTGATACTATTTTGAAGCAAATCATATAACATCATCTGTAAATACTTGTGTTTCTCTAAATGGGCTTCACTTTTTTTTAACATAACCATGAGACCTTTACAGAATTGCACCTAAAAACAACTCAGTAATAATTATCCTCAGAAACATTAGGGTATTTTGATGGTGGGCAGGACTAGCATTGATGACCTGTACATACCGCCTTGGCCTGGAGAGTGGTCCTCAGGTGCAGGCAAGTTGCTGGTTCAGGCTGGGGCATGGACCCAGTCACACCACAGCCACGACCTGCCGGAAGTCTGCCGACATTCCAACACAGGCTACAACGAATTAGAGCATAACTGACTCTCCACTGGAATGTGTATTAAGAAAATCAAATTGACCCAAGTGTCCATCAGTAGATGAGTGGATTAAAAAGCTGTGGTACATGTACACAATGGAATACTATGCAGCTGTAAGAAAGAAAAATCTCTTATGCTTTGAGATGACATGGAGGGACCTGGAGAGTATTATGCTAAGTGAAACAAGCCAAGCAGAGAAAGACAAATATCACATGATCTCACTTATTTGTGGAATATAGTGAACTAAACAAACTGCTGAACAAAACCAAGAGACATGGAGGTGGAGTACAGGCTGACAAGCCTCAGAGGAGGGGGGCGGTTTGTGGGGGAAGAGAGAAACCACAGAACTTACATGCATGTATGCATGACCAATGAACATAGATAACAAAGCTAGGGATGGGGTGGGGGTGGGGAGGAGGGTGTCATTGGGGGAAAATGAGAAACATCTGTAACAAAAACTAATTAATAAATAAAAAAATTTTTAAAAATCAAATTGAATCAGACCACATGTATTTGTTCTGAGCTCTGCAGAAAGATAAGCTGGTAATCATCTCAAAGAATTTATAAAATATGTTAAATATTTTGCATGAAGTAGAACTTTAAAAACCCCTGAGGAGAGAAAAGATAAAAAGCCTTCAAGAATTAGCAGTGAAAATATTTACAACACAATAACCATGTTTAATTTAAAGGCCTGGCAAATGTAGTTGTCTTAGTTTTCTATGATAAGCCTTAAAGGAACAAAGTTTTAGTATATTTTAGTTTCTTTCTTTCTTTTTTGAGATAAAAAACAAAGTAGTTGCTATAGTCTGATTATCTCTCCCAAAATGTGTATGTTGAAATTGTAACCCCCAAAGATAATGGTTTTTGGAGGTGGGACATTTGGGAGGTGATTCGATCATGAGGCTGGAGCCTCCATGAGTTGGATTTAATGCTCTCATAAAAGACCTCACAGAACTCTCTGGCCCCTTCCGTGCTGTGAGGACACAAGAAATCCGAGACTCAGAAGACGGCCCTGCCCTGCCCATGCTGGCACTGTCTCAGACTTCCCGCCCACATGACTGTGAGAAATCAATTTCTGTTCTTCATAAGCTACCCAGTCTGGCATTTTGTTCTATCAGCCTGAATGGATTGACAGTGCTTTCTATATCCAAGAGTTTTAAAATATGAAACAAACCTTCTGAAGTTCAACTATCTTAGCACATTTTTTAAAGATCAGTTGTAGGATGATTGTTAATTGTACTTTTTTTGGGGGGGGGCATACTGTTTCTGTTGAACATATACAGTGAAAGTCAATGACAAACTGATATACATGCATGTACTTAAATAAATCTATTTCTAAGAATGAGACATACATTTTATTACCACATTTAATAAACTATAAGACCCCAGCTTTACACTTAATTTCTCTCTCCAGGCTTAATCCTCCCCCTTGTAGTATACTCATTTGCCACTAGGCGGCAGTACATCACCCTATATGATCAGGCCAGTTTCTGTGTGAGGAATCAGATGCCTGGCACAGAAGTCATCATACTGTCATCATTTTTATTGTACACTAATTTCTCAAAAAAATCCATAACTGTTCTCTCTAAAAACTGACCCATTTTTCCAAACACTTGATAATGATTTGAAGTTAAAATAAAACTGTAAAGATATGTCTGATTAAATTATGAAGAATGTTTTAAAACAAGCCACGAATGTGTCGCTGAACTATCTGTGTTGCCTAAGAGTCACTTTTACTGGGAAGCATACATATCAGCCTCAGTGATATATAATCCAAACCATCATGGACTGTTTTAAAATGTCAAACAGAACAACACAAGTGTAAGAATTTTAAGTACATTTTATTAAGAATGTATCCCTTTGATGAGATTACGCTTCAGGAGGCTTTTAATGCCCTTGACATAAACTGTACACATTATACAAAACAAGAAAACCACAAAAAAAAAAAAAAAAAAAAAAAATCAAGTTGAGCGAAACCATTTGGGGACAAACCTTATTTTAAATTATACACAACTTGATGAAATATTCTTACGGAAAATATATAAATACTTTGTCTTTCTATGTTACAGTTATACAATATAAATCATATTTCAATGTCTGTTCAGTGACCTACAAACACCAGAACCTCCAAATATGTAGCAGCGTATTACTAAAGGAAAATCATGTGGTCAGGGAGCATTAATCTGGGTTTTTTCACAGTCCCTTACACCACTTTTCAAAACTAATTTACACTATTTGTTTTACAAGCAGCTTCAGGGTTTCTGACAGGCCAGTAATGGAACATTTTTCAACTATTATCTATGAAAACTTTTTTTATCCCCCCACCCCCACGCTTGCCCCCAAACTTTTGTATTTTGTGCTAAATCAACCTTTTTAGTGGCAAAATGATAAGGTATACTTTTTTTTGGCATAAATTATATTTTTCAAATTAAATATTTTATAAAGAAAATCAAACAAAATGTGCAATTTATGCATGCTGTTAGCATAGCTATCCACCTACATTACAAAAATACTCCAAAGGGGGGAAAATCCACATTCTGTGTAAGTCATATAAACCTACTACGAGTGAAATCACCCTGGAAACCTGGAACTGAAAGAGAAAGAACGCTCCTACGAAGAGCCTGGACTTCACATCACGTGAGAAACAATGCTGCTGATTTCACTGGTATGCTTTACAATGAAACTCACAGAGTACTACTCTTGAAATGAAACTGATAACAATGTATTTCCTGAATGGCAGACAAGGGAGACCTTTCCCAACTTACATTTTGGAAAATCCGAAATGTTCTTTTATTCCAAAAGCTCTTCTCATAAAACTCTGGCAATTAACTCTACCTTTTCTTTTTCCTCTTGTTTTAATGGATTGTGAATAGGAGGCAAAACTGGAAGCATGGGAAAAAGGGAAAAACCTTACTTCCAAAGGACCTTTCCCAAGGTAGTTTACAAATCTCATCTCACACAAAATTAGCACCTCACTCTTACCATGCAAAAATACTTGCAGTTATAATTTGGATGACAATTTGGTTTTTATTGCTTAATTATCTGTGCTTAATGTGGGATAAAAGGCATCCTCGGAATGGAATGAACATTTTTATCTAAATAGCAGTAGACAAATCTATGTAAGCACTGATACCTCACTGTTGAACACTTTGCCACTGTAATATGCCCTGAAAAATTCAGCTTTAATTGTCTCCAGTTCTGGATAAAAGAGCTGAAAACTGTTAAAGCCACCATTTTAAAAGTACTTGCACACATATTCGAGTAACTAGTATAATAATATATATACCCACCTCCAAAGAACCTTTTTTAATGTCACTGTCTTACAGGATGTCCATATGCTACCAATCTTTATTTAAAAAATTTTATTAGGGAGAAGAAATTTCCCCCCTCAGCTCTACCTAAGCATAAACAGGAAATAAAAGTGTAAGAAATTTTAGATCATATTTAATTATGAATACTAATTTCTAATTTCCTTCTTTATCAGTATTTACTTAGTATGTGAAGCTGAAATCTGTTCTTGAAAAAAATTTCAATTAGAAATAGTTCACTTTACAATTAGAAATTCAGTTTACAACCAGCACAACTGTCCAAATTCCTCCAAATTATCAATGATTACCAATAGAACAAATTTATATGGACTAAGATTAATTCTAAAATCTTAAACTAGTACTGACATTATTTTGGTATCTTATAGTCTGGTAATATCTATTATTTATAGACAATTTTCTCAATTGTTTCCATCACCACTGACACCATTCCTGACCTTTTCCGCTATATTCAATATTTAACACCACACTGATCACTTGGCACTGCATCGTGAGCCTTCCTCATTGTGAACGTTTACTTTTATACAAACGAGCACTCAAAGAAAACACATTGGACCTGTCAGTGAAACATGGATAAACCAAACAGTATCATACATTTAGGTACATTTTTTCCTTAAATTACTGATAACCACAAAGCTCTGAGTGTCTCCCCAAACTAAGTGCTATAGGCAAATATGATGATGTGTACGTACAAGTCTCTCAGAGTAACTGTCAAAAGCACTGCTCAGACGCATAGTAATGAAGACTCCATCTCAGCACGGACGAGTGAGACGGGGCCCAGGGATGGGGATGATTGTGTGACCAAAAACATCACTGCTAATTTCTGAGGGATTAAACCACAGATTTTATATTCTATATTAATAATAACTGAGGTAGTGTTTAAAATGAATGTCTAAAATATGTTAATCCCATGGTGAACAGATTACTGTGTCAGCTCCTCTGGAGTTCTAACCACTATCTGGTCTACCGTCTCTGACATCTGGTTCTCTGGAAGGCAGTTTAATCATCCAAGACCAAAGACCAAGCTGACAGGCAATGTTCTTAAAAGTACTGTTGACATTTAAATAAACACTGGGTGGGGTTGAGGATAAGGTCGAGTGTGAGAAAGGGTGTGTTTATCGTCCACTGGATGTGAGAACATCTGGAGACCCTCGGACATGAGCAGCAGCCCGGCCCTCCCCCGCGTGCCAGCAGGGACGTTGCTGACGTGCGCCGCGGACAGCTCGCTGAAGAGCAGAGAGGTTTATGAAGTGGGATGAGATGCTTCATCCCAGCTGCAACTTTCAGTGCCAGTAAAATAAAAAAATAAAAGAAAGTATCTCTGTGAGTTATGTTTTCTAGTTCACAGGGTTCTTTACAGAGATCTCAGAACAAGCCCATTATAAAAAGAATCTGTGATATGGGAAAATATTAATCAATGTACTATCACTATTGTCAAAGCTGACGTGTAGCTGTAAAAATGGTATACACAAATGAATTAAAAAAGGGTCCTAATCAGTCCAGCTGGATTTGTTTCTATTTATATATAGACCTGAAAAAAGATAATCCTTTCATTTACAAGCATTCTAATGATGACGGCCATGCTATTTTTATATACAAATTTGCATATATGTTTAATTCCTGTCAGACATATACAAATTAAACACACAAATAAAAAACACCTTGCCCTCATCAACTTAATTTCACAAATGTGATCAAGGCAACTACTGTACTCATGAACTAACCTATCGCTGCATTTAGTTTGTGCAAAACAGAACACTGATATAAAATTAAATTACTGCTGCTTTAAAATTTAGTTCTTAAGGCTTTTCACTACAATTTTTAATAGTAATAACAGTGTCATTAATAATTTTTTTAAAAAAATATGGCTCTTCTTTTCCCATGGAATGTGTAGTACATTGTAGGCAAACTTAACTTTTCCTTGAAGTATCACTTAATGCTTTCTTTGTTTTAGGTCTACATTACTAGTGCTTGTTCAAGTTCCTGTTTAAAGTGGTGACGTGGGAAGTTGATGAAATGGAAGTCCACTGAACATATATATATGCATTCTATATAAGTGGGAAAACAGCTGAACTGTGAAATGGTTTTCTGATTTTAATCAGGAACTGTAGTGAAAAACCTTAATTGGTTCAAACAGCCTATAACAACAACACATTGCAACAAAACTGAAAAGAAGAAAAATAAAAAATTTTATGCAAGTCTAGTAACATAAAAATAACTTATAAGTCCCAGGTCATCGAGGCTCCTGTTTGCTCTGAGGTCGCAAACCTCTGAAGTAGTGTTACAAACGTAAAGAACAGCTCCCCTCCCAGCAGGTCCAGCACAGCACAGCACAGCCCACCGTGGTGAAAGAACATAGCCAAAGACTGACTCCTGGTTTCCGCGATTAGTTAACAAACAAGGCATCTTTTTACTCACCCGAAGGAAGGAACTAAGAGAAAACTGTGTGAAGGGCGCCTCTCCACGCCCTATTATGTTCCACTGTTGGTATGCACTTAAAGTGAAAACACAGAAAACCTATGTAGGTATTCAGTGCTTGGCTCTTGCATACAACGGTAACTAAAACTTTTAAAACTGTGGTATTGATAATGAACCCGAAGGAGGCTCCCGGGCGACAGGAAGCGGCTTGGTTAGGGAGGTCGGCAGTTCCAATGTCCGTGCGCCAGGTCTGCAGGCGCAGTGCAGAGGCCGCTCCTGTCCCTGCTGCCCAGGCAGCGGCAGTGTCTCAGGCGTCTCGAACTGCACGATGCGAATATGTAATTAGTATCCACCTATATACACCATGAACATGAGGTCAGGACTCAGCCGATGGATCAACTACAGGTTGCTTTGGTGGTATTGCCAACACCGCCTCTGCTTCTTCATGCATCTAGGAAAGAAGTGGTCTATTTCAATGACTTTCCAATGTACCCACAGATATGATCTCTCTTTTAACTAAACACAGAATTATTTTTGAAAGATAAATTTCAACAGTACCAATCCTATTTACCTGTACAAACTGCACATCCTGAAATAATTCCTGTATGAACCTCCGACACGGCAGCCTAAACGTGCAGTGCGCCAGCAGGTGGGAGACCTCCGAGTAGAGGCAGATGTCGTCGAATGTCTGAGGGTACTTCTCCTTAATTCTGCAATGAAAGGCAAGACTATGGTTGGATAAAACTATAATAACTACTTTCCCTCCAGAATATCACCTTTTAAATATTTTTCTTCAGATAATGACTAAATGGCATATTTGGGGTGATGGCATACTAATATAAAATATTAAGTATTCCTACCTCACACTTAATTAAATCACATACCTTACATATTGAGTTATCGCTTAAAATAATCCAAACCCGCCCTGGCCAGTTTGGCTCAGCGGTGAGAGCGTCGGCCGGCGGGCCGGAGAGACCCGGGTTCGGTTCCCGCTAAGGGCACGTACTTCGGTTGCAGTTTGTCCATGGCCCTGGTTGGTCGTGCGGGTGGCAGCCACTCGATGTGTCCCTTCACATCGATGTTTCTCTCTCTCTCTCCTTTCCTCTCTCTCCCTCCCACTCTATCTGTACAAAAAATGGAAAAATATCCTCGGGTGAGGATAAAAAAAATAAATAAATAATCCAAACCCAAATGTTTCTTGGAAAGTTAGAAAAGAAATACTCTTTTTCACTGGCATGAGAAGTTGCAAAATTTATTTATCAGTCTAGGACGACTCAAATATTTTCAAAATTAAGTTTTACAATATAAATCAGTGTGGTAAGTCAGACTGAAGTTCTCGCCCCCCTTGACTGAGCTCTCTCTTCCCGCCTGGAGTCGGGGGGCAGGCCGGGCCGAGGACTCCGAGCGCAGGCAGGAGTTCCGGGCTGGGACTCTGGCGTCGGTGCTACTAATTCTGTAAAGCCTCACAGGAGACCCTGAGGTGCTTTTCTTTTGAGGACTACTGCTTTAAATAGCACAACCCGAAGGTGCTGACTATATAGTCTGAATTTTCTTTTATCATATTGCTGTGATTTAGAAAAACAGTAAAAATTCTGCAACTTTTATTAAGCAAAAAAAAAAAAAAGGGAAAAATTAATCAAAGAAAATATCACTTGTTTTATGTAGGCCAGGTTTTCTCAAACCTTTTAGGCTCAGGATCCCCTTACTTTCTTAAAAACTATCAAAGACCCCCCCACAGGTTATTTTTTGTGGGTTACAACCATAAATAATTACCATACTAGAAATTAGAGAAAATTTCAAAATATTAATTCATTTAAAAAATAAACCCATTAGCCCTGGCCGGTTTGGCTCAGCGGTTGGAGCGTCGGCCTGCGGTACAGAGAGACCCGGGTTCGGTTCCCGCTAAGGGCACGTACTTCGGTTGCAGTTTGTCCCCGGCCCTGGTTGGTCGTGCGGATGGCAGCCACTCGATATGTCCCTTCACTTCGATGTTTCTCTCTCTCTCTCTTCCTCTCTCTCCCTCCCGCTCTATCTGAACAAAAAATGGAAAAATGTCCTCGGGTGAGGATTAAAAAAAATAAATAAATAAAAATAAAAAATAAACCCATTACTTGTTAACATAAATACATATATTGTAAGAAAAAAAACCAAAAAAACTAGATTTTCCAAAACTAAGAAGAAAGAGTAGTATTTTATATTTTACACTTTTACATGTCTCCTTAAAGTCTGGCTTAACAGAAGACAGCTGGATTAACATGCCTGCTTCTTCATTCAGTCCATTACCGTATGTTCTTTGGCTGAAGCACATGAAAAAAATCTAGCCTCATGGATATGCCATGTTGAGAACTAGTGATGTAAGCTAATTAGTCTACCTTTATGAAGTATTTCAAGTATCTTTTTCACCACAAAAAGCAGAACAAAGAATACTCATGCTTAGTATTAACTTACGTTAAAAGCCCAGTTTCATGACATTTAGTTGAAACTGAACTACTCAAATTAATGACTAATCTTAGAACTTCTTTCCGAAGGAGTATACGGCACATTGGTGTATCATCTGGAATTGTTTTAACACCTGAAAAGAAGATTAAAATATTTTATCTGTATCACAACAGAAAATGATTATAAGTCATGGAATTTGTTGTTAAACCTTACCTAAGATTTAAAACTGAAATAAACTGCACACACTCTGATCATTTGGGAGAACTCTTTCTAATGAAAGCAGACAGCTTAGAGGGTACGTTTAGATGCTGATATAAATAAGTGCAACAGTTGGCTAAACAGGCCTCACTAACATGGATGTCATAATTCTGGGACAACTTTAATTAACAGTATTTATGAACAACAACAAACTCCGTTTTATTAACAATGCTTGGATCTGACCCTGAAACCTCACCTAGCAGCAACTCTGTGCTTTTGGTGCTGCTGGCTGACCCTTCCTGAGACACTCCATCACTGCATCCAGAAATCCCGGAGAACTTAGAGGGAACCACTTCCAAGGGATTATGGATCGTCTGCTCACACCAATCAGAATACGGAATGTCTTGAAGGTCTAAAGAAAAAATCAGTTATCTCAATTAAAAATATGGTTCAAAGTCTGTATATCATTTTGAATCTTTTGCTACTATAAATTAATCATTGTTGCTCTTTGGGTGTAAAGTGGGATTGCACTGTATGTATTGTTCTATGACTTGCCTGCCCCACTATTTAGTAACTGCCAAGGTAAGAACCATATTTCCCTGGCTTATCACTGCCATAAGTGAACTAATCAGAAGTATGAGCAGAGAGGATGGGGTGGACTTGTTAAACAGACAGGGTGCCTGTTTATGAACTTGCACGTGTGTAAGGAAGGGGAGGGGCAAGAAGAAACAGCGGGGAAAGCACATCTCTCATGCCTAGAATGATGAAAAGGAGCACAGTCTGTTCAGAAACTTCCAGTCAGTCAGTAAGGGTACATCAACCATAGGAGGAGAATGGGGAACGGTACTGGAGAGATCACAGAGTCTTGTGTGCTAGGCATGAATAGATAAAGAATTTATGAGAGATTACTCCCAAGCAGCAGTATAGAAGTAAACTGGAAGGGGCCAAATTGGAGATTGAAACACCACTGCAACAGGGCGATGCTGAGTGACTGAACTAAGGCCGAGGTCGCGAGAATGGAGTAGGAGGGATGTTCAGTAGGGCTGGACTGGAGCACATTAAAATCCAGGTGGATTCATCTAGAAGGACCTAATCACTCACCTGAATGACTACATATTGCACTTAGTTGGTTACTGGGCTGAAAACCCAGAATTTCGATGCAGACACAATAAAGGCAGTTATCATCTGTATGCTCCTGCAGTCCCGTGTCTTCCGTACTTTCTAAAAACAGAGACGCATCTGAATGGACTGAATTCATTATTTCTGTAAGACTCATCTGCTGTCGCAGCAAGTGAAAAGAGTTTTTGACAAGACCTCCAGTTCCAGATGGAAGACCTGTGCATAAGTGAACATAAAACACGATCTGATACAGACAGCATCAGTGACACTTCTTTCACGGTGCCTTAAACTAGGTGAAAATTTATAAGACAGAAGCTAGGGAAGAAAACCAGAACTCTATTTATCACTCAAAATCTAACCTTAGCTGGGAGGAGAAAAAAATAATCTGTTTTAATTAGGAAAATAATATAAAGTCAGCAGATATGTTTATATTACTTTTTTTTGTTTGTTTTATCCTCACCTGAGGACATGTTTCCATTTTTCTGTTCAGATAGAGTGGGAGGGAGAGAGAGGAAGAGAAAGAGAGAGAGAGAGAGAGAGAGAGAGAGAGAGAGAGAGAAACATCGACATGAAAGGGACACATCGAGTGGCTGCCACCCGCACGACCAACCAGGGCCGGGGACAAACTGCAACCGAAGTACGAGCCCTTAGAGGGAACCGAACCCGGCTCTCTCTGGACCACAGGCCAACGCTCTAACCGCTGAGCCAAACCGGCCAGGGCTATATTACATTAATATGAGGTTTTAGATACAAAAATAGAACATTGAGATTGTACACTTAAGGCATCATTTCAATTATCCTCAATATTTTCTTAAAGAGAATAATTCTAAGCCTAAAGAGGTACTCCTTTAAAAACAATAATCAAGATGATAAAGCTTTAAACCTGTGGCTGATAGGCATATAATCATTTAAACTTTCTAGTTCATAACAAAGAAAGAACATGTATATTTTTCTCTCACTCCTTTACACAAATGGCTATTTCTTAGACCTATGAGAATTAGTATTACACATTTTTCATGTATTATTTTATTTTGGTACACGCCCCTAGTGAGAACCGAACCCGGGACTGTCTGGTCCGCAGGAACGCTCCAACCGCTGAGCCAAACAGGCCAGGGCTCATGTATTATTTTTTAAAAACAGAAATAATTGATGTAGTTTTTGTCTTCTTAGAGGCTAGGTACTTAGTTGGGAAAACACTTTCTTGAGTCCCTCACACACAGAAATTGTGGCTTAATTTTAAATGGACTCAATTATTTTGGTATAAATGGTCCAAAAGTAAGTATACCTGAATTTGTAGTGTCATCCTACTGAAAATAACCTTTTTTCAAATTTTCCTTAAATTTTTTTTTCTTTTTTATTATAAAGAGAAGTCTCAGAACAAAACCATACATTACCTCCTGCTTCCTGAGCAAACACTCTTGCACCTCGATCATCATGTGGAGGTACACTTTTAGTCTGAAAATAGGGAATATCCTTTACCTAAAACAGATGTAAATCATGGTAAGTCCTGCTATAAAAAAGTCCACTTTATGAATATTAGCAAAATCAAATGAAATGCAATTTAAATGGATTTACTACAGCACATGAACCTACAATAAAAAGTTTACTGAAGAAGGTTAAATTACCAAAACTTGACAAAATAACAAATAACTCTTCAATTCCTTATCTATTCTCGGTGATTTAAAAGGATAGCAAAGTAATTATTTTAGAATTTATCCAAAATGTCTTTAGACTTCTGACTAAATGTGTATTCTTTAGTATAATCTCCCATCTAGAGATTTTTGAGTATCTCATGGGAATAGGGCCACCTCATATAACTGGGCACAACATGTGCTGTCCTGTGTGGGATGACAAGTAGGATCAGGGCTAAAACAACAACAAATACATGGTACACTTCAGACTTACACAATGTTGTATGTCAATTATATCTCAATTTTTAAAAAGCCAATAAGGAATAAGTCAAATGTGATTAAAAAGCAAGGCTAGGAATTCACTAAATTTCTATAGAAAACAGGCTGACAAAGAATACAAACAAGATGCCGATTTACAGTTAAGGCATCAGAAGAGAGGACAGCCCGGCCAGTGTGGCTCAGTGGACTGGGAGGTCCTGGTGTGATTCCCAGTCAGGGCATCTGCATGGGTTGTGGGCTCGATTTCCAGTAGGGGATGTGTAGGAGGCAGCCGATCGATGTTTCTTTCTCACATCAATGTTTCTCTCTCTCTCTTCCTCTTTCTCTAAAAAAAATCAATAAAAACATTAAGAAAAGGGGGTTGGGGAGGATAATGTTCTGGAGACTTGGGAAATACTAAAGAATATATAACAAGTGTGAAAGGTGAAATAATTTTCATAAAATTTCTTTAAACTACCTTAAAAACCACTTTCTCCAAATTAGTACTCACTCTGTAATTTCTATCAAGCAGTTAGTTACAGAATATTGAAAACAGGAAACCAAGTCCTAAGGAGACAAGAGGACGGACGATACCTGGAATATATCATTGATGTCCACTGGAAGAGCAAGACCGATGTAGTCATCCGAGCTCCCGTATGTCGCGCTGGACACCATGGACCTCACTGAGGAGGATCGCTGCAGGGTATTTTGATTAATAGGACTTAATAAATCTTCTTTATCTAACGAAGCATAACTTAAGGCTTTCATGAACCTATAATACCATAAAAATCACTTGCATTAGTTTCTTGATTTCTAATATTAATCATAAAGAAATTTTAATTTATTTTCGTATCTTCACAAAAGATAAGTAGAAAGTAGCTAATCAGGTACTAAACAGGACCATCTTATTTATTGCAAACATATAAATACTTGAAAATATTTGGTTGTTATAAATTGATATACGGAAGGTTATCAATGTTGACTGTTACCAAAAACAACTGTTATGGTCCCCAGGTATAACTCTTTTTAATATTTTTATGAAAAATAAGAATAATTTCTTATAATTCTTTGAATGGTAATTACTTTATCAACATAAGAGTCAGGTAACACAGAAGATAAACACAAAATAGGAAAAATTGGGTTATTAGCAATTACAAGATAGCCTCATATGAAATACAGTGATACCTCGGTTCTCGAACATAATTCGTTCCAGGAGGACGGTCGAGAACCGAATTGTTCGAGAACCGAAGCAATGAAACCAATAGGAAAGCGTGACTCCACAAAGCGTGACTCTCTCTCTGCACTCACACTGATGACGCAAGCAAGGCGCGCTGGGCCGAATGAACGCCATTCGGCTCAACTCGGCTCATCTCGGAAGTTCGAGTTCCAAATATTTGTTCGGATTCCGAGACAAGTTTCTCGAATCTCCTGGTCGAATACCGATTTGGTCGAAAACCGAGGCGTTCGAGAACCGAGGTATCACTGTACTGATATTTCCTCAATGTACTCCTTGCCAATGATTCCATAACAAACATGGCCTCCTTTCTCAGACAGATTCTTAATCATGCAATAGACATACTAAAATATTTCCTAAGCATCTGCTTTGTACATACAATCCACTAAGGTTCCATAGACTATGTATATTGATATTTGGAAATCCAAGTCATTTAAAGTATAATAATGTAGCCTGGTGTTAAAACAAAGAATTACTTGTAAAGCACGCAAAACAAATGCTTCATAAACACAGTAACTATTATCATAGTGCCCTGGCTGGTGTGGCTCAGTTGGTTAGAGTGCCGTCTTGTGCAATGAAGGGTTGCAGGTTCGAGTCTCGGTTAGGGAGCATATGGAAGGCAGCCAATCAATGTCTCTCTCACACCGTTTCTCTCTCTCTCTCTCTCTCTCTCATCAATGAAAACAAATCCTCGGGTGAGAATTAAAAAAATACATAATAAAATTATCATAGCAAAAACCACTCTGAATTTCTGTTAATTGCCAATTAAAAACCACTCAAAATTAAAATTTATTAATTTCAAAAATAGATCAGTGGTTTTTAAATTATATTGTTATACCTCTCTAACTCCATTAAAAGCAAGGTCTACTGGAGACAAGGGAAGAAATTATGGGATGCTCTCCTTTACAATCCCTAATTCAACCAGAGTAGCTCCATTTTATCTATTCCACATGTTACTGAGTTTCCATAAAAATGTTTTGGTGAAGAAAAGGTTTCTCTATTTAAAAAGCAACATTTCAAAAGCTTAAAACTTCTGATCTAGTCCAGTCTCTACTAGAGGAGTAACGTGAAGTGTCAATATTTCAAAATTCGTGAACTTGACTATATTTGTAATGGTGAGCAACTGCGAGGTTTACCTGGCTTTGTTCTAGATAGACCACTGAGGTTGGCAAAACTGTTGAATTCCAGGCAGATGAAACATTACAGCATAATCAGTGCCAGGATTAAAACTCAGGATTCAGAATTCCTACTTTAGCCCTGGCCAATTTGGCTCAAAGGTTAGAGCGTGGTCCTGTGGACCAAAGAGTTGCAGGTTCGATTCTAGTCAAGGACATGTACCTCGGTTGCAGTTCAGCCCCCGGCCCTGGTCGGGATCTACCAGGAGGCAACCAATTAATGTTTCTCTCTCACATCAATGTTTCTCTCTCTCACACTCTATCTGAAAATAAATGGAAAAATATCCTTGGGTGAGGACTAAAAAAAAAAAAAAAAAAAAAAAATCCGTACTTCATTGTTTTTCTCCTGTGCTCCAAGGCACTACCTCAGTGAGATAGGTCTTCTAAGACTGCTGGGTTCATGCGATCCATCATACAGCACCATCAGCACGCTACTCTTCCAATTTTATAAGAAAATGAACAAACAAAAATCTTCTCAGCCTGGATTTCAAACCATTATTTTAAAGTAAATTTGTAGTTATCATCCACTGTTTTCATTTTCTCTCAACTAACCAGAGAGAAGAAAAAAGATTAACGCCAACACAACTGTTTCCTCCACGGGACCTGGTAAAAGCCAGTACCCACGCCGTCTGGAGAACAGATGGAGACCTGAACACGCTCCGTGATGCCTTCACGCCTTTGTATAAGCTGTTGTTTCTTTTGACTGCTTTTTCTCTCCCAAGAAATTAAGAATACCTATTCATTCTTTATAATGCCAATGATGTGACATTTTATTCTAGGAAATTTCCAAATCTTCTTCTGTTCTAACAGAGAATATAGGAAATAAGGAACCCAGAGTGGTTAGAGAATAAGTGACTTGGGGTAAATATCTTTCTGATTTATTCTTTGGAATATTTAAGTACCATAACTTTGTATGTATGTTTTAATCAACTTGGGTAAAAATGCCTACTTCAATGAGATAAATAAACCTAACTGGATGGTTCAGAGCTAACTGCACTCGGTGACTGTACTGAGTTATAAGATGGTGGTACTCTATTTATTTCAGTGTGCTATATTCCTTATTGCCCCGGGCTGAATGCTACAGGTTGCTGCTGTCTTTGAGTTTTCAAATACTGTCTTGTAGTATTCAGGTTTCCTCCTCTGCTACCAAATATATCAGCTGTCCTTTCCTGTTACAGTGTGCCTAACAATAGAAACTTCTAACGGCTGCTTCTTTGGGCCTGAAAACCGGACATCCAGGCTGCTAGAATAAATATTAACTTTGAATGCAGGTCAGAGGTACCTCCTTTGAATAAAATTCATGAACTTTACTGCATAGATTTAAATTGGTGAGCCTGTTCAGAGGTTTTTCTGGCTTTGTTCTGAATTGATGAGGTTGCCAAAGCCAGTGTTCCAGGTAAGTAAGACATTACTGCATAATTTATGAAATTCTACAAAAGAGATATTATTATCTGTTACCAGGAACCCCATCTACTAAATGTGTTAGCATTAGTGAAACAAAACTGCTTAATAACTTCTTAATGTGATTAAGATTTTCATGATATAAAAGGCAAATGGATTACATTAAAAAATAATTTCCAATAATGATTATGATGATAGCTAACCTTTATTGAATACTTAATATATACCAGACACTATCTCAATACTTAACAAATACTAAATACACGTAAATTAATCATCTGAAACTAAAAATGTTTTTAGAACTATTTGGTCCAACTAAAAACAACAAAAATAGGTAATGAAAGTTTTGCAAAAATAAAATTTAACATTGCATACCTAAAATGCTTACTCTGACCAGCTTGCTATAATCTTTAGCTATGACACAGAAATCCCCTAAAGGTTCTTGAGCACAGGCAAACTGGTACTGCTGAATCCTGAGGGCCACAGAATTCATTTAATGTTCATTAGGTTCTTACTTAATAATAGCCACATAAACTGAAAAGAATTTCATTGAAATTTTCTGTTATTTTTTAAAAAAGAGGTCAACTTTTGGAGCCTTAAATTGACCTACCTGAAAAAGTTGTTTGTTATTGTAGGTCTTAAGCTCCTGATTCCCCCGACATGCTTCTTTTTAAAATCGATCCTTGCAGAAGCGAGAAATAAATAAAAAACAGCTTGTGACTTGTTTGTCCTTGCAAAGCCTAGATGTTTACTTTCAGGGCCTAAATGAGTTTCTTTTCCCCCCTCGCAGCTGCAAGAATCCATTTCAAATCACATCGGGTAACTAGGAGCTTACAGCCTACCATAGTAAACAATTACAGTAGGTCATTTTGGAGGCTTTTATGTAGATATAAAACCTAGCTAATGCTTTATATTTAAATCTGTTAAAATGCAACCATTACTATTCACTTTTAAATGTATATTTACTCACCTGCTTGGTGTTAACCTGGACTCAAAGCTGTTGGCCTTCATGGTGATGGTGTCAGTAAACAGCACATCTTTTGCTGGAGATGCCAAAGCTTCAGAATGAGATAGAGATGGATGCATTCTTTGTTGCTGTAATCTTTTCAGTGTAGCATAGCCAAAGGCATCTCTAGAACTTGTGTAACTAAAGTTACAATCTGCTAAACTTTTAATTGTAGCGATAGAGGGTGCTTTAAGGGACTGTGCTCTTCTAGGAAGTGTATGAGAAGACCCTGGAGGCACCAGGGACACGGAGTTTGACTTGGAGAGGGAAAGATGGTTAGACTGTGGTGTCAAATAGTGGCTTGTCTTAACAGTTTTAGTACTTACCACAGTACTCATACTCCCACAATCTGTGTCCACCGTTGTAGCATCTACACCTACTGTCTCTCGGGAAGGACTTGAGCTCATTGAACTTATGCCACTTGTTGTAGTGTCTGTATTAAAACTTTGGCTACGTATCTTCATATGTGAGCTTGTTGAACTTTCCACAACTAATCTCTCTCGGCTTGTGTTCTCTCTGTGATTCTCTGTACCAAGACTCTTGGTGAATTTTAAGTCATTCTCTCCAATACTTGGAGTACTACCAGTGTCTTCAATGTGCCTATTCCCAACAAATGACGTTTCTAATTGTAATGTTTTCTGTACTGTGGATATGGGTGTAAAATCATCACTATGATTGAAGTCAACACTGGGCTCCGTAAGTGTTCTGATCCGCCTGTTGCTTGTTTTATTTTCAGATGACAGTTTCCCTCCTTTTGGATCACTGCTACTACGATGTTTTTTATTAGGCAAAGTAAGCGAATTTAAGATACGATTCTTCACAAGTTTGCTGGACGCGAAGAAAGGGAATGAATTTTTATCCTTCACAGGTCCAGGCCGGTCGTAGAAGGCTGGCTCTGCATCTTCACTGATGTCGAGGAAAAATGTACTAGTGGAGCTGCTTCCAAACCGGTCGTCCTCCAGTATGAACATACCTGTGACAGAGGACTGATTAATAAAAGCACATAAAAATGACGAGTAAAATCATGGTACCTAGTAGTGAGATATTTCATGAAACTTTAGTTTAACAGTTGTATGAGGTAAACACTGTCAAAAATGAAGGGTTAAACTGCTGAGCCACATAAAAAGAGATTCCTTAATAGGGCTGTTACAGATGTAATTAGCGAGATGAGTCACCGGAGTAGGGTGGCCCTGCAATCCAATCTGACTGGTGTCTTTAGAAGAGGGGGGAACACTGTGAAGACAGATGCACAGGGAGAATACTACGTGGTAACAGACGCAGAGACTGGAGCGAGGTAGCTGCAAGAATGCCAAGGATTGCCAGCTATCACCAGAAGCTAGGAAGAGGCAGTAACGATTTTCCCCAGAATTTCAGAGGGTTCGTGGCCTGAGGACACCTTGATTTCAGACTTCTAGCCTCCAGGACAATGAGAATTAACTTCTGTTTTAAACCATTCAATTTGCGGTCCTTTGTTACAGCAGCCCTAGGAACCTAATACAATCTCTCCCCAAAAGAATTTTATTCTCGTTAAATCTGTATTACAAAAAACTGTACCAAATTAAAAACTATTGTGGAGAAAAAAAGAGCTTCCTGCCCTGGCAGGTTTGGCTCTGTGGTTAGAGTGTCAGCCTGTGGACCAAAGAGTCTTGGGTTCAATTCTGGTCAAGGGCATGTACCTCGGTTGCGATTCAGTCCCCGGCCCTGGTAGGGGTCGTGAGGGAGGCAGCCAACCAGTGTCTCTCTCTTGCACTGATGTTTCTCTCTCTCTCTCTCTCTCTCTCCCCCCCCCTCCTACTCTATCTGAAGATAAATAGAAAAACATCCTCTGGTGAGGACTGGAAAAAAATAGCGCTTCTTTGACACCCACAGTTTGGACTTGAATAAAATATAAATTTATGTCCTTATAGATTCTTCTATTATTTCCAAATGCAAACAAGAGGACTACTCGTGGCACAGCTTACATAAAGTTTACTTTCATTATTCCAGTGAGTTTCAAAACCTCCAAATAGTCAGGATTAAATTAGAGAGAGAAAGAGAGACCTGACCATAGATGCTCCCTTAGTTGGCAGAGATTCCTGGTGGTTTTTATCTTCAAATCACAGCAGGCAGGAGAAATTAATCTTATAATAAATAACTTCCCAATCTTAAACAAATTATACTTAGAAATAACCAAGCCACATTTTAAATTCATGCCTAAACCAATTATGTTTATTTCCCATTTCCCTTAGGTACTAAGAAACTTATCTAAATTCTGTGCTCAACTCTAATAAAAGACTCAATCCAGGTGCCTAATGATATCTATGGGATTTTATTCTATTTCTATTTTTAACTTTTCTATTAAATAATTATAAACTACTTCAGATATGTTTTGAAGGGCAAAATAAATCCTACATACAATTGCTTAGTGTATTGTATTTCCATATTCTGTCAATTCTAAGATGTATATTTTTTACACTTAATATCACTAAAACCAGGATGCATCTTTCAACCAATAATATGTCCTAGTTTAATAAGCAGCATTTGTTTTCTTCTTTTTTAGGGGTACATAAGTACCGGTGTTATCTCATACCACATGGCATCTTAGAGCTGGTGAAATATGGTTTGATAAATGATGCACTATCTTCTTACAAAGAACCATGTGTTAAATTTTATACACCTAATAACATTTAGCGCAAGGCTTAAAAATGGTTCCACAAACCGTTTTTTATTTAATAAATTTTTGATACTCTATCTTTCAACAGTTTCACTGTTTTAAAATTTAGCTCTTCTCTCAAAAATGAACATGTGAACCTATCTTTTAACAAATATATTCTTAGTCAACAATCTCTATCTGAAAAATGGAAAAAAAGCTATGTAAATGAAGAAGTAGGCAAATAAACATTTACTTATTAGGTTATATGACAAGCAAACAAGGAGACTGGTTCTGGCACATGGCTTATTATTTAATTCTGTAAGTAGGATTTCCTAAAGGCTATTTAGAAAATAAGGTAAGAGAACAATGTAGGTTGTGGCTACACATCTGTTGTGAAAAGATATGCATTCTCCAAGAGGCTACTATTGCCAAATTATCTTAGAAAAAGGTAAATTAGGAATGGAGCAAATACGTGTAAATTTTGATATTACTAATACAAATGTGAACTTGGGCTAACTTTATAGGCCTCTGTCACAATACTCACTTGATGGAGCAGACTCACTCTCACTATTATGTCGAGAGCTGGTTGACTCTGAGTTCAAACTTAAGGTGCTCGGGATAGATGACAGTTCATTACAGAGTTGTTCCACATCATCTGGGACTACTGGCCACAGATGTTTGCGACTGTGCCTTACAGAATCCCAGTTGTGACATTTTAGAATATCACAGCCTTGTTTGGTTTTAGCTATAAGCCCAAGCACATATACACAGGTCCTGTATGTAAAAGACATAGTAATGACAGTTTATAATTCCCAACTGAGGTTTCTTAAGACAATCACAAAATATTAATTTGCTATATATACATTTGATTTTTCTTCAAAAGCCATTAAAAACTGTTAAGCTTGTGGAAAATGTATTGAAACGAGCTAGGGGTAAATTAGAAGCAATAAATAACATAAAAATCTTCCGAATAAAAATATTAATTACAATGAAATAATTGACAAGAACATAATGCAATCTTAGAAAAAACATACACTAGCTTTTCTGGGATAAATTTGGAATATTTAGACTACTGGACAACTGGAATATTTAGACACATACTACACTTCACTATTTATTTGCAAGGTAAACTTCAATATTATAATGAGAAAAATAGAATGATATTATTAAACAAGGACCTCCTTAAGATGTTTAACTTAATGCATTTAAAAATATCTTCTATCATTAGGACTTTCAGTGAGTTAACAGTTTTAATGGACCACTCCAAATCATAACATACTCTTCCCTTACACCCACTTGTGAACTGCAATCTATTATACACTAGAAAGACTTCTGAGTAAAATGACATACCCTCTAATGGAAAGAACCTCACACTGTTTTGCAAGTTTTAGTATATCTGGAATCACATTTTCTTCCTGCAGCAAATTAAGACCCCAATTTGATGAGCCAATATTTCCCTGAAAGAAAAGAAATCACTTATATCCAATCTAATACAAAAGTAACTCTTTCAAGAGATTTGGAAAGCTAGCCAAAAAACAAAAATTTAATCCAATTTATGAGAGAGAAAAAAAAAAGTGAAATAAACCTCAAATAAGAAACTTTAGAAATGAATGTTCATATGCCTTAGCAATAAAACTAATACTTTAATAATCTATTTTCCAGCTTAAAAATATTTAAAGGGGCAGGAACAATCTTGGTTCTCAAATATTAATCTAAGAACAAGTTGCATATATAAAACAATTTTTATTTATTTACTATTAATGAGAAAATTAGAAAAATAAAAAAATTACGAATATCTTCTAGAAGTGTTGATTACAAACCAAGGCCCAAAGAGATGCTTTCAGTTTTTTAATTTCTTCCCATTTATCCAAATCTGGTGTACGAATGTTGTGGCAGAGTTCTGTAATAATATTCTGAATAAAGGGAAAAATAAGTATCATGTAAGAAACAATTTTATTACATCTGAAAACTTATTTAAGGTTTGCCTTTGGTAAATTTTGCATATTTAGAATTCTCAAATCATTTTATGGAAAATTTCTTAAGCAGCATGGACTTTCAACTAATATTCTAGAATTAGCACTTATTAGCTATGTGGCTTCAAGAAGTTATTTAATCTCCCCATGCCTTGATGTCCTAATCTCTAAAATAGTAATAGGAATAGTAATAGCACCTGTCTCATAGGTTTGATTAAATGAATTATTACATATAAAATGCTTAAAAATGTACTTAATACTTAGTATTACAAAAATGTTAGTCATAATTATCATTGTTTATTTTAAATAGGAAATAATATATTAACATCAATATAGAAATACAAGGGTAGGTAAAAGTAGGTTTACAGTTATAATACAAATAAACTGCCCACCCCATATATGAATCTATAGAGTATATTTATACAAAACTTTTGTTCCTGAGATAAACACTGATATGAAAGGAAATAAACTGCTACATTATACACACAAATCCTCTAAAACTATTTATTTCTAACATAATAAAGTTATGTCTTGGAAACACCTAATTATAAGACACATTGACAGCCATAATCCTGGTATGCATACTATACTCACAGAACAATTGCTTGCGTAAGCCTCTACACTCCATGAAGTATGAGAACAGTGAAGCACTAACAAATAGCAATTTATAATTTATTTGTTGCTCACCAAAATAACTGAATCGGTACCAGGTTCAGTTTAATTTCTCAACAAAAGGAATGAAGAAGCTAAATTCTTTAGTATGTTTTTACTAAGATACACTTCCCCAATATACAATAAATGAAAAAACTCAGACCTTCACTGGGTTACAGACTTCATGTAACAAATTAGCTTTGCAAAATGTGACACATAAATCAAGAAAATGCACATAAGCTAGTAATATGTCAAAGGATTACAAAGGTAGATTGCCTGAGTCAATTACAAGATGGACATTTTAAAAGCAATTATGCCACCCGACTGGTGTGGCTCAGTGTTTGAACATCAACCCAGGCACCAAAAGGTAGCTGGTTCACTTCCCAGTCAGGGCACATGCTCAGGTTTCAGGTTCGATCTCCAGCAGGGGGAGTGCAGAAGGCAGCAGATCAATGTCTCTCTCTCATCAATATTTCTCTCTCTCCCCGCTCCCTTCCCCTCTCTCTAAAATGAGTAAAAACATATTTAAATAAATAAATAAAAACCATTATGCCACTGACCTTAGGACTTTTAAGATTTTTTTTGCAAAAACAATACTTTAACAATATTAATATTTTTTTCCTAATTTGTAGCTATTTAAAATAAGCAAATTATGTTTTTACCTGTACTTCCAACAAATGACAGCCTGTTTTGTGGTGTACCAGTTGTCCATAAAGGTGTACAGGCAGGTAGACATGAGGACGCTGTAATCTAGTATAATAAAGATGATTGCTATATCTATTGGCTCATTTAAAATATGCTAATTAAAACAATTACCAGTAACAAAGTACTAGATAAATAGAATTATTTGATATAATTCCCCAACATAGATAAAAATATGGAAGTGGAAAGACATGAGGATTTCTCTGGAAAAATAATTTTATTTGGCCTCAGAGTAATAAGAGATCTGCGATTAGAAAGACAGACTAGTAAGAGCATGGAGGGTGTCTGAATGCCATATTTGTAAGGGTATTCTCAGTATGCTATGAATGCCACTGAAATTTTTGAGCAATCAATGCTGTCCTTTAAGAAGATTTTTCCTTTGTCAGTGTAAGAAATAGAATAGCCAAGTACTCAGAAAACTTTAGAAATTAATGATTACAAAATGGTTTTTAAAAAAATTTTATATTTGAGGACCAGCAATAAATTATTCCATTAACTGGATGGTACCTTTGATTACTCCGACGAACATAGTTATCACCATCAATAGGCTTCCGATAAGTAGTAAGTGCTTCATTAAGTTGTTCCTCAATCAAATCAACATATTTTGAATTATATTCCTAGAAAATAATATTGTTTTATTTGGATATAGTATCATAAATTCACTAAATTTGTAATAAGTTAGGTACCTAGTAAATCTCAGAGCATAAATATGAGAAAAATAAGTATCTGTCAGAAAATTAAAGAAATTTTTTAAAAGAGTAGAATAGCAGAACAAGGTACTGTGAATGTAAATGTTCTAGCACACCCCAAATATTTCTGCTTATATTCCCCCGCCCCCACTTTCAATCAGTGGGGTCTGTGTAAGTTAATAATTTTGCTTTACATCTTATTTGAATCCTTTTCCCCATTAAAAAAAATTGCTTCTTAATTTTAAACACTGAAGATATTCACTAGAAATTTTAAAAAGGAAATTAACTGAGTTCTATCATTTTAGCACCTTTTGGTAAGAAATAATCTCTCTGTTCTCATTAATGTTAATCAGGTCAAAAGTAAAAAATGCTTCCAACAAAACACAGATAACATTTAGTCAATCACACTGCCACCTTTACTGCAAAAGATCTTCACTTAAAAGTACTTAAAAGGAATTGGTAGAACCCCTTTGGAAATAATTTGGCAATATTTATCAAAAATTTAAATTCACGTATGTTTTGACTTTTAGAAATTTATCCAACAGACATACTTGCAAAAATATGTAAAGATATTTATGTAAGAATACCCAGCAAACACTGTTTACAAAACTAAAACACTGGAAAAAATATAAATACCCATCAATGAAAGAGTGGTTACAAAAATTAAGTCAGCTCTGGCTGGTGTGACTCCGTTGGTTGGAGCATCATGTACCAAAGGGTTGGAGGTTTGATTTCCAGTCAGGGCACATACCCAGGTTTCAGGTTCAATCCCCGGTCAGGGCACATATGGGAGGCAACCGATCAATGTTTCTCTCTTACATCAACGTCTCTCTCCCTCTACCTTCCTCGCTCTCTAAAATCAATAAAAACCTATCCTTGGGTGAGGGTTAAAAAAAGAATTAAAATACATTCATACAGTAATATGCTATTGGCATTAAAAAGAATGAGATGGTCTAAACTTCAACAGAATATACACAAAATCAATAGTTCATTACCAAATAACTGTAGTTTAAAAAAGAATAAATATAAATACAAATAATTATAGACTTTGACTCAGCTTCATATAATATTTTAATATTTAAATCTTTAGTTTCAAAATATTGATGATGTAATAAAATCCTCCAAATTCACAAATCTACCACCTAAGATAAAAACATATCAATTGAACCTTATTCAATAGAAAGTTACCTTGTGCCACTTTTCCAATTGTTTTGCTACGTAACCCCTTTCATTCAGATAGGAAAACCCTTTTGGAATGGAGAGAAATCTGAAAATAAAAATGATCAACAGTTTAATATTGAGTCTGCCAAAAATTGTTAAAGACTAAAATATCTCAAACAAAAAATATGTTTAAGGAGCTAAAAGGTTTTAGGAATAGCCCCTTCCTAAAATGAAAAGGTCCACTATTATTGATTATAATCTCAATTACAAATATATTTTCACAATCTTTGCTAAAACCACGTGAATCCAACCACAGGAAAGAAAATGCATGAAACACATGAGGCACGGGATGCAGGGAAACACTCCGTGTTCACGTGTGTCCGCGGCTCTAACGTGAGCCCTTCCGGAAGGCAGCAGCTGCTCCTGAGAGTGCACCCTGGTCAGACTGCGGCCAGCGCTGCACCCACCCCCAGAGAGGACACAACAGAAAACAGAACCACAAGGAAAACTGACTTAAAATTTACCTCAGAAGGAGAAGCAAACCTTTGTCCCCAAGGTGGGATAGAGCTGGCTTCATCTGAATAAGTGCATGAAGATTGGCCTACAATCAATAATTATTAGGCAAATTAATAATTGCACAAAGACAGTCAATGCCCTATTTTCAAAACACCTATAATTTCATATAGTTTTCTATTAAAACTGAAAATTTGACAGAAATTGATGTCTACATAGTTTACTAGAAAATAATGAACTGTCACCTTGTCTTCGCATGCTTCATCGAGAATATCAAGAGCTTCAGAAGAAATCGTTTTGTTTTTATCATGCAGCTGGGTCACTAGTAATTCAATTCCCCAATTATTGAAGAATTCAACATTAGCTCTCAATAATACTCTTAAATGTTTTGTTGCATACAGCCTGCAGGCCTATGAAGACAAGTGAAAAATTTTTTTAAAACCCACACACTTCACCACGAATAGCCTATCTGACTTTGTTTTGGGACAGTTTTGCTACTTGAAAAGGGCACAAAATTCAATTGATGGTCTAGTCCTTGATATGATTTTTTTTAGTGCTAGTAAAATAAAATATTTCTGTTTCTATCTAGCTGCTTCTTCCCCTTTAATAAGTACTCTATGGAGTTCTTCTGAGGAACTAAAATTTTATAAGAAACTCAAATTCCATCCCATATTCTTACAATTTATAATTAATTTTACTTGGTTAAAATCTATAAAATAATAAATTACCAGGTTATAAAAACAACAAGTATCATTCATTGCCTTTTACACTCACATCAGTGGCTGCAGTTAGGATTTTGGAAAGGATGACTCTGGCCAACCCGTCTCTGCTATAATCCAAGCTAGAAACAGTCAGTTTTAGCAACTGATCTTGGTTTTTCAAGGAACAAAGGTTAAGGAGACTATAAAAACAGAATGAAAATAATGACGGTTACTAGAAATTAATGTATCAGTTTGTTAATTCACCAAATATTTTTAAATTCCTAATATACACAAGCATTCCTAAAAGAAAGCATTGAATAACAAATAAAGACGGACTTCTAGGGATGCTCACCATTGAAAAACGCTGCATTTTTCCAGCATTTTGACTCCATGAGGGTGGCAAGAAAGAGTTCCAATAAATAAAAAGTAGTGTTGACTAAGGGTAGTCAATAAACCATTATTTTGAAGACTTCTTTCAGGTTTCATTCCAGATGAGGCATTGAGCCATTGAACAATATCCTTTACTAAATCTTCTAAGTATCCCTGCCCATCCTAAAAGCAAACATGTTGTGATATTGTTAGAAAAGCATTTAGTACCTATAATTACAAAAACTAATTTTAATCAAGCTCAAAAAATTTAGTAATAATGATGAAGTTACTAATAACAGATTATCAATCAGCAAGCACCTGCTTTAATCCCATTAGACACAGCGCTGCATGGAGATGGTATTATTTTCCATTGTACCAAGAGAAAACCAGGTCTTCTGAAGGGCAACATACCTGCCCAAAGTCACAAGACTGGCAGGATTCAAACCTAGGTCTATGGTCATTCCCAATATGTCTAAATACAGTTTATGCATATTCAGAAATAAAAGAAAGAAAGCAAATTCAATACAAAAAAAATATTTGCTCTGGAAAATATTCAAAGTGCTTATTACCTCTTCAGATTCAAGAAGAAATTCTGTAAACTGGCAGCCCACAACTGTAAGCTGCTTCGACTTGGCAAAATCCAGGTCTAGGTTGGCATATAATTTACTGCTAGGCTTGTAAAAATAAAGCAGTCTTCGTACAAACCTAACATCAAAATTAAAGTGGCAGCAAAGAAACGAAACAATTATTTTAGAATCTTAACCATACCTTATGAAATAATAAGGTTTTAAATGTTTTATGTCTACACCATTGAGGTAAATGGCAAGAAATTTAACAAACATATTTGATAGATTACTTGCACACACGCGCGCGCGCGCGCACACACGCGCGCGCGCGCGCACACACACACACACACACACACACTCCAAAAAAAAAAACAAACCCCTCTCCCCCAAAATACCCTTTATTTTAAAGAATATCTTTGTAGAGTAAGAATTTCACAGTGAGATGCCTGAAAGAAATTGTGGAGAAGAAAGGGACTATCAGGAAAAATGCATATATAACATAGCTGGAAAATAGGGTTGGATAAATATGAGAAAGCCACTGGGACATACATTTTCTTCTATTGTATTTTATGAAGAACTTTGTACCACGGCTCTATAATAATCTTATTCTAGGTAATTGTAAGCATATTATCACGCTATGATTTTGTGATTTCTTTTCACAATTAGGCCAAGATTTTTAGGCAACTATATTTCTGAAGCAATGAACATAATTTATGATATTTCAATGTTACAGTTTTCAACATTATGTTCTAAGTTCCCATTTAATTTCGTTCAACTTAATTCCATTCACTATAATCCAATCGAATAAATGTGCCAGTTACAGAAGTGGGAGAAACATAGTTGAATGAGACATCATCTCTGTTCTCAGAGTATTAAAAGTTAGTGCTGTGCTTCTTTATTCAATGTAATTTATATATTCGATATATTTCTCAAATTTTCATACAGATGTTAAGTGAAATATGAAGAATTACTAAATACAATAAAAATATGATATAAAGGCCCTCTTTACTTCTCTACAGAGATCAGCACTGGTGGCTGGTCACCTAAGTCAGAGGAGTAAAATGTGTGGTGGTACTAGAGAACAGCATAGGAGCTTAAAGTGCTGTATTTGCCATGAACATTAGCATGTTTCAGGGAAGGTCTGGAACATTAACTTGATTAAAGGGAGCATAAAAAGGAGGAAGAAGGGCTAACCCTCCAAAGTCAGATGCAAATAGAAGAGGTGGAATATTAATAATGGCCATTATTTTAGGAGGGAAACAATATGTCCTTATTATGTCATCCTCATATATTAGTGCTAAGATTACTGTATCATTGATATTACCCAATTTGAGAAACTTAAATCAAGTACTTCATTTGTTCCAAAACTAAAACCAGAATGTAAATAACTAAAAAGTGAATTAACTGATGCTTTCTGGTTATAAAATAAGACTATGTATACATAAAAATGCATAAAAAGATGGTCTCCAACTAATGATTTTCCAGCTTTATGATGGTGTGAAAGAGATACCCATTCAGTAGAAACTTTAATTGTGATCTTCCCCAGGCTGGCGATACATGGTACAATATTCTCTCCTGATGCTGGGGGGTGGCAGTATGCTGCAGCCCCCAGGCAGGTACATGATCACTAGAGTACACAACATTATTCTACAGTGTACTATGTTGCCAGAGATTTTGTATATTGTGTTCTGAACATGTTTACAGTGAATACATTTAAGGCCGGCTAAGCTGTGAAGTTCAATAAGTCAGGTGTATTAAATGCACCTTCGTCTTTGAATTTATGATGGGTTTGAGGAATGTAACCCCGTAAGTCGAGGAGCATCTGTATGTAGAATATCAACTATTACAATGTATGTATGTATCTTTAAAGAACCAATTATTACTTTTAGCAGATATTAGGTATACTTTAAAGCTAAGTTCTTTACATTTAAAAGTAAAATAGTTCTTACATACCTGTGTAACTGTTCATCTTTATAGTTTCTTAGATTTACATTTGGCCACTAGAAAAACATAATATTTATATCATAAATGTATGTAACAATTACCAAACGTTTAATTATAAAGAATTATAATGAATAATAAAATGAAATAAGCCGTCATCATGAAATATCCTGTCATACCTTAAGAATGGTCCCTATAAGATTCCAATTCCATTCGAGATTCTCTTTATGTTGAAGGACTTGGCTATCTCTAAGGTTCATTAAAAGAGCTTCCTCTGTATCCTAAAATCATCAGAAAGTCATAAGGAAAATTGTCTCACATCAGAAAACTAAGTTTAAATTTTAAAAACAAAAGAAAATACTTTCACTTAATAATGGATCATCAAATATTTTTAGTTTTAAACTTATAAAAACCCAGCTCTAAATTGTCTCTTCATTATAAAACTTGGAAGACATCTAAAAATCCATATGCATGAATAAAACGGAAAAGTCAAGCAAGTATGTGCATACTTAGGAAACCAAGTTAAAACTTGCAATTTCGTTGTCAGTACCTTAAGAACAAATATATCTTTCTGAACTCTGAGATACTGATCCCGTTTCTGATGTGTGGCAATTGCTTTCTGAATAATGTGATCTAAATGAAGGCTGTGAGGCTTAGGTCCTCGTTTCTTCATTTCGTGGAAGCGTTTTAAACAGTTCAAGGCAGCACTGGCTCGCCTAATGGAAAATAAATAAATAAATAAATAAATAAATAAATAAATAAATAAATACTGTATACAGCAAGCTAGCATAACTTTAAAGAGATCACTTCACTAAATTATTCTGTTGAAACATCAGTTCAAGAACAGATAGTTACTAAAAAGTAAATTATTTACTCAAATTTGGAACCACGAAGGAAAACAAACAAACAAACAAAAAAACACTGCTGAAATATATAAAAAAAAATTCATGGCCATAATCTGTCCCAGAAAATTTAAGTCTGTCAGGCTTTGAAAAGTACATTTTTCCATCATGCAAGTACTAAAATAAAAGCTGAAAACTATCATTAGTTTACTATCATTAGTAAGCCTAGAGTCAGGACTGACATGGTCCTTAATGCCCTCAGTTTATAATACAACTTCCGTTTGTATTTTCATTGACAGAATTAAAACCAATAAATAGAATACTATTTACCTATAGTGAGGCTCATATGTGTACTTATGAGCAAAGCTAACTAAACTTTTGAGAATGTATTATAACTGTTAATAAAACTCAGTTCTGAACAGCTAATGAACTACATTTCACTAACATTACAAAAAAATATGAGCCAAATATATAGATTTTTCTAGTCATAACTGGAAAAAAAACCCCACATCCCTAGCCTAGACATAATCTTTATCAAATGAAAAGATTTCTATTAGCACTACTCAATCAAGCTCCTCCACCTTTATATTTGTTTTTCTTTTTTGGTACGTGTCCCTAGCGGGAACCGAACTCGGGACTCTCTGGTCCACAGGCCGACACTCCAACCACTGAGTCAAACCGGCCAGGGCTCCTCCACCTTTACATTTTAAATTATGTTTTATCATTAGCATTGGAATTCCAGCAGAGCTATAGCTATATTATCTACCATACTTCTGTCTATACATTCTATGTTTGCAATATCCCCTTCAGAGTTCAGCTTACTTCAATGCCTACAGTATGGGTTGCTAAATTCCAACATTAATTTTAACCCCACATATAAAAAAATACGTTGTTAATCTTTGTGCTTTATTAATTTAAAATAATTTAGACAGTTTAAAAAAAAAAGCCCAAATTGCTGCTCAAAACATAAAATACCTATAGTCCAAAAATCTCACAACTAACATTTTTAGTGATCTGGTAGAAAATCTATGTCTTTGTCCAAGAACACACTAGAAAAAGTTGCTTTTACTAAGCTATAATAATTCGTGGCCTAAAACACAAAGTGCTAACTAAAACCATTAATTTTCCTCTTATCTGTAAGGATCCCCTAAAAGAATAATTTATACATACTACTTTTCAAACAAAGAAGAAAAGGTTATCTAAGTGGGTATTAAAGAAGCCGGGAACCAACTTTGCTGGAGCTCTGACACTCACAGTCTCTTTTCCTTGGGGATATCGAAGGATGCTGCCATGTTCATTAGGGTCGGCAGGCAGTGCAGATGATGGCTATGTGAATGAGGAAGAATTGTGTTTGCCTGAAATGAAACATAACATCTGGTGAGAGCTGAGAAATAGAAATAATTTATGTTCTAGGGATTATCCACAGATATAATACTAAAGACCGAGGTTTTTACTCATGAAATTAACTTAATAATTTACTTCCTAATACACACTTATTTATAATTTTTATCTTATCTATTTTCAATGAGGAGATGTAACAAATATAGACTCACGTTACATTAATAAAAATATAAATTTCATAGGTCTTTAATTATAACATCTAATTATAATTTTTAAGTGGTATATGATTAAACTCAATTCTTAAATGATCTCAAAAAACAATGTATCAAAACTTAGATCCAGCATTGTAATGTTACATTAAAAATATTTAAAATGTTAGACGCAATAACACAGACTTCTTAAGTTTAAAAAAATCACTGTCTCAAACAGGTTTGTCTCATATTCTAACAATATTTAAAATAAGAAACTTATTAACTCCTGCTTTCCAAATATAATTCTACCACTCAGTCTGCTTTTATCTATGAAGATAACAAAATTAAAAAAAAAAAAAAAAAAAAAAAAAAAATTAATCAAATGTAGAAGCCAGAAGATATAAGAATAATAGGCAACGAACTGAACTAACACCACCATACTACTCAAAATCATGAGCTTTTTATATTTCAAGAGAATCATACAATTCTGGTGTATAGGTGAAAGGAACAGATGAAATTTATAAAAGTGGTTCCTTCATACAAAGGCAAATAATTCTGGATATTGATATGCTTACAGGAAACATCTTAAGAATTAAAATAAACTCGAGAACCTGCAATATTACTTAATTCTTTCATGGGCTGAAGAAGATCTGAGCAAGTGGCTAATTCACTGATAAACAGGGCAGTTACCATTAAACTCCGTATAATTCTATTTACTTCACTCACACAGCCAGTTGCTATGTGGAAACAAACAAAAACAACTGGGAGGTGGGGTGCTACAGCAACAACAAAACCAAAAAATACTCTGCCAATAATAGCAAGCCAGAATATAATTTTAAAAGATTTGCCACTGGGTTACTTCTTCCTTAATGAGTTTAAAATAGTTCTTTTTATCTAGTAATTCACTAATTTACTAAGAGGTGACCTACACAAATACAAATTTCTATCTTACAATCAAAGTTCCCTCACTATCTGATTTGCTGGGAGTAAGGAATGGTCAGAACACTTTCCTAGCTCGTTTCCAGAAGTTACTGATGTCACAAAATCATTGCTAAAAAAAAAAAATTCCCTCCCTGTAAACCTCAACCTGTAAGTTTACAAAGAAGACTGTGTTCAAACAAGGCAGTTATATTTAGAACTTTTGCACAAAGCTTTCTAAAAATTCAGGCACTGACCTACCATATTCCATTCCTAGCTGACTGAAGTAGTATCTATAGTTTTGTAATTCCTTGCTTTGTAGGTAGAAAGTCTTTACTAAGAGAGATTAAGATTTATAGGACTCAAATTGTTAACATTGAAGATTAGTGTAAAAAAATCAACACGTGGTACTTTGTATTTTTTATATTTGTTTCATTTCTAAAACCAGCCTATATTTACAGATCAAGATATAAGACACCAAGGGCTCTTTGAAATGCAAAGACATATACCCAAAAAAATATGTATTCTTTGAGATCATACAAAGTAACATTGTTAAAATAACCTGTTTTCTAAAATATTGATAAGAAACATAATCAGAAGTTGATAAGCTTACCATATGTAAAAGTTCTCCTAAAAGGATGGTAGCTCTAACTGAGATATGGTCATCGCTGTTTGTTATCACTTCAACCAAACCCTTTAACAATAAAAATAAAATACCACAGTTGCAAAATAGTATATGTGAACATATTTATGTATCATGACTGTTGCTCTGAAATAATTCTGTTAGAGAAAATAAAGTAGAATAAAATAATAGATATAAGTCTTACCTCTAAAAGTCCATTACGAATAAATGCGGAGAGTATCAGTGCCAAATAATTATCCATGAGGTCTGGCCTGTAATAAACACAGCACATAAACAGTTTAACGAATATTCCATATATTACCTAATTTAACGTAAAAACAGTAACTGTAATAAATCTGAACCATTCTCTATCTGAATTCTACCTGGATCTGGCACGATGAGGAAGAACTGTTTTGGCCTCGGCTGCTACGAAGCCGTCTGAAAGCCTCCAGCTGTCTTGGAATCTACCTGGATCTGAAACAGTTAGAATTTCATAGTTAAGAGAAAATCAGAAGTTACTGAAACACTTCAGATAAGTGTATCTAACTACAAACTAGTCAGGCTAAAAATAATCTCTTTAAATGCTGGTGAGTAAAAAATAGATTTAAAAAGGTATATAGAAAATAATGATTTATGTAAATGTACACAAATCTAACTTTATTTTGGGACTCTGGAATCATTTGGTTAAAATAAAATAAGAATTAGATCATTCGAGAATTATGTAGGTTTCTCATTGTCTCCCCTTCCTTTCTTGGTCCATCTTTCCATTAATTTCACTGCTCATATGCAAGAGCTAGGGTAACAGAAAAGACATTAAAAATTTCTTATTTTTAGAAATTTACTGGAAGTTTTATTTTTATATTAATTTGATGCCACTGTGGTGCAATAAAAAAAGAAAATTATACTCAATATTTAGTTCAGTATTTTCCCTCTGAGGAATTATCTCCATTAAGTATGCCATTTTAAAAATGACAACTGAACAGATGCAAATGCACATCAATACTTACCTACACTGAGCAGTGCTTCTATGAACTCTTCAGTCACAACAGGCAGAGGAAGACGAAATATATCATAAAGTACTTCAAGCAGACCTCGCTGCAAGTGCAAATAAATACAGTTCGCTTACTTTTATGGAAAAAGAATCTTTGCTTAAAGATGTTTTAAATGTCCTAGTCACAAAATAAAAAATTGATAAAAACAATATATTTCATAAAACTACTGTTACCAGGCCCATATTAGATGAAAAATAACTACTAAGTGCTTACTAAATACACAATTTAAACTTTTCAAATAATCTTTAGTAACCCCATTGTACACACGAAGAAATATGTTTAAAGTTTAAAAGTAATATGCCCAAGGTCATGGAACTATAAATAAAACTAGGAGTCAAATCTCAACCAGCCAGACTCCAAAGACCATGTTCCATCTTCATCTGCTAAGTAAGAAGTCAACTCAATTGCCCCAACCTCTAGTTGCCTGTTTCTGAATCGGTCCATCTATAACCACAGCCTTCCATTACCATGGTCTAAATACTTTTTAGTTCACTTTTTTTTTTTAAATCCTCACTCACGGACATTTTTCCATTTTTTGTTCAAGTAGAGTGGGAGGGAGAGAGAGGGAGAGTGAGAGAGAAACATCGACATGAAAGGGACACATGGAGTGGCTGCCACCCGCACGACCAACCAGGGCTGGGGACAAACTGCAACCGAGGTACGTGCCCTTAGCGGCAACCGAACCCGGGTCTCTCTGGACTGAAAGCCGATGCGATGCTCTAACTGCTGAGCCAAACCAGCCAAGGCTAGTTCACATTTTAAAAGAGACACTTTGACTAATATTTTCTAATATTATTTTTCAACTCCAAATTTGGTTCATATAAATAAGATACAATAAGAAACAAGAAAGGAAAAAATTGTATTCTTTTGAACAAGATTAAAACAAAAACCATTTAAGGAAAAAAGAAAAAGTTAATTTTTTCCCTCCAATTTCAATTTGTTTTAGCTGTACAATACAAATTCCTATATACTAATAATTGAGGAATATATCTAATAAATAAGCATATACATATTAACAATGCAATTTTAATCAAAACCACTCAAATTAAAAAATCTAAGTTAAAAGGCAGAAGATACATAAGTACCAGTTACTTTTTCCTAAATATATTTCTGTATTGCTTGAACCTTTTATAATGAGAATGTCCTTCTGTATTATTTACATAATTTAATGAATACACCATAATTCGCTTATTATTTTTAATCCAATTTTATACAGCCATAGTTCCTAACAGCAGTATTTCTAATGATTCCTATTATCTTTAGGATTCAACTAAGTCATAAATACTTATTTATGTATTTTTAAAATTCTCTGTGATACAGATTAGCAATTCATGAGGAAAAAGCATCACCTGAAATAAGCTTTATATAATTACTTTTTCCAATTAAAAGTCCAAAAAATAAAACAATCAGAATAACTTTTACCTACCCTTATTTCCATATTTGGTATGCAAAGTACTCCAATTAGAGATTGAATCCCAGAGTTTCCAGGTTTACATAAATTAATAATACCTAAAGTATAAAAAGGAAAAAAATCATTGACTTCAATTTCAAAAAAAATTTCAGTAATGTGTCCAAAGTATAAAACATGTGATATTTTTCCAAGCTAAATTATACTATTATATTATTTGGGTATCATAACTGATGGTATATTTCAAACATTCTCTAAATATCCTGATTACAGATTACCAATAATTGTATCATTTCATTTCCTTCTTCTATCTGTTTCACACCCCAAAAAGTTCATGATATCTGACTGCCTCTGACTCCCAATTACTGATGAGTGATTCTCAGGGAATAAGAACATTGAAGAGAGCAAGACAGACAATGGTATGTCTCCCTTATTTAATGTCGCCTTAATCTCAAGTGAAAAACTGCTAGGCATTTTGTCTTTGAAAGGTTTAATTCTAAAATTTAACTTTTAGCACAGAAGAGTATAACTGACAGACTTCAAATAAATTGTATGAATCAAAATTTTAAGTGGAGAACTGAGGCAAGCAATTTTAAATATGTTAATATGTCACAAAAGAAGATATGTAAAGAGTAAAAAAAAAAAATACCTACAAAGCATTCAATATCATTAATCACTGGAGAAATGCAAATTTCATTCACAGTCAGATACTGCTACCTACCAGATTGGCTAAAATTCAAAACCAACACCACCAAATGCTGACAAGGATGCAGAGCAACTGGCACTCACATACAATGATGATGGGAATATAAAACTGTGTAAGTATTTTTGAGAAAAAGTCTGACAGTTCATTATAAAACTATAACATATATCTACCGTGTTACACAGCAATTTTATCTGGGTATTTATGCAAGAGAAATGAAAGCTCATATCTATAAAAACAAGTGTATAAAACTGCTCATAGTAGCTTTATTTACAATAATTAAAACCAGAAACAGGTCAAGTTTTTGCTAACAGGAGGCGGGCTAAAAACACTGTGGTATATATTTACACAATGGAATACTATTCAACAATAAAAAGGAATATATTACTGATATATGCAACAACATGAATGAATCTCAAAATCACATTGAGTGAAAAAAGCTTTACACAAAATAAAAATATACTATGATTCTATTTATAGAGTTAGTGAGTTCTGGGATAGGGCAGTGATAGTTAAACTTGGCAGGAGGGCTGTGTTGGTTTCCATGTTGAAATAGTGTGTGGAGGCAGTTAAGTATAAAAAAGAATGTGTGATCGTTGGGCCCCCATCAATACCTAGTTTATCCATGAGGGTAAGAGGAAATAGGCAGTCATGAGGTATATAGCATGAATAGAGTTTTTCCCAAAGCACTGAGAGGCCAGAGGAAGTCAGTGAATATATATTGGCCAGAGGCCAATGGCTGGGATAGTAATTTGCATGGAAAAGATAACTCTTAGTTAGGGTTACCTAGTTACACAGCAATGTTTACGTAAAATTTTCTTGTTCTGTTTACTGCTACACTCCTTTGTATGCTATTCCTTAAATTATTCTACAAAATCAAGAGGAAGAAGGTAATTATTAATACACAATAACACACTTAGTGGTGGCATTATTTTAAGAAAAATGTTTGCTTTTTATTCCACAGAAAGAAAAAACAAGCATAATCCCTCTTCTCAAGAAATTTAAGAATATTAATGGCCTATATCGCTTATTTAGTATAAACAACATTTCATATTGTGCTTTTAGGTAACAAACTTTAATTATATATACAGCTAACACCTCTTTTTTGGTATAGATCATGTTTAATTTTTTTTAACTGCCCAGGTAATCCTGAGTACACAGACTTACAAATAGTCAATTTGAAAATTTTGTACAAATCCCTTTGGCTCTAAAAAATAACATGTAAAGTAAGACTAGATTAACATCTAAAATTAGATGCTGCAATAATAATTTAATATCTGAAAATAAAATCCAGTTTTTTTTCTTGAATGTTAAAAAGCAGCACAGAGTAACTCACCTGCCCATGACCGGAATGTTGCTATGATCCCCATTTTACTGGCTAGAAACCTTGCTTCTCTGTCTTCTCTGTGTGTGGTAGGTGTGGGAAAGGGGAGGAGGCAGAAATCAAAGAAATAAAATGTTAAAATAAAAAGTGAGTTTTTCCTGGTGCTCCATCAGAATAAGTGCTATTAGCAGTTAACATTTAAGTGTTTACACAGGAAATCAAGTAACATGCTAAAAACACAAAGATCAGATCTACCTCAAAGTAAATTACCCAATTATAATAGGAACTATACTCCCCTCCAATATAAGTCACAACATGGTTTAAAATAAGCTATAAATTATGACTTTTCTATTTAGTTCTATGATTCCTGCTCTTTTGGAAAAATATTCTTAGATAGCTCATTTAATTGAGCATTAGAGACGCCATCAGCCTATTTAATAAGGATTTCTGTCCAGAGGCTGCCTCACCACAAAGAAAATTACCACATTAACCTCTTACTTTTACCACATGTATTCGAGTTACTTTGAAATTCTTACCCCAAACTTATTTGAGCAGTTCTAACAAGCAAGTTCAACAACCCATATATTCACTAATGTATTATTAAATAACTGGATAGTATTGACAGAGTCTTTCTTCTTTGTAACTGTGTATCCAATCGTCTCACTTGTTTCTTTCTATGTAAGAGTTTATGACAATTAAGAAATAGAACTACAGTTGATCCTTGAATGCAGGTCTGAACTGCACAGATCCACTTACATACAATTTTTTTTCAATAAATATGTACAGTACTGTAAATGTATTTTCTCTTCCTTATGATTTCCTTAATAACATTTTGTTTTCTCTTGCTTACTTTATTTTTAAAATGCTGTATATAATACATACACAAAATATATTTAATTGGCTTCTGGCTAACAGCAGACTATTAGTATTTAAGTTTTGGGGTAGTAAAAAATTACATACAATTTTCAACTGTGCAGGGTGTCACTGCCCAAACCCAATGTTCTTTAACTGTATTTACATTCATTAAACATTTTTAATGCATGACTTATGGCCAATTTCAATACTCTATGATACCTCAACCATCTCTACCCTATAAACTGTCCATTTTATTCTGTGCCAACATTTATTATTCCCTAACAAAGTTCTTAACAGTTGTGAGAATACAGAAATCAAGAGAATTGGGAAGGAAAAAAACAGAAGTGTTACGAAACAGTGACAGAAAACCAAATTAAAGAGTAGTAATCAGGTAGTCTGAAATAAAACACCTAAAAACACACACACAAAAACAAAGCACACTAAGTTCTGTAGCACCAATCAAAATGAAAATATAACAGAAATTCAAATGGGGAGGTAGGGTGGTAAAAGAAATGAGAACTGCGCAACTGTGTGATTAAGCTTTCAATGCCCCTTCTCTTAAAAATGTTAGTGACATACTTTATCAATTGCCTAGTAATCCGTTCTCTAACCTACTCAATACATTTGTAATATTTAAAAAAGTTGTTTACTTTCTTATCCCTTGGCCATCATGTACGTATGCTCCTGTAACTGCCCACACACGAGAAACATCAAAGTACAGAGACAAATAGGAAAAGAAGAATTTGGGTGGAAGGTATTCCTCTGTCCCCTCTAACTCTAAAAAATATCCAGATTCATCTCCTGCTCATCCTGGAAAAGCTCCATCCCCTCAAGATTCCATGTCCCAATCCGTGATCCGTCTATGACATCACTGACATGACAGTGATTACGTTTACGTTATACAGCCCAGCAGTCCTGACGGTAGGAGATTATTGGTAGGCTTGATCCAATTGAAGATTTTTCTCTAGCTGGTGGCAGACAAGCAAGTCTGAGAGAGATTCAAAGCACAAGAATTCGAGGGATTCTTACTGTGTTTGAAAATAGAGGGAACCAAGTGGCAGAGAAGAGGGTGCCTCTAGAAGCTGAGAGTAGGTCCCAGCTGACAGTCAGCAAGGAAACAGGGTCCTAAACTGTACAACAGCAAGAAAGTAAGTGAATTCCGCCAACAACCTGAGGCTGAAAACTGATTTTTCACAAGCTCCAGGTAAGAGCTATACCAGACTTCTGAGCTACTGAATTGTGAGCTAATAAAACAATGTTACTTTAACCTGCTACACATTTGTAGTAATTTGTCATGCAGCAATACTCTCCATCAATAAAGAGGATGTCCAGCCCTGGCTAGTTGGGCTCAGCACTGGCCCTCAGAGCAAAGGGTCATTGGTCTGATCCCCAGTCAAGGGCACATGCCTTAGTTGCAGGTTTGATCCCCAGCCCTGGTCAGGGTTGTGCGGGAGCAACCAATCAATGTGTGTCTCTCACAGCAATGCCGCCCCCCCCCCCCTTCCTTGTACTCTCTCTAAAAATCAATGGAAAAATATCCTCAGGTGAGAATTAACAAAAAGAGAGAGAGAGAGAGAGAGAGAGAGAGAGAGAGAGAGAATATCCAAGTGTCAGTAAAGAAAAGCCAAGAAAGGGGCTTAAGAATCCTAAATTCATAACTCAGTTTGCAGTAGGTTTGAGAAGTCTTAAACACAGGGCATTTCTTAGCTCAGTTATGCTATGTTAGGATGTGATGAGTCCAGTGATAGACGTGATTCAAGATATAAAACCCCTGTTTTTAATTCATGAAAAAATAAAAATATTCCTATTTCACAATGTTCCAAAACTTAGTGAGGAATTTAATAGATACTATCTATCAAAATAAGTGAGTATGTCTGCAATCCAACAATCTTACTAGAAAAACACCTCATAGCATATTTACTGGAGCTGTATCATTTGTAAAATCTTCACAGATAAGTACATTATTTGATCCTTGACTCAGTTTAATAAAAAGTTATCCCAGAATATCTAATAAACTATGTGGTAGTCTTTCCCCCCCGCAAAAGACTCTGAAAATTATCCTGCCTCCTTTCTAGCAAATAATCTTTATCTCCTGTTATTTCCCTTTTAACTGTACTCTCAAAATTTTACCTATACCATCTTTCTGTTTTCTGAATTTATTCTATCCTATTCTGTTATTTCATTCTTTTGGTCTCTCTATGTAATTATGCTAAAAATACATACAATAAAAAAACAAAGATCTAGGTTTCTACTACAGTCTAACTTACTTTTGTTTTTCTTTTTTTAATTCTCACCCAAAGATGTTTTTAGAAAGAGGAAGGGAGAGAAAAGAGAGAAACATCTATGTGAGAGACAAACATCGATCAGTTGCCTCCCATAAATGCCCTGACCAAGATCAAACTCACAACCCAGATATATGCCCTGACCAAGAATCGAACCTACAACCTTTTGGTGTACAGGACAATGCTCCATCCAACTGAGCCACCCAGCCAGGGTATAACTTACATTTTTAAATAAGAAATTAATACCAAGTCTTTAAATTTCCCAAAGCTTACTTTTAATTTTTTTTTTTTAATCCTCACCAAGGATATTTTTACATTTATCTTCAGACAAGAGTGGTGGTGGAGGGGCATCGATGTGAGAGAGACATACCGACTGGTTGCCACCTGCACAACCCCAACCGGAGCCAAGGACGAAGTGCAACTGAGGTACGTGCCCTTGGCCAGAATAGAACCTGGGACTCTCTGGTCCACAGGCTGAAGTTCTAACCGCTGAGCCGAACCAGCCAGGGCTACTTTTAACTTCTTAAAAGTAAAAATGTCAGTTACATTATAAGAGTCTTACGACATAACTCCATGAAATAGTCAATGCACTCAAACCCACAACGCTCTGGCTCTACACGCAATCAGGCAGATTTAAAACTTTAACAGCAACACACATCACCTTTATTTATTTTTTTATCCTCTCCATTTTTGTTCAGATAGAGTGGGAGGGAGAGAGGGTAAGAGAGGGAGAGAGAGAAACATCGACATGAAAGGGACACATGCAGTGGCTGCCTGCTACACAATCCCAAACAGGGCCGGGACAAACCGTGGTACGTGCCCTTAGCGGGAACCGAACCCCGGTCTCTCTGGACCGCGGGCCGATGCTCTAACCGCTGAACTAAACCGGCCAGGGCAACACACACTACCTATAAAATGACCAGGAACACATGATACTTACTTGAGCTGTCCTTCAGCTGTATCTGGACTATGCCTGTAGTGAAAATCAGTATAGGGTGCTAAAATTCGCTAAAAGAAAAAGCAGAAAAAGCATTTATTGTAAAATGCATTCTTTCTGTAACAAGCTAAAACTAATTCTACTTCTCTATATCTTTAATTGGGTATACTGTATGAGAGATTCATTTCTTCAAACTCATCATCAAGAAATATACTTCATTTTTTAAATGTAGAAATTAAATTTTTGAAATTTTAAATTTTATGATTTAATGGATTTTCTCAAACTAAGTATTCTCCTCTACCCAGTACCAGCCAGAGAAAACAGCAGCCTCAAAATCTTATTCCCTCTTTGGGCTCACAAGTCACTATCAACCCCAGGATTACTATCCTGACATCTAACACTGACTTAGTTTTGCCTATTTTTGAATATTATTTAAAATAGTTGTATCTTATAAATTACACTGTCCTCTTGTGGCTGGTATAAAGAAATTCAAGCAATTTTTGTGCATTGTCCCTGAATTCAGCAACTTTACTAATTCACTCATTTTAGAACTTTAACCACTCTGTCTCATTTTCTAATATCCCCCACTGCCTATTGTGGTTTGAATTTTAATTTCAAATATAATTTAAAATACAGAAGACATCACTAATATTGCTTTTGACAATCAGTATTGTTTTTATATTTAGTCGCATATGTACTTTTTCTGGTATTCTTCATTCCTTCCTACATTTCCTTGTTTGTCTTAGATTGTTTTCCTTCTGAATGAGGACTCCCTGTAGCCATTCTTTCTGTGTGTCTGTCTCATTTTTAAACAACAATAAATATTTATTATCTCACATGGTTTCTGTGGCTCAGGAAACTCAAGAGAAATTTAGCTGTGTAGTCACAACTCTGTGTCCCCCACACGCTTCACAATGCTGCTCAGGGCTGCAGTCATCTGGGGGCTTGACGGGAGCTGGAAGAACTGCTTCATGATGGTTTCCTCACCATGTGCTAGTTGCTGGCAACAGGGCTAGTTCTTCCCCATGTGTGCCTCACCTTAGGTTCCTTTAGCGTCTTCACGACACATAGGCAAGCAATCCAAGAAAGAGTAGTGTTTCTTTATATTCCCTTGGGTCTTTAGTCTGAAAAATCTTTATTTTACCCTTATTTTTGAAAGTCATTTTCTCTGGGTTAGGTTGGCATTATTTTCTTTCCACCTTCTAGAGACTCCATTCTACTGTTCTGGTTTCCATTATTTCTGTTGGAAAATCAGTTGTCAGGCTTGCTCCTTTAAAAGTAGTTACCTTTTTTTTTTTCCTAAAGCCGATCTTATGATTTTCATTTGTCTTGGTTTTCAACAATTTTACTATAACATGCCTACATGTTGTTTTCTTTGTATAACCTTATTTGAAGTTCTCTGAGCTTTGTAAACATGAAGTTTTATCAGTTTTAGAAACAAAAGTTTTGGCCATTGTATCTTTGGATATTTGCTTCTGCCCATTCTCTTTCTCCAAAGACAACAATGATGTTTTATCCCTCTTGTTCTGTTCCTTTCTTTCCCCACACTCCGTGCTTTATTCTGAATATTTGTACTGACTTTTATTCCAGTTTACTAATGATATCTTCTTGTCCAAAATGAATTTTAACTTCACTGAGTTCAGAATTTTAGGTTTTATATTATATACTAGAATTTCCATTTGAGTCACTGTGTGTATTACAATTATCTGGTGAAATTCTCCATTATTTCATCTCTTTTCTTCCTCTTTTCCTCCATTTCTTGAACACATGAATCACGGTTGTTTTCAAGTCCTTTCCCTCTACCTGCAATGTCTGGATCACCTTTACCAGTATTTCTACAGAATAGTTTTTCTTTTGGGTTTTCAGTCATATAGTCTTACCTTTCTGTATGACAGTCAAAATCCTGATTAAATGTCAGACGTGTTGAATTTTATAAAAGGTCCCAAGTGATGTTATTTTCATCAGATGGTTTATCCTTTCCTCGGTTAGTCAGGTAGGTTAAGGCAGCCGATCATCTTTTCCTAACCAACTGAGTTAAATTGAGACAATGTTGAAATTCTGATAAAACAAGAGTCCACTTTGGTTTTCCTGTTCCTCAAGTATGGCCCACCAGTGCATTCAATAGAGGGCATAGCAAGTATTCTTCTCCTTAGCATTGAGAGTAGAATTTTTTTCATAGGTTTTGAACTGAGATCTTTAGCTACCCATCCAGGATAGCTGCAGATTTGGGGAAATGTCAAGAGCAGGAAATCAACTATGAAAATCCAGTTTTGTCACTTTAGTACCACGAAACTGCCAAATGCTCCTCCTGCTTCTCTGATCCCAGCAAAAGTCTATGTGGATTTTCACTTTCTAATTATATGCTGATCAGTAAGTGGACCCAGGAATAAAAGCAATTGTATAATCAGTGTACATTACTTCTTAAAGGCCTTTAAACTTTTGCCATGGCCCCTCCTCCTGGGAGGCCTTTGCACCCTGTGTGCTTTCCTGAGGTTTTAACGTGGTAGCTTCCACTCTGCATGGATTCTCATTTCAGCAAACGCTTGGAGGGGTAAGTCAGACTTGGTGCAGGGACTTCTCACGTCTCTAGGCTTCTCATTCCATGCCCCTGGGACTGCCAAAGACTCTGGTCTTATACTTGGGCCTACTCATATTCCTAGCCTCTACCCTGCGCCCAGTGAGCAAGTGCCCCAAAGGGCATCTATGGATCTTCAGGGCAACTCTCCAAGTATCTTCCATCCATAAAACTTCACTCCTTCTAGTCCTTATTGCTTTCACAGCTCTATACTGCTTTAAATGTATGATTTCCATAATCACCCAGCTTTTGTAGTTTTCCACAGCAGATGCCATGAACTACCTTATTCCACTCTAAAGTTTAATTAGTGTTTTTTTTAATTTACTATAAAATTACAGTTAATTTATAACCTTTACAGAGTATCTATTCTATTAACATTATTATATTAAATCTACATTTTTTTGTGTGTCTAAATCGAAACATATTACATATAATATAATATAAATAGAAGCCAGGGTAAGCTTAAAAAAAGATTTCTAACAGGAAGAAGACTTGGGCCTAACAACAGACAGTAGCACTGAAAATGGTTCCTTTGTATGTGGAAAAGAGAACCAATTATCAATTTAGAGTGAAATATAATAATAAGGACAATATTCTCTTAACAGCAGATTCTACAATGAATATGATGATAAAGATGATGTTGAGTAACATCTAAGGCAACCAGTATTTGTTGAATATTATTATGTGCCAGGTATTAAATATTTTATGTAGATTGGAGTATATGAAAAACACATGGAAATAACGCCTGCCTCATTATAAACTTCACATTAGTGTTAGCTGCCGCTACTATTTCTACTATCACTATTATTATAGTTACTTATTCTTCACAACTCTTCAAGGTAAAAACCATAACCTTCATTTTACCTATGAATAAATGGGCCGAGGACAGACTAATAACTAGCCCCAAATCATAAAGCTAGCAGGTCATATAGCAAAAACTCAAAACCCGATCAATATAGACCAAAGTCTATGTTCTCAATCACTATACTATTCTGGGGGATCTTGTTAAGAAAAAAAACAAACAAACTAATTTTGTGGTTTTAAAGAACAAGATAGAGGCAAAGACATAGTCGTGTACTTAAATGTCTAATGAATCGTTTGAAATTTTTTCACTTATATAAAGGCTTTCCAATTTCCTGTACAATTAAACAGGAATGAAAAACAGGCCTACACAGATTATTTTCCTTTATTGCAATCATCTCTCCAGTCTTAAAATTATACTTTTTCTACTTGATAAAAAACACCTTAAAGCTAAACATACAGTAAAATACCAAAAATACCAGTTTATTCCCATTGGACTACCAAGAATAATGTATTTAAAGTCATATATTAAGAATACTGTACTTAAATTTGTTAGTATGATATAAGCAAATGTCAATGTTATAACCTCAATTATTTCTAATAGCCGTAAGAAAAACAGAACTATAACATTTAAGACATGTTTTATATATAAATTGCATAATTTCAACCCCAACACAAACAAATCCTGAGTTTAAACTTACTCTAAAGGATATCTGTAATGAACAATGTAGTACATTCACACAAATAAACTATTAGAATGTAGTTTGTGATAATTCTGTCCCAACCTGCATTATATACTTCATTAAAAAAGAGTACATAGTAGCCTTATTATTTTAGATTATAAAAAACAATAAACTAGTAAAAAAACAAAAAAACTTTTTATAGAAATATATATATTCTAGTTCTTTCAAGTATATATGGTCATTAGTTGCTAACAAATGCGTCTAAGTTCACAGACTGTTAGCACTGTTAAAATAAATAAATAGTATATAATTAGCAGGAGCTAGTCAAACAATAAACATATTAAAAGTCTTTTAAAAAGTAGTCTTCTTAAATAAATAGGTAAATGTCTACGCAAACTTACATGTGCTTTGATTTAATTAGCAAAATTTACATAGTTAAAAAAATTAACTTCGCTTTATACACTGGGGAAATATTTTGGGAATAGTAATATTTCTCATATTTCTCAAACCGAATGACCTACGAAATATTGATAGGAAAAGGCCAGTATTAGTAAATTATATTTTGATAATGCTGTGATACATCTACTAACTTAAAAATGGAAAAGAGTTGTACTTAAAATCTTATTTTAAAACTAGTAAAGAATATTAAAGTTCCTACCTCTAATTCTACATCAGCTCGCACATATTGTCGGGTCTTTGGATGATTAAGGAGGTGCAAAATTGTAGTAATGAGGGCCTCATTTATTCGGCTTAATTGGCAATCGATCACATTTTTCAAGATGGTGTTTAGTCCACCTCGAAGGGCCACCACCTCTGGGTTCTGAAGTGCTAAAAGAAAAAGAAAAAACATAATATATTATATAGGGGAAAATTAATAAAAAGTAATTAGAAATCTGGGGTTTTATTTTAAAACAACTTTCTGACTTGAAAAACTTTCTAGTCAGACATTTAAAAAGGCATGTTGAACCTGCCAGTGTGGCTCTATGGTTAAGCATGGACCCATGTACCAAGAGGTCACTGGTTAGATTTCCAGTCAGGGCACATGCCCAGGTTGCAGGACAAATCCCCCCAGTGGGGGGTATGCAGGAGGCAGCCAATCGATGTTCTCTCTCTTCGATGTTTCCATCTCTCTCTCCCTCTCCCTTCCACTCTCTCTAAAAAAAAAAAAAAGGCATGTGGATAAAATATACCTAGTAAGAGGTAGTGAATATACTTCCAAAACTGATTCTAATTTTTATGTCTCTGAATTGTTATTTTATATCCTTTGTATTTTACTGGAATGGTTTTTCTGTCCTGCCAATGGCAAGGACTTTTTTATATAGTGGGAATATTAGCCCTTTATCTGTTTCAAACCTTTTATTGAATTTGTAATTGTACTTTAGATTTTAAACTCAGATTTTAAGCTCAGGAACTCCTTTACTTCAAAGAGCAGGCACTTCATTGTATGCGTGCACAAACATGTGTGAGTTCATGATGAACACTGCAGTTTTCAACCTGTCAGAAAACTCAGTTTGGCTTAATATAAAATCAGTTTTTTTTCAAATGTTTAATTATCCCAGCACACTTCCCAAACTGATTTTTATATTTTCAATGTACTAAAGTTTTCTATACGCCAGGGTCTGCCAACTCTTTTGCATTTCTCTCTCTTCATAACCTAGCTTAATATTAAGTTTTATTAAAATATACAGGAGCTGGCAAAAGTAGGTTCACAGTCGTGAGTATGCAAAACAGCTTATTCATGTATTATTTATTAATCATTTATTTATTTCCTTTCCATTCCATTTAAACATTTTCAAAAATGTTTTCATGGTTGATCTTTCCTGTTCCAGCTGAATTACAGAATTAGGTGTCTTCTCTGATTTTTTCTTAACTGAGGTATAACTACAGTAAAATGCACAGATCTTTATGGTTGTAGTTCAAAAAATTTTGAAAAATGCCTATACCCTTGTAATCAATATCTCAATCAAAATATAGAACTTTCATCATGCTAGAAGTGTCCTTCAGATCACTTTTCAATCAGGTCCCTCTGCTACACAGGTAACCAATGTTCTCATTTCTACACAAATAGAGTAAGTGTGCCTTCTTAAAATCAAGTGGACAAATTCAAAAGTCAAAAGCACTCCCCGTCCTGACCAGTTTTGCTCAGCGGTTAGAGCATCAGCCTGTGGACCAATGAGTCACGGGTTCAATTCCTGTCAAGGGCACATAACTTGGTTATGGTTCGGTCCCTGGCCCTTGTAGGGGTCATGAGGGAGGTAACCAGTTGGGGTAAGTCTCTCCAACATCTATGTCTCTGTCTCTGTCTCCCTCCCATTCTATCTGAAGATAAATAAAAAAATGTCCTCAGGTGAGGATTTTAAAAAACAGTACTTCCCAAACACACACACAAGTCAATATGTTTTATTAAGTTTATTTGTTGTAAAGTTTTATTTTCTACTTTGGAAATAGTATGATTTTTTCTATTAGATTTACTGATTATTGCTAAAACATAAATCTATCAAATCTATTTTCACGTTTCCACTAAATACTTAAGTTTTGTTTTTCAGGTAATTCAGAGTTTCCTAATATTATCATCTACAAAGTAATAACGTCTTCTCTCTAATATGTAAACCTTATTTATTACCTTGTCTTACTAACCTGACTAGAAATTTTTAAACAATGCTAATTAAGAGTTAAAAAGATATATTTGTACAGATCTACCATTAAGAACAGTTTGGTGCTGATTTGAGATATTCTAAATGTTATCAAAGTAACCTTCTAATTATTTTACTTTATATTTGTGTGTATGTGGGTATATATATAAATGCTAGTTTCATTAAAAAATTGGTAGGTTTCCATATTTTCACGGTCTCAAATTACACTATATAAGAATTATCTCTTCCTTGAAACAATTTTGTTAAGACAAAACTACCTGGACAAGTCTTTTTGGAGGCAATTATTTCATAAAGCACTTCAGTGGCTTTAGACTATCATGTTTTATATTTCTGAGTCAACTGGAAATTCAAATTTTCTCTGTAAATCCATTCATTTCAATAAGATTTATATATATATACACACACATATATATGAGTGTGTGTGTGTATAAACTATTCCAAAATTTAATAAACTCCTATTATATTCTCTTTCTTACTTCTTATATTAACCTTTTGCTTCTCTGAACTTTGAGGTTTTAAAATATTATGTATGTGTGCATGTTTGTGTATCATTTCTTCCTTCTTCCAATTAACACTGGTTAGATTAAATAATCTATCTTGTTCTCTAATTAAGACTCCTAATTTCATTGTTCCATCCCTTCTGCTTACCTTAAAATTTTTTCCCTTATTCTTCTATTTCTTGGGTTCACTAACTTGTTTTCATTACTTTTTGCTTAATTATAAAAGCATTTTATGATGTTATCTCTGAGTATAATTTTCCAGGCTTCCCATACATTGACATGTAGTCAAATTTTTATTTTCAAAATTTCCTTAATCAAATTTGACTTTGTTTCTAAATCAACAGGTATTGTGAACAGTTGATTCTTAAATCCTTAATGGTCGATTCTTTTATTTCTTTAGATTAAAATTTTGTTATTAATTTATTTATTATATTAAGAGTGAATGTGACCTATACCATTTCTACTTTTAGTGGGGAAAAAATATTATCTTGTTATTTAAATTATATCTCTTTGGTTGTAAGTGAGGACGAATTTTTTCTTTTTCTTAAATCCTTCCCTGAGGATATTATTCCATTATCCTCAGATGGAGGGAGAAGGGGAGGAGGGGGAGGAGAGAGAGAGACAAACATTCATGTGAGAGAGACACATCAACTGCTGCCTCCCGCACGACCTGGCCAGGACTGGGGACCAAACAGCAACACAAGGCATGTGCCCTTCACTGGAACTGAATCTGTGACTCTTGGATCTGAAGGCCAACACTCTAACCACTAAGCCAAACCAGCAAGGGTGTGAGGATGAACTTTTTAAATATGCTGTTTGGCCATGTGTTTCTTTGAGATTTATCTATCTTTTCTATTGCTCTGTATCTAAATAAGTTATTTACTTATCATGTGTGTTACATTTATTTTTTTCTTTGTTCTGGCACTGTAGTATGTTTTCTTGACTCCTTATAATAAAATCTATAGCTTCTGAAATCTGATTTCCATTGTAATTCAAAATTCTTCTTCTTTACAATGATCAGTAAATATCCACTTTTCTGTTTTTCCACTTAAGACTTCAATTTTTTTTGCATTTAGAATTTCTTTTTTTTCATCCTCACCCGAGGACATTTTTCCATTTTTTGTACAGATAGAGTGGGAGGGAGAGGAAGAGAGAGAGAGAGAGAGAGAAACATCGATGTGAAAGGGACATATCGAGTGGCTGCCACCCGTACAACCAACCAGGGCCGGGGACAAACTGCAACCGAGGTACATGCCCGCAGCGGGAACCGAACTTGGGTCTCTCCAGACCACAGGCCGACGCTCTAACCGCTGAGCCAAACTGGCCAGGGCTAGAATTCCTTTTTTTTTAAACGTATGATGGATTGTTGTTTTAAACCCATATCAAGATATCATATGGCTAACTGATATCTGAGAGCCAGATTTTAAGAGATTTTATTGTAATTACCGGAACTTGGGCAATTCTTACATACTAAATTTCATGATGAGAAAAACTTTAAAATTTATAGTTTTAAGGTCACTTTGAAATTATTTGTTAAATAGCAAGTCCTCTACGCCCTACTCCCCTATCAGGAATGTCTTAGTTTTTCATATCTTTGTGCCAGTAACAAAAGAATTTATGTATTAAAGGCATTAAGCAAAGTTACATATTCTTTCTAAAATACTATGTTTTTATTACTCAAAATTCTAACCTAGTTCACAGATAATAGCAATGCATGCTCGGACCATTCTGTCTCTTTCTTGAAGTCCATCATTTCCAACTGCTATTAGTGAGTTGGCTACAGAGCTAGGAAACAAGGAAGCATTCACAGTAATCATCTGTAACAGAGAGAAATCAGAAAAAGAAGTTACTTACTTCATAGTACATTTTTAAAACCTACTTTTTTCAAATTGAGGTTGTTAAGGCCATTGAGTATTTATAAGATTCAGGCATCAATTTTAATCTTCTGCTTCATATGAACATTTCAAAGAATATAACTTAATAATTGATGCAAGTAATGTTAATATCATTACCATAAAAATGGGTTGGTTTTTTTCCCTGAGTCCAGACCATAAATTAGTTGAACAACAAGATATAATGTTTCTGATACTAAGCTTCTCTAGAATAGAACCTATAATTTAAACTTCTCAGTACATAGACAAAGTACATTAGTGGGGACAACAGCTGTCAACATACTACTGTACTATGACATACCTGACTTCCTTTCCCATATACCCATTTACCTCATCATCTCTACTCTCTTCCCCACCAAACTCACTGACTTGGCCCCTCATTCTTTCTCTCTTTGCTTTAATAGATGCCCAATGACCTCCCTATCTCTATCACTTGTTGCTATTCCAAAAGGCAAAGTTAATAATCTATAATCTATTTTTAATATTTCAAAAATTATGATAAAAATAGTATTTATCTGGCAATAAATTTTGGATGAATTTCACTTTAAAAAAAAGTTTCACTGGCAATAACATATTTGGAAAACTGAAAATAGATAACATATATCATCAGTTTGGAAAACAAAAAATTATGGAGTTAATGACTTTAATAAATAAAGACTATTTGGTAAATAAAGTAGTTCAAAATAAGTCCCTGAAATGGGAGAAGAAAATGTTTTCTTCTATTTGGATGGTGATAAAATATTGGGGTAATTAGCCTGTCCCAGATGTTAGTGGATTTATAATCCTGATGAAAAATAAGATTTGTGCTATGAAACAATTAGAGGATGCAATATAACTAAATTAAACATACCTAGTTAAGTACTATGACAAATCAAAGTAAAGATCTATATTGGCTAGAGTACTTTTAAATGGTTTATGTTGTTTAAGAAGTATTATGTAATATTACAAAGTTCAATTGAAATGATAGGATACTGTTCCACAACCATGAAACAAAGAGATTTCCAATAACTATAGAATCTACAAAAGTTTTCACATTCACTTCTTAATCAGTATTTTCCATTCATCAAAAATGTTGGAGAAGAAGGGAAGAAAAGGGAAAGGAGGTATAGAAAACTGATCTTTCTGGATGAGAAAATTCTAACTTCTTAGGACATTAAAATGTATTTTAATACTTACTGATCTATTATTATGCTTAAAAGAAACTTATGAGAAAATTTTCCCCCAAAATAAAACATAATGTGTTCTGAAAAGAGCTGGCTAGGAAGTCAGGCCACTTGGCTTTCAGAACCAAATCTACCATTAATAAACTGTTGTCCTGGCCAAATTAACCTTCTCAGTGCTTCTGTTCCCTCCTTTATAAAAGAAGGATGTGTATGATCAGATGATTTCTAGAATTTAAAGTATAAAATTCTATTCCCTGAAGCTTAAGTGTTATGAAAAGGATACAAATGAAATCTCTATTCTTATTTTCCAGGGAAATATATGCAAAGAAACTCTTACTTTCTGTGCAAATCAGAAAATACTTTTCTCATAAATCAATGAATACTCAAAAAAGGAAAAATCATAGACTTTATCTCTATAAAAAGAAAAGTTTAGCCATCTTTTTAGGCATGATAGGACAAACAGATATAAAACAAATTAAAGAACATGAATAGATAATAATTTGTAAACTGCTATAAAGGAATTAGAAAGACAGAGTTCTGTAAGAGGAATAACTGAAATATGAGCTGAGACTGAAAGATGAATATAAGGTAGAGAATGATAAAAATGAAATAAAAAGAGTAGGAAAGAAATAATGATCATAATAGTGGTAGAGGGCAGCTTGTCCAAACGCATAATGGCATAATGAGACAGGTTATAATTGGTTAGACCAAAAGTTGGATCTGAATGCCAAGGTAAGCAGATTGTGCTTGATACCAAAAATAACTATGGGCCAATATAGGTTTGGAAATCCAAAAAACTAAGTTCTTGCACTGGCTCTGCCAACATCTTGCTGTGAAACAAGGGCAAACAATTTCCTTAAATGGATCCCTTCACAATTATAGAAAAACACCACAAAACTAATATATCAATCTCTTATTACATGGATAAATTATATATAAAGAAAATGATGACTTACAATTTAAATAGGATAAAGAAAAGCAACAGGTGACCAATGAAAAAACTATACAGAAAATTACAGAGGTAAAAACAAGGAAGGATTGCCTGAACTAGAGAGACAGGGGTAAAAAAAATCACAGATATGGAAAAAACAACAACAAGAAAACAAACAAAAACCTTCCAAATGATTGAAATAAGTGAAAGAGAAGGAAAAGTAACATGTGTATGTGTTAATTACTCATAGAGCAAGTTATCTTAAAAAAATACTTTTATAGAAAATTTTAAAACTTTTTGAATGCATACAAAAAACCCACAGTGACCTAGCAATTATATTATCATTAATTTCTATTAGCTCAGTTGCCAAGATGTTACTGGAGGAAAAAAAAGTGTTTGCTTTGGTTGTTAAAAGTACTAATGACATTATAGTTCCTCCGGCCAATAGAGGCCACTGTTCATTCAGCAAGTGTGCTTTCCCTTTAACTGCTAACCAAGGAGGAACCCTGTGCCACAATTCTTTCTCGGAGCCTATACTTTACCACCAGATAAAAGCAATTTTCCTGCTCTTGGATTCACAACTGTTATCTGCCACAAATTACTATGTACTTCAGAAGATAACACAACAGAATGTAATTTTGTAATGGCATTACTAAACTGTATTCAATAGTCTGTTTACTTTTACTGGGTATTTTATAAATTGTAACTTGTATAAAAATTTTACAAAACTGAAACAAAATATTCTCTAAATAAATAAAAAAATTAATTTAATTGTTTGGATCCATTTAGAGTTGTCTTTTCTTGTGAATACAATTTCTAGAGCCATAATTCTCAAAAGTATGGTCCCGGAAATTGAGGTACCTAGGACATTTTCAGGGATTCTGCAAAGTTAAAATCATTTTCATAATAAAACAAAGATATTATTTGTCATTTTTAACTCTCATTCTCTCACAAGTATATACTGAAGTTTCCAGAGGCTCCACTGCATGTGAAATCACACAGACCGAATGCAAAAGCACACATGGTAATTCAGCTATCTCCTACCCAGTTATTTCAGAGATCTGCAAAAATCTAATAGAATACCACTCTACTCATTAGTTTTCTTTATAGCAAATACGGATATTTTCATTAAAATGTTATTTATGTTTACATGTAAAAAGTATGTTATTTTAATATGTTAATGTGTATTTTAATTTCTCAATTTAATTCCTAGTGTGATAAACATTGACATAAATAACTCCAATAACAAAAAATTTATTCTAGGTTCTTCAGAAGCTATTTTATTTTCTTATCTTGCGTTCTCAAAATCAAGGCAGTACAAGAGACTGCATAAATAAATATCATGAATCTAATTTTTAAATTTAAGTTTAAAAAGTCAAACCATGGTCCCAATAAAAGTTTACCTGCAACAAAAGTTCACAATCCTCAGTATCACTCTAATAAAATTGTAAACATCTCTTAAGAACAACTCATCCATTTATTATTCCTTACTCTATGTTCACCAATGGATACTATTCCTAATCACAAGTTAGACAAATTGGAAGAAAAAGGATAAAAAGGAAATCCAGTTAATGTACAAACTCAACACTGCACCATCTGAAGCATGCACTAAATTCCAAGGTGGGGAAAGAGAAGAGCTAAAAAATTTAATGGCTAAATAATTTTAGATGTTTTTACACCAAAACAAAGATACACTTCATGAGTCTCATGAATGTTTAGAATCAAACATAATACTTTACGATGAAACTATATGGTAAAATTCTTACACAAGCTATGTCCTAACAAAGTTAACTCAGTTCACTCTGTTCCTCTGCCCTTAGGGTATTACATTATATTAAACAACAAAAAAATTCCTTGAAGGCCTCTCATTAAAAGCATTATGAATTAACTGTAACACATTCCTTGCAGAGTTTAGATTCTGACCTTTTATCATATACAATGGCCTAAAGTGCTTATCACAACTGCCTATAGATTGCACCCAAATTCATCTTCAAAACAACTAGCGATAACTATGTGTGGTATCCATTTAACAGTATTAACTCCAAGCATACAATTAAGAGAAAATCAGGGAAAGGAGCAAGTAGCCCTCTTTCTCAATAATATATCAAAACGGCAATTTCATTTACATGTCTACTTTAAAGGGAGAATTATTCTTTACAATGAACATTTTATAAAAAATATTGTCCTAGCTATACCTAATCACATAGAATTACACAAATATTTTATGCTCACCTTGAAGTTTAACAGATCTATTTAACTCATATGTAATTTTAATAAAAATGTTTAATGAGAATTTAGCCTTTCAATTTTAATAGAAATATTTCACAGAATAGTCTAACTCTAAAAATGAAAAATACTTAACATGACAACCATATATCTGCCTTCACTCTTAGACATGGAGCATACCTTTCTGACTAATCGAAGTGCTTGTGTCCTCTCTACCTCGTTGCTCTGCTGTATGTCAATGCACCTAAATAATACACAAAATAATTATTGATAAAAGTCTTAACAGTTTTTTGTAAAACAGTATCACTAGATCAGACCCATATTTGTAATATCAATATGGTATTTAAAATTTTAATACACGTAAATATGTAGTACCAGTTGATATTTAGTTAGTTAGCTTACATATCTCCAGTGATAAATACTTATTATAATAAAACATTTCAAAAGTACTTCATTTCAAACTCTAGGAAAGTAGATAAGAATTTAGCAAATAATTCACAGAATTACATATGTCTACACAGAAATAATAAACATACAGCAAAGTACCAGAAATCTACTGAAAAAAAAATTCATCTGTCTGATAAAATTCAGATATTTTATAAAAACTGTGAAAGGAAGATATTTTAAGCTTACAATTTAGTTTGTGATTTTTAACCAGGGCCTAAATTTTATATAGAGGATTGAGCAAAAGTAGGTTTACAGTTGTGAGTACATGAAAGTTTATTCTTGTATTACTATTTATTATTATTGTATTATTTTCCTATAAGCAACTGTAACCCTATTTTTGCCCCACTTCTGTATTATGACTAAGTTAAAAGTCTTATGTATTAGCCACAATAATTCTATTTTACCAAAATATAATTTGAAATCTGAGTGTACTTCAAAAATTAACACTCAAATATCACTTAATTGACGTTTCTCTCTAAAATTTATTAAATTGTTCAATTTCTAAAGTCTTTTATTTATGTTGCAGAATAAGTCATTTTTACTTATATTTATGCAGTTCATTATTCTAATCAATACTTTCTATATGGATAGTTTACTATTCTAAGAGCATTTCTTCTCTCTGTATATAATTAATCTAGGGCAATTTTGTTAAAAAAGTAAATAGATACAGAATTCCATTTCTGGTCGCAACAGAGAGGCTAGGCTCAAATCAAGCTTCTTGCCTAAAACAACTATAAAGGTTGAACTAATTGTAAAGCCACTGTTAAAAAGGGCAATGGATAATAACCCCTAGAAAGAGAAGCACAAATTCCATATCAATCCCAGGCTTTGTCCCTGGGGGCCCTTGTCAATCCTCAGTTTTAGGGGAACAGAGTCGTAGCAGGAAGAAGTCTTGTTGGACTGAAGGGGACAGGTTGAACTTCAGGACAGCCAAAGCGGCTAGAACTTGAAGAAAATCCCATAGAGAAGAAAAAATAGGAAAGGGAGCACAAATTTGCATGCAGTCTTCTCTTAAAGGTACTTGTCAATTTCTACGTTGTGCAAAACAGGGTTATAATCCAAGAAAGCAATCTAAAAGCTACTGTGGAGAAGCTAAGGAATTCAGCAGAAATTCAGCAGGTACATAATACTCTAAAATAGATGATTAGGCCTCAAGTCTGGTCAAGGTGAAGGGGTACTGCTGAATATTTACACTTTCATTTGAAATCCCAAACAGCCACTTCCTAGAGCAAAGGCAAAGCTAAACCCATCAGTGTGATACACCAACATTCCAGAATAAATCTTAACTCTCTTAAGGGGACAATAATATGATCCAGAGCCAGAAGTGTTGAATGTACATCCAATCAGATAATAATATAAGATATGCTTTAAAACAAATGAAGGGTCAAGTATAAACAAAAAAGTAAAAGAAAATGACAATAGAAACAGCACACACATTGGAATACAGAGCTCTCTGCATAACTATGATTAATATGCTCAAGAAAGTAGAAGATGAAGGAATAAGTAGAGACTAAAAATCTTTAAATAAAAGTAAAATAAATCACAGAAATATAATAACTAAAATTGAAAATTCAAGAGACTGATTTACTAGCAGGATGGAAGAATAAAAAAACCACACTGAAGCACAAAGATTAACAAAGGATGAAAATACAGTAAGGGTATCAGAGACAGGTGGGACAGTGAATGGATGAACAGATTCAACTTACATAGCTGGAGTACCAAAGAGGAGAAACTATAACAACAAAAAAACACCTTTTAAAGTAGCCTGAGGAAAAAAGACATATCACTTACAAAGGAGTAACAAAAATAAAAAAAAAACTTTTTACTGTTCAACAGGTTAAAAAAAAAAAAACCAGAAAACTTATTTGAAGCATTGAAAAATAGTAACCAGACATAAAAAAAATTTTTTTTAAAAAGCCTTCAAACAAGAAGGCAAAATAGAGGCAATTACAGACAAAAGATGAGAGAATTTATCTCCAGTAAACCTGCACTACAAGAAACAGCAATGAAAATTTATCAAACAGATAAAGTGATCCAAGATGAAAGTGTAAAAATACAAAAACGAAGAATATTGGAATGCATATATAATGTAGGTAAATATCAATAGTTGCAGTTTAAAACAAGAATAGTACTATCCTGTGGGGTTACAAATATATGTAGAAATAACAAATACAGCAATAACAAAAAAAGGGGAAAAGATATAGTTAAATAGTAAGAGGTTTCCTGCATTGTGCTGGTTGTAATAAAAGTGACAGACCTTAATGTGTGAAGGATACATGCTGTAATCTCTAGGGCAACTGCTGAAGACATTAATAGAAGAGAAAAACTCAATTATTCCAATAGAAATGAAAAAGGGGAAACAAAAGAACAAAAAACAGATGTGACAAATAGAATACAAATAGCAAGATAGCAAACAAACTAAAAAATATGAAAAACTGATAACCAGAAGACAAATTCATATATATAATCACATTAAATAAAGCCCAGAAATCATGTATATAAAAAACCACTAAACATAGTCTAAACACTTCAATTAGAAGACAAAGATGTCAAACCAGTTAAAAACAAAACCTATATGATGTTTATAGGAGAGAAACTTAAATGTAAGGACAGGAAAGATAGAAAGTAAAAGAATGGGAAAAGATGTATTACCCAAGCCTTAAGAAGAAGAAAGCTGGTGTAGCTATATTTAAATAACAAGAACTGACACAAGTAAAAATATTAGCAAACCAAATTCAGTTATACATGAAAAAGATGTGACATCACGAACAAGTGTTTACTTCAGGACTGCAAACAAAAAATAGGAAAAAATCCATTAAAAGCCTACAGCAAGTTTCATAAATAAGGACAAAATACTGAACACTTTCAATCTGAGTTTAGGAGCAAAATAAAGATTTCCACTACCACCATAATAAAATGCTCATCATATGCAATTAATGCTTATGTAATAGAAACTCAAAAATAATTTTAAAAACAATTAGAATTGAAAGTGAATTTAGCAAGATAAACAGATAAGCGGTTAATATATAAAAAATACACTATTTTTCTATGTTAGTAAAAATGATGAGAAAAATTAATTACATTAATAAATAAAAATATATAAATCATAAAAATATACCTTAAATAAACATAACAACTATGTGCAAGACCCCTGCACTGAAAACTACAAAATGTTTTTGAAAGAAATTAAAGTTCCAAATAAATAAAGGTTTGGAAGATTCAACATTATTAAGATGTCAATTCATTCCAAATTAACCTAGAGCTTCAATATAATTACTACTAAAATCCCAGAAAGTTTTATAGATATGGACAAGATGATTATAAAATTCATATGGAAATTCAGAACCCAAAACAGCCAATAAAGTCTTGAAGAAAAACAGTCGGAGGACTTACATTAACAGGTATCAACACATTATCAAGCTGCAATCATTAAAACAGTGAGAAACTGGAGCAAGAGACAAACAGACCAACTAAAGAGAATAAAGAATGCAAAATTACATCAATATTTATCTGTTACCTGATTTACAACAAGAGTGACACTAATCTAGTTGTGAAAGAAAATATTTTCAATAAATGCTGCTCATATTTATTGGAATTCAATAAAGATAAAAATCAACTGTTACCTATTGAAATATATTTAGGAATAAATCCTTTAAGAGAAAACATAGACTATCATCTTTCAAAGAGACCTAAAACATTAACTGTAAAATAAATGACCTCTAAATTGAACTTTATTAATTAAGAAAAGTGAAAAGGTAAGGTAGACTGATTTGGAGAAAATATTCTCAATATGCATACCTAAATAGACTCATATATAAAAGACACCAAGAACTTCTAATACAACAAGATAGACAATCAAATGAGCAAAAGATAAGAAGAATACCCAAAGAGTCAACAAGCAGATGAAAGATGCTTAAACATCACTACTCATCAGGGAAATGCAAATCAAAATCATAAAGAAAATTCACAATGAAAACCACAGCCAATTAAAGACTGAAAATTCCAAGTGCTGATGAGGATGAAGAGAGACTGGAACTCTCAAATTGCTGCTAAGAATGTAAATCAGTACAAATCATATTGGAAAACTGCTGGCAGTTATCTATTAAAGCTAAATATACATAAACTTTATGAACCTGCAATTCTACTCCTACTATTTACCTGAGAGAAATGAGGGCATCTCTATGTCCATCAACAACAGAATTGTACAGAATGTTAGGGATGTTTTATTCAAAATAGCCAAACGCTGAAAATAACTCAGAAAATCAGCAACAGAATGGAATAAATTAATTGTGGTCTATTAGTAACATAAAATACTACACAGCAATTTCCAATATATGATGTTTAAGAACAGGAAAAACTAGTCTACAATGAGAAAATTCACAATAGTGTTTATTATTGGTTGGAGACACAAGGAAACTTGACCAAGATGCCGAAAAGATTCTGTATCTTATTCAGAATAACAGGGACAGCTGTCTGTCTATAAAAATGATCAGACTTTACACCAAAAATCTATACAGTTAATGGTAGGTATGCTAAAACTTAACACATAATTTTTAAAACATTTGAAAACATAGACAGCTCTCAAAAAATTACCTGGCTATTAAATAGTCTACTTTCAATTTAAGCACCGTCTGCAGAATACTGGAGTCTTGGATGAGATACCGAAGAGCGCGTAGCCCTGCTGCCCGCACTTCTTTCGCTTCGTTTAATAAAGCTAACCGCAAGCTGTTTGGAAACAAAGAAAGAGTTTTGCTGATGGAGTTTCAAATACATGTAAAATTATGGTACAAATTCTTCTTCAGTTGAAATAAGCAAAACTACTAGTCATTTTACACATATAAAAATAATTTGCTGTAATCCATGGAACTTTACTAATGATATTTTTTCATCTGTGCTTCCTTGATACATTCTCACCAACCAAGAAAATGTTACTGAGCTTTGTCTTACCTTCTGTAGTTTATATAAACAATGGGACATTAAATATGCCTTCTCCAAGTTGTTACACGAATGACACTATAATCTATTCCCTTCTATCTACCTACCTGCTTCCACACCGCTAAAAAAAATCACTGGTTTAAACCAATAAATAAAAATACTTTATAATGACAGTAGGCACTGATTATTTATGTCAATTTTAATTCTTAAGCATGCCAAAATGATTGTTGTACTACTATGTTATACCTCTATTAGTAATAAGCATGAGCAAATCAAGTTTGCCATTTAGAAGTTTAAATTGCAGAAGTCCAGGTATCTTTCAACATTAGCTTTGGTTCTTTATATTTGATCACTACAAAACATCAGAACAGGATAACAAATAAAATTTTGGAAATCCTCATTTCTGTAGATCAAATATGAGGTGTTAAAGTATTCTAATTTTAGTTTAAAATTCTAAAATTCATATTATTAGAATCCAGAAGAGGTAAGAGAAGAAACTGAACTATACTTACCAAATTATAATATCCTCATAGTTAAAACCCAATTTTTCTTCACTGTGGCCAATATCACAAAGAAGCTGTCAGAAAAACAAAACAAATATGTGTGTATTTGTTATATATTTTTTGCCTATATACATTACTCTTTTAAACTGGAAAATAACTTTTTTTTTTTTTTTTTATCCTCACCCGAGGACATTTTTTGTTCAGATAGAGTGGGAGGGAGAGAGAGGAAGAGAGAAAGAGAGAAACATCGACGTGAAGGGACACATCGAGTGGCTGCCACCCGCACGACCAACCAGGGCCGGGGACAAACTGCAACCGAGGTACGTGCCCTTAGCGGGAACCGAACCCGGGTCTCTCGGGACCGCAGGCCGACGCTCTAACCGCTGAGCCAAACCGGCCAGGGCAAAAATAACTTTTAATAAAATTTTTAAAAATATGATTCTACTGTTCAAATATGCAGATTTATTTTTATCATCGTATTGTTTTGTTTTTATTTGATCTGCCCATTTTAGGTTTCTTTAATCTTCCTTTCTGGACTTCATTTGAATTAACCAATTATTTTGGATTATTTTATTTTCCCCTCAATAATTTCACTATTCTTTTCGTGGTTACCGTAGAGACCACAATATGCATTCTTGACTTACTGCAGTCTAACAGAAAGTATTACTTTATTCTGTCTTTAATAATGCTAGACTCTTGCCCTGGCCAGTTTGGCTAAGTGGTTAGAGTCCAGGGTTCGATTCTGGGCAAGGGCATGTACCTTGGTTGTGGTTTGGTCCCGGGTCCTGGGGAGGGTTGTACGGGAGGCAACCAATCGATGTGTCTCTCACACACCCACGTTTTCTTCTTTCTGTCTCTCTTTTACTCTCTCTCTCTCCCACTCCCTCCCTCCCTCCTACTCTATCTGAAGATAAATGGAAAAATATCCTCAGGTGAGGATTTCAAAATAAATGAAAATAAAAATGCTAGATTCTTATAACACTTTAATATCATTTACTATCTTCTCCTTTCACTTTGTTACTTTTTTTTCTACCTCTAATTTAAACCCCATAAAGTATCTGTTATTTATGTTTTTAGTTAATATTTAGTCAATACCAATTCATAAATATTTGCTCACAAACTGACCTTTTCCATTATTCTTCATTTCAGGGGTACCTTAATGGGAAATTCTTCCTATAGCCTGAAGAATCCTATTTGTTGTTCATTTGATTTTTTTGGTGTTTTCATTTGCTTAATTTTTAGTCAAGGTTGCTAGTAATGGATTCTTTTTATTTTTGTTTGTCTGAAATAAATTTTTCTTCCTTTTTGGAGGATATTTTACTAGATTTATAGATATTTAGGTTAGGTAATATTTTCTTAAAACAGTTTCAAGATGGTTTCTGTTGAGAAGTCTGAAATCATTCTTACTGTTGGCTCCTTTGACTCCTTTCATAATTTTTTTCTTAATCTCTGGTTTTCAGAAATTTTACTTTCAAGTGTGCTTTTCTTTGTATCTGTCTTGATTATGAGGGAAAACAGAAATTCCTGAATCTCTTGATTAATATATTTTAGTAGTTTTAGGAAGTTCTGTACATTATCTTTTCAAAATTACTTCTGTTCAATTCTCTCTCTTCTATCCTTCTGGTATTTCAAATGTCAAAACATTTTATGTTTCGTACAAGTCTCCAAATCATCTTTTTTGTTTTCTCCATTCTAACCCTGTACTCTCTATTTATTTGTTTTTTTGATATGTCCAATCTTCTACTATACCTATCTAATGAGTTTTTAATTTTAGATATATGTATTTTTCCTTTGTTACTTTCCATTTAATCTTGTACACATCCAGTACTGTAATAAAAATCATTTTTATCTCTTTTCTCCATAGTTTCTTCTATTTTTACATATTATACATATTTTAAATATTTAAAGTGCTTATTTAACTAAGTGGAAGTGAATGATATGGGTCATTCCTGGGCCTGTTTTTTTTTTTTTTTCCTTTATTGATTTTAGACAAGAAGGGAAAGGGAGAGACAGACAGAAACATTGATGAGAGAGAACATCGACTGGCTGCCTCCTGCCTGCCCCCTACTGGGGATCGGGCCTACAACCTGGGCATGTATCCTGACTGGGAATTGAACTGGCAACCTCTTGGTGCGTGGGTCAATGCTCAACCACTGAGCCACACTGGCCAGATGGGCCTGTTTCTATTATTTGTTTTTCCTTTGGTCCTAGTCCTATAAGTAATGTTTTTTGGTGGATCCTACAATCTTTGTACATAAAAACTTGCAAAGATTCCTGATGATATTATCTTTCTCCAGAGGAAGGTTCATCCTTCTCTCTGTTAGGCCACTGAACACTGCTGAGTCCAGATTAGACTGCTGCCCTGGTAAGACTCAGTCTACCTCTGGTTTTTCCGTTTCCTCCCTATCCCCCCAAATTTCAACTGAAAGCTCTTCAGGGAACTAGCTTGAAGAAGAACATAACTAATTTGTGTCTTACAAAAAACATGACAAGCTCCACCCTGATTTTTAAAGATTTTCTGCTTAGCATTTTAAGTTTTCCTTATCAGGTAGTCCCAGGATATAGCAAATATATGAAGGAGAGAATCTTCTTATATCTGATTTCTCCTAGGTCTCCACCAGAGCTCTGTACTACTGTTCCTGTCTTTCAGCAACAGTACTTCTGGGCTTAAGGTATGAATCCTTAGCTTCTTGCCCACAGCAGAAGTTGTTAGAGAACTAAGCTCACCTCCACAAGATTCCTCCTTCTCTAAAGGTTTGGTTCCTACACTTCTTGTTGCCTGAACAGTTCCCTGCTGCCTTCAAACAGGCTTTCATTAAGAACACTGGTCTAATACTAGCTACCTGCATTCCACCTGAATGACCATATGCCACTTTAATGTAGTCTGAATTTTAAAAACTGACTTTTATATAAAAATAATATAAAAGTTTCTCAAGTAATTAATTAGACCTAACTAAAACATATTAAAAAGGTCAATCATTTAATAACACTGAAGAATCAGAAGCATTTCTACGTGCTATTTTATTATTCTTTCTCAATAAGAAGCTATGAACATCTTAACCATACAGAATAAATCAACCAAAGTCACCATCACACATCTGCCTCTGAAAAATAAATGGACCCAGAAATGTACAGCTAACCCTTAAACAACACAGGTTTAAACTGTGTGGATCCAATTATATGTGGATTTTTTTTCAGTAAGTATATTAGGACATGTTTTGGAGATTTGCAACAATTTGAAAAGACTTGCAGACAAACCACCTAGCCTAGAAATAATAATAAAAAAAAAAATTTAAGAAAAAGTTATGTATAGCATATATGGAGACATTAGTCTATTTTATCATTTACTACTATAAAATATACACAATAACATACAGTAGGCTTTTAGTAGTTAAATTTGGGGAGAGTCAAAAATTACATGCATTATGTTTGACTGCACAGGGATCAGCGCCCCTAATCCCCATGTTGTTCAATGGTCAACTGTATTTCGAAATGCAAAATACTGTAGTAAAAAGCTAATGATATAAGCTCATTATCCTATTGGTAGGATTCTTGTAAATTTTCCTACCCAATTTCTTCTTTAGAGGCCAAAAAAAAGATGTTTCAAATAGAACAAGGTTGGGAGTAGGAATAGAATCCCCCTCAGATATTATAATATTTTCATAGTATGGATGGAATATATAAAAATGATCACTTTATGTAGTGGAAAAATTCTGTGTATAGGTAAAAAGGCAAAACAAGCTAAAATGCTTCTCTTCACAGGTTTCATCCAAAATGGTTTCACTGGTATTATTATAAAATCTTTAAAATTCTGAACTATGATAAACAAAAAAGCTTTCAGACTTTCAAGAGTATGAATATTTTTTGTTATTTTTATTGTTTTATCACCTAATATTGTAAGTACTTTAAAATTGAGAATAAAATTTTATACGTAAATTTAAAATAATAATGTAAAATTTCCTAAACTTTGAGACGAGAGAAAAAATTCTGTATTTCTAAAAAACCAATTGCATACCTAAAATTACAAGTTAAATAAGCTATTAGTCATAAATATGATTTGCAAAAGGTGAAGAGCCCTGTGTTATTCTGTTGGAGCTGCTGTAACAAATACCACAGACGTGGTGCCTTAAACACAGAAATTTATTTTCCCATAATTCTGAAGGCTAGACGTCCAAGATCAAGGTGTTTTCATAGAATTTCCTTGTTCTGAGGGCCTCTCTCCTTGGCTTGTCTAGTTTCTCTCTGTCTTCCTTCATACAGGTGTGGCAAAAGTAGGTTTACAGATATGAGAACATGAAACAGTTTATTCTTATATTATTTATTAATTACTGTATTATTTTCCATACAAACTGTAAACCTACATTTGCTCCACCCTGTATAGTCATTCGTGTGTGTGTGTGTGTGTGTGTGTGTGTGTGTCCTAATCTCCTTTTATTATCAGGATACCAGTCATGTTGGATTAGGACCAGCCATATGACCTAATTTTACCTAAATGACCTCTTTTTAGGCCCTATCTACAAATACAGACATATCTGGAGGCACCTGGGGTTAGCACTTCAACAAAAGAAGTTATTGGGAGGGCAGGTTACAATTCAGCCCATGATACTTCACCCTCACCTAACAAAGTAACACTTGGCAGGCCCTTAAAATGTAAAAGGTCTACAAAAATTGGGGAAAGACTTCTCAGAAGAGACAAAGAAAACTTAACAAAGAATTTACTAAAGAAATAAAATTGATAAATAAACATATGATATTTCCTGTTTTCTAGATCCTGAATCAAATAAACAAAAATATGCCATTTAAAAAAAGAAATTGTTGCCCTAGCTGGTCTGGCTCAGCAGCTGGAGCGTCAGCCTATGGTCAAGAGAGACCCAGGTTCAGTTCCCGCTAAGGGCATGTACCTCGGTTGCAGTTTGACCCCAGCCCCGGTTGGGGTTGTGCAGGAGGCAGCCACTCGATGTGTCCCTTTCACGCTGATGTTTCTCTCTTTCTCTTCCTCTCTCCCCCTCCTATTCTACCTGAAGAAAAATGGGAAAATGTCCTTAGGTGAGGATTTGAAAAAAAAAAAAAAAAA